CGAACGGTCCCAACCTACAAATGAGGAAGGCAGGCACCTGCTTGCACAAGCATACCTGCGAGGATGATGAGGATGACTGCTATGGCTGCAAAGTGTCATAAAGTCTCAACTCAAACACGTCGAACGGTCCCAACCTACAAATGAGGAAGGCAGGCACCTGCTTGCACAAGCATACCTGCGAGGATGATGAGGATGACTGCTATGGCTGCAAAGTGTCATAAAGTCTCAACTCAAACACGTCGAACGGTCCCAACCTACAAATGAGGAAGGCAGGCACCTGCTTGCACAAGCATACCTGCGAGGATGATGAGGATGACTGCTATGGCTGCAAAGTGTCATAAAGTCTCAACTCAAACACGTCGAACGGTCCCAACCTACAAATGAGGAAGGCAGGCACCTGCTTGCACAAGCATACCTGCGAGGATGATGAGGATGACTGCTATGGCTGCAAAGTGTCATAAAGTCTCAACTCAAACACGTCGAACGGTCCCAACCTACAAATGAGGAAGGCAGGCACCTGCTTGCACAAGCATACCTGCGAGGATGATGAGGATGACTGCTATGGCTGCAAAGTGTCATAAAGTCTCAACTCAAACACGTCGAACGGTCCCAACCTACAAATGAGGAAGGCAGGCACCTGCTTGCACAAGCATACCTGCGAGGATGATGAGGATGACTGCTATGGCTGCAAAGTGTCATAAAGTCTCAACTCAAACACGTCGAACGGTCCCAACCTACAAATGAGGAAGGCAGGCACCTGCTTGCACAAGCATACCTGCGAGGATGATGAGGATGACTGCTATGGCTGCAAAGTGTCATAAAGTCTCAACTCAAACACGTCGAACGGTCCCAACCTACAAATGAGGAAGGCAGGCACCTGCTTGCACAAGCATACCTGCGAGGATGATGAGGATGACTGCTATGGCTGCAAAGTGTCATAAAGTCTCAACTCAAACACGTCGAACGGTCCCAACCTACAAATGAGGAAGGCAGGCACCTGCTTGCACAAGCATACCTGCGAGGATGATGAGGATGACTGCTATGGCTGCAAAGTGTCATAAAGTCTCAACTCAAACACGTCGAACGGTCCCAACCTACAAATGAGGAAGGCAGGCACCTGCTTGCACAAGCATACCTGCGAGGATGATGAGGATGACTGCTATGGCTGCAAAGTGTCATAAAGTCTCAACTCAAACACGTCGAACGGTCCCAACCTACAAATGAGGAAGGCAGGCACCTGCTTGCACAAGCATACCTGCGAGGATGATGAGGATGACTGCAATGGCTGCAAAGTGTCATAAAGTCTCAACTCAAACACGTCGAACGGTCCCAACCTACAAATGAGGAAGGCAGGCACCTGCTTGCACAAGCATACCTGCGAGGATGATGAGGATGACTGCAATGGCTGCAAAGTGTCATAAAGTCTCAACTCAAACTCGTCGAACGGTCCCAACCTACAAATGAGGAAGGCAGGCACCTGCTTGCACAAGCTTACCTGCGAGGATGATGAGGATGACTGCAATGGCTGCAAAGTGTCATAAAGTCTCAACTCAAACACGTCGAACGGTCCCAACCTACAAATGAGGAAGGCAGGCACCTGCTTGCACAAGCTTACCTGCGAGGATGATGAGGATGACTGCAATGGCTGCAAAGTGTCATAAAGTCTCAACTCAAACACGTCGAACGGTCCCAACCTACAAATGAGGAAGGCAGGCACCCGCTTGCACAAGCTTACCTGCGAGGATGATGAGGATGACTGCAATGGCTGCAAAGTGTCATAAAGTCTCAACTCAAACACGTCGAACGGTCCCAACCTACAAATGAGGAAGGCAGGCACCTGCTTGCACAAGCTTACCTGCGAGGATGATGAGGATGACTGCAATGGCTGCAAAGTGTCATAAAGTCTCAACTCAAACACGTCGAACGGTCCCAACCTACAAATGAGGAAGGCAGGCACCTGCTTGCACAAGCTTACCTGCGAGGATGATGAGGATGACTGCAATGGCTGCAAAGTGTCATAAAGTCTCAACTCAAACACGTCGAACGGTCCCAACCTACAAATGAGGAAGGCAGGCACCTGCTTGCACAAGCATACCTGCGAGGATGATGAGGATGACTGCTATGGCTCCGGCGAAACGACCCCAGCAGGCATGCGTGACGAAGCAGGCCATGCCGAAGAATGATGGGCAGGAGAAGCTGATTGGATGGGAAAGACAGGGTGTGCGAAGAACAGGGTTGAGAGGGTGTGAGAGGAAACGACCCCAGCAGGCATGCGTGGCGAAGTGGGCCATTCCAAAGAATGACGGACAGGAGAAGCTGTTTGGAAGGAAGGGATATGAAAAAAAAGGAGAGGGTGTGCGAAAGGGCACAGGGGATGGGAAGCGACCCCAGCAGGTATGAGTGACGAAGCTGGCCATTCCAAAGAATGACGGACAGGCGAGGCTGTATGGATAGAGGGATAAGCAGAAGGAGAGGGTATATGGAAAGGCACAGCGCGTTGGTAGTGACCCCAGCAGGCATGAGTGACCTAGCAGGCCATGCTGAAGAATGATGGACAGCCGAAACTGGTGTGTGGAGGAAGGGAAAAAGGAAGGACAGAGCATAGAGAGGTCGTTTTTGAGGCGCCTCAAAACAGAGCTGGCAAAACACAAGCTTCTGACCCACCTGCATGAGCTGCAGGGTGTTTTGAGAATTCTCAGAAACACCCTGCAGCGTCTGTTCCGTCTGTCTGTTCCATCTGTCTGTGAGCTGGCAAAACACAAGCTTCTGACCCACCTGCATGAGCTGCAGGGTGTTTTGAGAATTCTCAGAAACACCCTGCAGCGTCTGTTCCGTCTGTCTGTTCCATCTGTCTGTGAGCTGGCAAAACACAAGCTTCTGACCCACCTGCATGAGCTGCAGGGTGTTTTGAGAATTCTCAGAAACACCCTGCAGCGTCTGTTCCGTCTGTCTGTTCCATCTGTCTGTGAGCTGGCAAAACACAAGCTTCTGACCCACCTGCATGAGCTGCAGGGTGTTTTGAGAATTCTCAGAAACACCCTGCAGCGTCTGTTCCGTCTGTCTGTTCCATCTGTCTGTGAGCTGGCAAAACACAAGCTTCTGACCCACCTGCATGAGCTGCAGGGTGTTTTGAGAATTCTCAGAAACACCCTGCAGCGTCTGTTCCGTCTGTCTGTTCCATCTGTCTGTGAGCTGGCAAAACACAAGCTTCTGACCCACCTGCATGAGCTGCAGGGTGTTTTGAGAATTCTCAGAAACACCCTGCAGCGTCTGTTCCGTCTGTCTGTTCCATCTGTCTGTGAGCTGGCAAAACACAAGCTTCTGACCCACCTGCATGAGCTGCAGGGTGTTTTGAGAATTCTCAGAAACACCCTGCAGCGTCTGTTCCGTCTGTCTGTTCCATCTGTCTGTGAGCTGGCAAAACACAAGCTTCTGACCCACCTGCATGAGCTGCAGGGTGTTTTGAGAATTCTCAGAAACACCCTGCAGCGTCTGTTCCGTCTGTCTGTTCCATCTGTCTGTGAGCTGGCAAAACACAAGCTTCTGACCCACCTGCATGAGCTGCAGGGTGTTTTGAGAATTCTCAGAAACACCCTGCAGCGTCTGTTCCGTCTGTCTGTTCCATCTGTCTGTGAGCTGGCAAAACACAAGCTTCTGACCCACCTGCATGAGCTGCAGGGTGTTTTGAGAATTCTCAGAAACACCCTGCAGCGTCTGTTCCGTCTGTCTGTTCCATCTGTCTGTGAGCTGGCAAAACACAAGCTTCTGACCCACCTGCATGAGCTGCAGGGTGTTTTGAGAATTCTCAGAAACACCCTGCAGCGTCTGTTCCGTCTGTCTGTTCCATCTGTCTGTGAGCTGGCAAAACACAAGCTTCTGACCCACCTGCATGAGCTGCAGGGTGTTTTGAGAATTCTCAGAAACACCCTGCAGCGTCTGTTCCGTCTGTCTGTTCCATCTGTCTGTGAGCTGACAAAACACAAGCTTCTGACCCACCTGCATGAGCTGCAGGGTGTTTTGAGAATTCTCAGAAACACCCTGCAGCGTCTGTTCCGTCTGTCTGTTCCATCTGTCTGTGAGCTGGCAAAACACAAGCTTCTGACCCACCTGCATGAGCTGCAGGGTGTTTTGAGAATTCTCAGAAACACCCTGCAGCGTCTGTTCCGTCTGTCTGTTCCATCTGTCTGTGAGCTGGCAAAACACAAGCTTCTGACCCACCTGCATGAGCTGCAGGGTGTTTTGAGAATTCTCAGAAACACCCTGCAGCGTCTGTTCCGTCTGTCTGTTCCATCTGTCTGTGAGCTGGCAAAACACAAGCTTCTGACCCACCTGCATGAGCTGCAGGGTGTTTTGAGAATTCTCAGAAACACCCTGCAGCGTCTGTTCCGTCTGTCTGTTCCATCTGTCTGTGAGCTGGCAAAACACAAGCTTCTGACCCACCTGCATGAGCTGCAGGGTGTTTTGAGAATTCTCAAAAACACCCTGCAGCGTCTGTTCCGTCTGTCTGTTCCATCTGTCTGTGAGCTGGCAAAACACAAGCTTCTGACCCACCTGCATGAGCTGCAGGGTGTTTTGAGAATTCTCAAAAACACCCTGCAGCGTCTGTTCTGTCTGTCTGTTCCATCTGTCTGTGAGCTGGCAAAACACAAGCTTCTGACCCACCTGCCCGAGCTATCACTTGAACTCGAATTGGACGAGGAAGAGGAGGAGGAGCCAGGGGAGCCAGGGCGAGGGGAGAAGAGCGTTGTATTGCGGATGGCCTTGCCGTCTGACTGCCCGCTCTGACCGCCTGTCACTCTCTTACCACCAGCCACCCACCTGCAAGAGCTGTCACTGGAACGCGAGGAGGAGGAGGAGGAGGAGGAGGAGGAGGAGGAGGAGGAGGAGCCAGGGCGAGGGGAGAAGAGCGTTGTGTTCTGAATGGCCTTGCCGTCTGACTGCCCGCTCTGCACCCTGTGGTTGTCCACCATGATAAGGCAACTGCTCCAACCATGAGTGCCTCACCTGCATGAATTGTCACTTGAACGCGACGAGGAGGAGGAGGAGGACGACGAGCCAGGGCGTGGGGAGAAGAGCGTTGTGTTCTTGATGGCCTTGCCGTCCGACTGCCCACTCTGCGCTCCCCGGTTGTCCACCGTGGCATTGGTGGTGAATGCGAGGGGCGCCACGTCAGCGACCGATGAGATGGCATCATATAGGACCACTGGACGAGGGATGGGGGAGGAGGAGGGAAGGAGATGTGATGCATGGTGCATGGGTCCCAGCGCATGGTGCATGGGTCACAACACAGTGCATGGTGCATGTTGTATTGCTGGGAGGCCTCCTGCCAAGACATGAGCGCTGGGAAGCAAAACATTCCTGCAGCTGCAGCAGAAAGGTGAAGCCCGCTGCTGAGTCGAAAAAGACACACTGTCAGTTAAAAAAAAAACCCTTAAAAGACACACTATGAGTGAGGGGTAACTGCAGAGGCGCCTCAAAATGCATCTCACCAAGGCAGGAGCGTTGCGAGGCAAGGGAATCTTGGAGTTGCAGCAGAAAGGTGAAGCTGGTTGTTGCTCCTGCTGCTATGCTGCGCTCCTGTGCCTGGTGGGAGGGGGAGGACGACGAATGATATCGGCAAACAAGCAAGTTGGGGAAGATTCAAGAGGAAAGGGGAGCGCATAGGAAAATGAAAAGGAAGTGGAGGAGAGAAGGGCAAGGGGAGAGAAGAGAAGGACTGTCGAAGAGAAGAACTCACTGGTATTGGGAGAACCCCCGAGGAGCAATTCTGAATCTGCAAGCAAAGGAGTACGAGGAGGGGAGTATGAAAGAAGGAAAGGATAAGAGGGGGGTGTGAAAAAGTGAAGGCGATTGGGGTGAGAAGGGACTGGTGGCATACAGACAGCAGATATTTCAGTCGAATATAGTGCATTCTGCGTGTAGATTGTGTGGACTGAGGGCGAATGCACACTGAGACCTCACAGTGCCAGTGTGCATTGCAAGCACCTGATGTGTGTGTGAATGTACCGTGAGCGTGAAGTCTGCATCTAGAGAGCCATTGACTGACACTGACTGGGCCAACTCAAGAGCCACTTCGTTTTGGGACCGGAACATGTCTGTTCGCAAGCGATGTGTGAATGTACCGTGAGGTTGAAGTCCGCATCCAGAGAGCCGTTGTTGGCAACCCTGATGTCCAACCTAACCCCAATAAACTTGGCCTCATACAAAGGCTGTGCTAACACCCTCTCATTGCCCTTTCCAGTGCAAATGTGGGACGGTTCGCCGAGCCTACCGTGAGCATGAAGTCTGCATCCAGAGAGCCGTTGTTTGCAACCCTGATGTCCACCCTGCCCTTTTCTAGTCGGCTCAAAAGTGTGCATTGCTAGCATCTGGTGCAAATAGAGTCTACCACGTACCGTGAGCGTGAAGTCCGCATCAAGAGAGCCGTTGTTGGCAACCCTGATAATCGCCCGCCCCTCACTGGACATTGCTTCAAACAGAGGCGCTGGCAGGGCAGTACAGACGCGTGTGATCATAGGAGAGGGGCACAGCACACACATGATCCCCCCCCTCCGCTCACTGCATTGCCCAGTGTGGATGTGGGAAGGAGAGTCGAGCATACCGTGAGGGTGAAGTCTGCATCCAGAGAGCCGTTGTTGGCAATCCTGATGTCCACCCTGCTCTTTTCTAGTCGGCTCAAAAGTGTGCATTGCTAGCATCTGGTGCAACTTGAATCTACCACATACCGTGAGGGTGAAGTCCGCATCCAGAGAGCCGTTGTTGGCAATCCTGATGTCCACCCTGCCCTCACTTGAACAGAGCTTCTGACAGTACAGATTTGTGAATAGAGTAAAATATATTAACCACACTCGGCATGCGTACCGTGAGGGTGAAGTCCGCATCCAGAGAGCCGTTGTTGGTAATCCTGATGTCCACCCTGCCCTCACTTGAACAGAGCTTCTGACAGTACAGATTTGTGAATAGAGTAAATATATATTAACCACACTCGGCATGCGTACCGTGAGGGTGAAGTCCGCATCCAGAGAGCCGTTGTTGGCAATCCTGATGTCCACCCTGCCCTCACTTGAACAGAGCTTCTGACAGTACAGATTTGTGAATAGAGTAAATATATATTAACCACACTCGGCATGCATACCGTGAGCGTGAAGTCCGCATCCAGAGAGCCGTTGTTGGCGATCTTGATGTCTACCCTGCTCGTTTTGACTCGACTCATAAGTGTGCAGTGCATTGCTAGCGTCTGATGTGTGTGTGTGTGAGCATACCATACCGTGAGCATGAAGTCCGCATCCAGAGAGCCGTTGTTGGTAATCCTGATGTCCACCCTGCCCTCACTGGACATGGCTTCAAACAGCGGTGCCGCCACAGACACTATGCGACCAGGGCTCCTGCGAGAGGGAGGAGAGGGAGAAGAGAGAGGAGATGGGGGAGGGGGAGGAGAGGAAAGAGAGAGCCGTTGTTGACAATCTTGATGTCAACCCTTCCTTCGCTGGACATGGCCTCAAACTGAGGCGCTGCTACCGGCACTATGCGGCCGGGGCTTCTGTTAACATGTGGGGTGGGGAGAGGGAGGAGAGGGAGAAGAGAGAGCTGTTGTTGGCAAACCGTGGCGCTGATACTGACATTATGCGACCGACCAGGACTCCTGTGTCAGATGGAGGGGCGTGTAGTGAGTCGACTCAAAAATCGACTCACTACACGCGGATTTTTGAGTCGACTCAAAAATCGACTCACTACACGCGGAAACCGTGGCGCTGATACTGACATTATGCGACCGACCAGGACTCCTGTGTCAGATGGAGGGAGGAGAAAGAGATGACGAGAGCGGTGGGGTTGGTTGGTTTGAGAAGCAAGGCGTGGTGGACTTGAAGCAAGTGTGTGTCTTACTGCGGTTCTCTATTTACTGCATTCCGAGAAAGAAGAGTGACATAATCACCCACCTGTTCTTGATGAAGGTGACGTCATCAGCTGCAATCTCGAGGGTGATGAGGGAGTTGAGTCGCTGAGTCACCACCAGGGCAATTCTCAGGGAGCCGTTTGGCTGCAAGGGGTGCGGTTCAGATAGGTTTAGATGGAGTAAAGAATGCAGGCAATTGATATTGTGATGAGGGAGTTGAGTCGCTGAGTCACCACCAGGGCAATGCTCAGGGAGCCGTTTGGCTGCAAGGGGTGCGGTTCAGATAGGTTTAGATGGAGTAAAGAATGCAGGCAATTGATATTGTGATGAGGGAGTTGAGTCGCTGAGTCACCACCAGGGCAATGCTCAGGGAGCCGTTTGGCTGCAAGGGGTGCGGTTCAGATAGGTTTAGATGGAGTAAAGAATGCAGGCAATTGATATTGTGATGAGGGAGTTGAGTCGCTGAGTCACCACCAGGGCAATGCTCAGGGAGCCGTTTGGCTGCAAGGGGTGCGGTTCAGATAGGTTTAGATGGAGTAAAGAATGCAGGCAATTGATATTGTGATGAGGGAGTTGAGTCGCTGAGTCACCACCAGGGCAATGCTCAGGGAGCCGTTTGGCTGCAAGGGGTGCGGTTCAGATAGGTTTAGATGGAGTAAAGAATGCAGGCAATTGATATTGTGATGAGGGAGTTGAGTCGCTGAGTCACCACCAGGGCAATGCCCAGGGAGCCGTTTGGCTGGAGAATAGTGGAGTTCAATGCGGTGCAAAGGGATGATGAGGGGGGCATGAAAGGGAGCAATCTCGAGGGTGATGAGGGAATTGAGTCGCTGAGTCACCACCAGAGCGATACTGAAAAAGCCGTTGGGTTGGAGTGGTCCGATTGAGATGGGGTTGGATGGAGTAAGAGATGTAGGAAATTGATATTGTGGTGGGGGAGTTGAGTCGCTGAGTCACGACCAGAGCGATGCTGAGAGATCCGTTGGGCTGGAGGGGTTAGTGTGGTGGAATGGGGTTCAATCAGGATATTAAGGGAATGGCAAAGGCAACGTCGGGCATGAGACTTGAGTGGCTGAGTAACGACCAGGGTAATGCTGAGAAATCGGAGGGTTATAATGGTCTATGCTCATAATGGAAGAGCAGCAATTCTAAAGAGTTTGGAGGCTTATAATGGGGATGGGAGAGAGAAGGGATGTGGTAGAAGTGGGTACGATTGGGCAAAAAAGAAATGAAATAAAAAAAGGTTATCGAGAAGGGAAGGGAAAGAAAGAAAGCAGGTACGCTGGAAAAAGCATAGTGGCGGCACACAGCTGCGAAATGACCAATCGCATAAAGCGTTTGCCGGTGTTGCAATATCTTGAAGAAAAAAAACCCCGTATAGTAGGCTATACATATGGCGACGTCAGAACAGACGAACGTCCCGCTTTCCAGGGTGGTGATTGGCCCGAGCGACGACAAGGCCCTGCGCCACCCTGGAAAGCGGGACGTTCGTCTGTTCTGGTGCCAACCTCTGGGTGACTGTAGAGTCGACTCAGTAACTCCTGACAATCCCTGCAAAGCAAACCAAGCCTGCACCCTCTGAGCTGCACTCACGCTTTCCAGGGTGGTGATGGGTCCCAGTGACGACAGCGCGTGGATGGGGTCAAGGCCCTGCGCCACTCGCTGGGCGTCCTCCTGCCGTGGCGAGATGACGGGTGAGGAGAGGAGGGGTTAGAAAGTAAGGGTTGAGATGACTCTTATCTTATCTCATGAGTCATCCCTACTGAAATGAGAACCCAATAGACCCTGCATGGCCTAAGGTATTGAGCCACCCGCTGGAAGCGTTCCTGCCTTAGTGCCAGCGTTCCTGCCTAAACCCAATAGACCTCGCTGGGCTAATGGTCTTAAAAAACAATTGAACTGCTGGTAACAGATGAGATTCAAACCATAAACCACCCATCCAATCGACCTGGGGGAAGCATCAGCCGAGCATCAACTGACCTGGGCGAAATCAAGGAGCTGGTTGGAGAGGCAGGAGCCCCACGGAGCGCTGGCAATGGTGTATTCGATGATGCAGTGTTGAGATTTGAACCCTGAACCTGCCATTCTCTAACAACTGACCTGGGCGAAGTCCAGCAGCTGGTTGGAGAGGCACGACCCCACAGAGCGCTGGCAGCGGTCGGGCTCAAAGCGGAAGGCGCTGAAGCTGGTGCCCACCTTGCTGCACTCGCTGCCGTCCAGCGAGTAGCGCTCCTTGTCCACTAGCAGCCAGCCTGGATCGGGGGGATGAGGAATCGCGATGCAAGAATTTTGCTATGGTGAGAGTTCTTGTGCTGAGATATACGTATAACCTTGGGGCGCTGACTCTGGTGCCCACCTTGCTGCACTCGCTGCCGCCTAGCGAGCAGCGTTCCTTCTCCACTAGCAACCAGCCTGGGGATGGGATCAGGAATCGCGGTGCAGGGATTTTGCCCAGGTCAAAGTTCTTGAGCTGAGCTACAAGCATATCCTTGGGCCACTGAAGCTGGTGCCCACCTTGTTGCACTCGCTGCCGTCCAGCGAGTAGCGCTCCTTGTCCACTAGCAGCCAGCCTGGACGAAAGTTTAGATTGAAGTCTCAGACGACAGAAGGAGGTAAGGGAGAATTATTCGAGAGAGAATTATCCAGGTGGATTTCGCAGGAATGTTAGAGAGAATGGCATTATGAGTTGTGAGACAGACCTGAGATTCTTTGGACACAGGCACATGACCCCACCCCACCTGAAGAGTCGGAGCTGAATCGGCCAAAGGTGGGGGAGCCAGGTTGCAGGGGCACGGAGAGCAGGCGGTCACTCAGGCTGGGCAGCTGCGTGTAGGTCAGGAAGTCAGCTATTTCCCATTCTTTCACCCCTATCCTCCCCCCCTCACCTGGTGTGTATCAAGTACCCTAACCTCACCTGACGTGTCGGAGCTGAATCGGCCAAAGGTGGGAGAGCCAGGTTGCAGGGGCACGGAGAGCAGGCGGTCACTCAGGTTCGGCAGCTGCGTGTAGGTCAGGAAGTCCCATCACCTACCCTTTCTCCCTTTCCCTCGCCGATCCCCCTGCTATCACCTGCGCCCTTCCACTCAACCCCATTTGCAACCCACCTGACGTGTCGGAGGTGAATCGGCCAAACGTGGGGGATCCTGGCTGCAGAGGTACGGAGAGCAGGCGGTCACTCAGGTTGGGCAGCTGCGTGTTGGTCCTCTTTACCCATTCTCCCCGCACTCCGCCCCACCCCCAAATGCAACCCACCTGACGTGTCGGAAGTGAATCGGCCAAACGTGGGGGATCCTGGCTGCAGAGGTACGGAGAGCAGGCGGTCACTCAGGTTGGGCAGCTGCGTGTTGGTCCTCTTTACCCATTCTCCCCGCACTCCGCCCCACCCCCAAATGCAACCCACCTGACGTGTCGGAGGTGAATCGGCCAAACGTGGGGGATCCTGGCTGAAGGGGCACGGACAGAAGGCGGTCACTCAGGTTCGGCAGCTGCGTGTAGGTCAGGAAGTCCCCCACCAGAGTGGCTGAGAGCGATTGAGAGGGGTTGACTGCGACTGGGGCCATGGGCGAGAGGATGAGCGTTTCCTGTGTGCGGGGAGAGGAGAGGAGAGGGGGGGGTTGGGAGAGAAGGAAAGAGAAGGAGAAAGGAGAATTCAACCATTCGAGAAGGAGTAGGCAGTCTAACTCTTAGGAGAACGCATCACACCCTTCACGTGTTAAGCCTGGCCGTACCCAGTCCACAATGACACCCGCAGGTTTCTACGCACGAATCTTCCACACAGCACCTTTTTGAGGCGCCTAAAAAAGCGCCTCAAGAAATTGAGGCGCCTAAAAATTCTGACCGTGCCTAGTCCAGTCCACAATGACACACACCTGTTTCTACGCACTTATCTCCCCTCCCACACAGCACCTCTCCCATGCACGCACCTGCTCGTGAATGAGCCTGAATGAGTTTGCTGCTCGCTGAGAATATGTCCCAAGACCCTCCCACACAGCACCTCTCCCATGCACGCACCTGCTCGTGAATGAGCCTGAATGAGTTTGCTGCTCGCTGAGAATATGTCCCAAGACCCTCCCACACAGCACCTCTCCCATGCACGCACCTGCTCGTGAATGAGCCTGAATGAGTTTGCTGCTCGCTGAGAATATGTCCCAAGACCCTCCCACACAGCACCTCTCCCATGCACGCACCTGCTCGTGTGAGTCGGATAGCACCTCGCTGATGGTGATGCGCATCTGGAAATCACATTCGAGAATTCAATTCTCAAAAGTGATTTCAGCATGGTGTTGTGGATCTGGATTTGAAACAGAGACAGAGGTTCAAGACTCTCTCTCTTGCAACGCCCTTCACCCCTACACCTGGCCGTATCCAGTCCACTACGACACCTGTCGTCGCTCCCACACATCTGCCCCCAATGCAGAGTTGACTTTTGAGTCGACTCAAAAGTCAATCCAGTCCACTACGACACCTGTCGCTCCCACACATCTGCCCCCAATGCAGAGTTGACTTTTGAGTCGACTCAAAAGTCAATCCAGTCCACTACGACACCTGTCGTCGCTCCCACACATCTGCCCCCAATGTACCTGCTCATGCGAGTCAGAGAGAAGCTTGCTGATGGTGATCTGGATCTGGAACACCAGAGACGCCACGCCTATGCGGTACGTGGGGTACCTGGTGGTGTGGAGAGTGGTGGAGAGGAGTGGGGAGGTGAGGACGAGTGTGGGAGACGGGAAAGTAGTGTAGGCAGTTCACGCTATGTTGTACTTGGTGCTGGTCGTCAGAGAGGCGGTGAGGTGGGGTGATATGGACAGTGGGGAGGGGAGGGGAGGGGAGGGGAGTGGAGTGGAGTGGAGTGGAGTGGAGTGGAGTGGAGTGGAGAGGAGAGGAGAGGAGTGGAATGAAATGTGAATGTGCACAAGGTCTACGAATGCACGTGAATTGCAAGATAACATTTTTTCACTGGCCAGGCAAACGGGGCCGTTGTGGATGAATGTGCACACACAAACACGTGGACAAGCGACCATAGAAACGTGCGGCTCTTCTTGTTGAGCGAGCAGAAGGTACCGAACAGAATTCAACATCAACATTAACAAAACAAAACAAAACAAAGCCAAGGGCCACAACTGACCAGGTGTCATTGAACCGAAGGCAGTGGGAACTCGAGGGCACTCCTCCAAAAAACAGCTCTGTGATGGGCGGTGGAAGAGTCAAGATGTGAAACAGAAGCAACTTTTGAGGCGCCTCAAAAGTCGTCTCTGTGATGGGCGGTGGACGAGTCAAGATGTGAAACAGAAGCAACTTTTGAGGCGCCTCAAAAGTCGTCTCTGTGATGGGCGGTGGACGAGTCAAGATGTGAAACAGAAGCAACTTTTGAGGCGCCTCAAAAGTCGTCTCTGTGATGGGCGGTGGACGAGTCAAGATGTGAAACAGAAGCAGAAACACCAAATTAGTCGAAAATCCTTCTGCTGTGTGTTAACGGAAACTACTGGATTGTCCCTACAAACTTCACCCGCTCCTTCCCTCAATCTCTCTCCCTTTTTCCCTTTCCCGCAAAACACGCCTCCCTTCCCCAGCCACTCACTCTGCCGCCACAGGCTACAGTCCAGGTCAGCCCTGAACTGTTGCGGATTGTCCAGACCAATGGAGTCTTTCCACGTGTCACCACCACTGCAACTGCAGCAGAACCCCTGAACGCAAGCAACGGGAAAAATAAGACGAAATCAGGAGGAAAGGTTAGCAAAAGATCATGTGGGGTTCTTGACATTCTGATTCACCTGGCCATTGAGTTGAGAACCCTGGGACAAGCCGGATTGAAGAACCCGCCACATTTACAGAGGGACATTGGCAAAGGCGATCCCTGCGCGGCTGCGCCGTGTTGCTCAGATGGATGTGTGACTCTTAGAATGTTGCCTCACCTAGCTAGCTGTAGTGCACTCGTGTGCTGTCCGGGTAGAGGAACGAACCAGCCTCAGGTGGTTTTTGAGACGTCTCACGTGAAGCGAGGTGGTTTTTGAGACGTCTCACGTGAAGCGAGGTTGTTTTTGAGACGTCTCACGTGAAGCGAGGTGGTTTTTGAGACGTCTCACGTGAAGCGAGGTTGTTTTTGAGACGTCTCACGTGAAGCGAGGTTGTTTTTGAGACGTCTCACGTGAAGCGAGGTTGTTTTTGAGACGTCTCAAAAACCACCTAGCTAGCTGTAGTGCACTCGTGTGCTGTCCGGGTAGAGGAACGAACCAGCCACAGGTGGTTTTTGAGACGTCTCACGTGAAGCGAGGTTGTTTTTGAGACGTCTCACGTGAAGCGAGGTTGTTTTTGAGACGTCTCACGTGAAGCGAGGTGGTTTTTGAGACGTCTCACGTGAAGCGAGGTTGTTTTTGAGACGTCTCACGTGAAGCGAGGTTGTTTTTGAGACGTCTCACGTGAAGCGAGGTGGTTTTTGAGACGTCTCACGTGAAGCGAGGTGGTTTTTGAGACGTCTCAAAAACCACCTAGCTGTAGTGCACTCGTGTGCCGTCCGGGCAGAGGAACGAACCAGCCACAGGTGGGGTCGCTGTCATACGCACTCTCCCTGCACTGCACCCCGTTGCTCACTCGAGTGTGTGATTTGCTCAGCATGTTGATTCACTTGGCTGCTTGAAACCCTGGGGGCCATCCCATCGGGATAGAGGAACCAGCAGCCACGTGTGAGGAGAACCACAGTGAGAAACACGTGTGGGTTCCGTGAGAACCACAGACGTGTTTTGTCCGACAACTCTCCCACCTGGCTGTTGGGCACTCTTGTGCCATCTGGGTAGAGGAACCAGCCGCACGTGGGGTCGCTGTCATATGCACCGTCCCTGCACCCCGTTGTAGTCACCACCACCTCGTACGGCCGGCCATTGAAGGACTGCCACGTGGCAGGCAGAGAGAGGAGAGGGGGGGAGGGAGGGGGGGAGGGGGGGGGGGGGGGACTTCAAGAAAAACAAGAAAACCGGCCCAGCATGCGGAAGAGCCAAGCCTTAGCGGAGTGGATGCGGGCTGCCTGAGCCATTGTAATGCGTGCCTCGGCACGAAAGAAGATCTGGGCTTTGCGTCATTTTCATTTCTTACCCGACGCAAGAAAGGAGGTCAACACTGTAGCTTGTTGCCAGCACTACATCAGTCTTACCTGCAGGAACGTGAGAGGGTACACGGCATATACCGGTGTCTTCACCACGGTGATCTTCACAGGGTCTGCCAACCGCCTCTCCACTCCCTCCCCTCCTCCTGCCCCTCCTCCTGCCACAGTGCCATTCCCTCCTCCGCCGTCCCTGCCCTTGGTGGTGTTTTCTCCCTTGCTGCTGTCTCCATTCCTTCCACCAGCAGCGCCGCCTGTGCTGTCACTGACTCGAGTCAGCACTGCTTCTATTGCCTCTGTCCCAAGCGTCTGGAGGGGAGAAGGGAGAATAGGAGGCACAAGAGGAGGGAGGAACAAGAGAGTGGGTGAATTAAAGTCGGCATGGGCGTCACCTTCTCATGCAAGGCACTTGTGCTGTTTCCAAAGGGGTTTAGGTTTCCTGGCTCTGAGACGTCTCTAGTTTTGAGTCGTCCCAGAACTCGTTTCCTGGGTAAAATTCTGGGAGAAGCAGGCCTGTGGACTCAAGTGAGATTGAACTTTTGAGAATTCTCGAAAGGTCAATCAAAATTCCGGGTGAAGCAGGCCTGTTTTGAGTCGTCCCAAAACTCGTTTCCTGGGTAGCATTATGGGTGAAGCAGGCCTGTGGACTCAAGTGAGAGCACAAACCTCTTCCTGCACTTGACCGTCCTGGCCTTCTGCAGCATTTTCTGCAAGAAGAGGGTAACCTGGCTGGCATCAACTGAATGAATACCATGTGCACTCACATGCCCGTTGGAGACAGCAAGGGACAGCACGATTTTCTTCCTACACTTGACCGACTTGGCCCCGTCTGGTACATACTTCAAAGAGAGGGGTCACCTCACCTGGCAGCAACTGAATGGATAATCTGTGGGGGACTCACATGACCGTTGGAGACAGCAAGCGAGAGCACGATCTTCTTCCTGCACTTCACCGACTTGGCCCCGTCCGGTATGTAACTCGGCTGCTGCTGCTCCCCTCCTCCCCAACCTCCCCCAGGCACTGTTCCTGCTGGACCGTACCCCACTCTTCCATCTCCAATTCCAGCAGTAGCTCCTCCAGCAACCCTCACACCAACAGCACTCGAACCATCAGCATCCGTACCAGCAAGCCCCCCATCAGCCACACACATAGTGAGGTCGCTCTTAGCAATGATGCCTGCTGCACACAGCAGCACACCCCTCAATAGTTTCCCGTCCGTCCAATCCCCACCAAGCACGATCTGGTCCGTCCATTTGCTGACATCCAGCAACAGCAGAGCCACGAAGAGCAAGATGTGCCGACATGCTCGATGCATTATGGAACTCTGCGATTACCCACGCCTTCTGCTGCTGCTTCTGCGTCTGTTTCTGCTTCTGCTGCCACTTTGGGCCTGCTAATTCCAATGCGCTGCTGCTGCTTCTGCCACTTTCTCTATCAAATCTGTGTGGTTCGTCCTGTAACGAAATTCAGCACCGAAGTGAACCCTTCCATAACTTATTCCACGCCGTTATACCCTACTACGCCACATCACTGTGAGGCACTAGCCGGCAATTCGCAAGAGACACTAGCCGAGAGAAACCGGCAGCTAGATTCTTCATGAAAAAGAGAAGAAGAAAACAACTTGCTTTATGAAGCGTCTAATTCTCTCCGTTCCCTTTCCCTCCCAGTGTCTCTATCTGTCTCCTCTCCCCTCTCCTCTCCCTCTGTCTCCTCTCCCTCTCCTCTTCTGAAGAGTCCTCCCTGACCCCTGACGTCCCCTCTCCCTCTTCGCTCACTCCCCACGCCTCATTTCATAGTCATGCCTTTAATCCCGTCCCGTTGTCGCCTTGAACGACTTTCGCGCGAGTTACAACTTACGATTTCGCAGGTTTCTCAGTGACTTCCCCTCTCCCCTACAGCTGGCATGGCAGCGCACTTGTTGTTCACGCAGTGTTCGCCCGCCGGAAGCGTGGCATGATGGTATTCAAGTTCGCGTCACGCGGAACTATTAAAACCGGTGGGAAAACGCTCGGTTCCGTACAAACAGCCGCTCTTGCGACATCATTTCGCGAAGCAATGATTGCTCTGAGCACGGAGGGATTCTTCGCGGATCCGTCGATGAACCGCGTGACCGTTGGAAGCGAGGCCATTTGCTAGTAGAAGCTCGAGCCGCGAGCACGAGAAAACGACAAGAAAAAAGCCGTTTGAAATAACAGCGAGTTCTTGGGAAAGGATCGAGCCGCTGGATGCTGTACACCCCGAAGATTCTGTAAAGTTTTCGTAAATTGTTGCAAGTCTCCGAACAAGTGGTTAGCGAGCGAGCCTCATTACGGACGTTAACGAGCGGTTGGTTAAGATGAACAGCTCGATTCTTTCGCGACGCTATCATTGGCTATTCAACTAACGGGTTCATTGCATGGAGCCGCGTAGAACCGTTTGGAGCTGGGAGATGACTTTGACGAGGATGACATTTCCTGAGCTATGTGCGGCACGATCATACACAGGAAGATGCTGCTAAGTACGGTTGAAACGAAAGTCTCGCAAATGCGTCATTCCTAATGTGAGTGCCGTGCGTGTCGTCATGAGTTCACGTGAAGGCAGGGGAGCCTGAAGGAAATGGACGGAATGGAAGCCATGGCAGCTGAAGGAAGACAATTCAGTGGAAACTGAACTGCATTGTGCTTGTGCTGGGAACTCGGTTCTGACTGAATTGAACCGAAGCGCTATGTGTCAGAGAGAGATATCTGCGTTATTGAGAACCCGGGCTAAATAGAATTCGAAGATATTCGGGGTATGTTTCCATTTTCCAGTAGACTGATTTCCAGGGAGGTTTTTCTCCCAACCCTGATTTTCAGGGTTTTTATCGAGTGCAACTATTTTTTTTTAGTGTAATTTTTTTTTAAGAACAATCATATTCGTTATGAATTCAGAAAATTTTCATCACTCAAAGAAAAGAAAAGCCATTAAACAGACAGCACTATTGCTATTTATATATGTCTGTAATCAAATCAGGGGAGTGTGGATGTACTGATTGGAGGGAGACACCATTATAGCATGTACAGAAATATTTGGTTTCCGTTTGTCCATTTCTGTTGTTTGTATCCAAACCGCAGCGCGAACCCTGGCGAGGAAGCTGGAGGTCAAGTGCGGAGGCAAAGAAATTGATTGTCATTGACGCGGACCGCGACTTCAACCGGCCAATCGCCACCACCGCTTAACTTCAGGGCAACCCCTAACCAGAAGAGAGTCTCGTGTAACTTCGCGACAGTTTCATTCCAGCGAATTCGCATGCTGCCTGATCCGCAAATTGCCGAAATGCTGCATTGCGAAAGGTCTGCACCGCTTCCCGCACCGCATGTCGGCCAATGTGGACGCGCACACACCCAGTAGTCCCCCAACCCTGTCGGATATAAATGGCGTTTCGTGCCTCAAGTCCCTCATCGAATCCCATTCGTGCCTCCTCAACTCCTCTCTCATCCCACTTCAATTTCTCTCTTCCCACCCCAATTTCACTCGACTAAGAACATTCGCGAGCAGTCCAGCCACGCGATCCAGTCTCATTTTCCACAGCTCCCCGAACCAGCAGATTCTTCACGACAATCGTACGCATATTCGCGAAAAATGGCCAGTTCACGGTTCATTCCAATCTTCGGCCTGCTCTGCGTCGTGCTATGCTTCGCCGCCGCTCACGCACAAGCACAAGCGAAGCCCACCAAGGCGCAAATAAAAGCCGAGCTGCAGAACATGGCGAACGCCATCACCAAGAAGTACCCGCAATACTCTAAATACGCAAAGGACATCAACAAGTACATCGGCCTAGCACGTAAGGACTTCAAATCATTACATTCTTTTTTTTTCTCTCTCTCTCTCTCATTACGACGTTTAGCCCCGCCTCATTCTCGTTCAAACGCGAGCAGAAAGTCCCTCACTTGGAATCGTGAAAGTGCGGCGGGATACCGGCTATCGCGCTCCTCTCTTCAGCTTCGTAGCTGGAATTGATATGCGCATCTCGCCACCTATCAGCTATACTCTCTCTACTAGCCCGCGTATTGACAGTATTCGGATCCGCGCTCAGATTCTGTCCCCCCTCTCTCACTCTCTCTCTCCCTCTCCCTCTTTTCCCCTCCCTCTCCTTCTATCTCCAGTGAACTCCAAGTACGATTTCACTGCTCTCAGCGACGCGACCCTCCTACTCCCCAGCGACACGGAGGCCCAGGCCCTCGCTAAAAAGGTTCCCGCTAACAACGCCAACATCCCAAAAATCTACAACATCACCGCGTACCACATCATTCGCAAGAAGTACACCGTTCCCGCCCTCACGGCGCTCAAGAAATCGCAGCCGCTGGGAACGCAGCTGAAGCAGGCGATGTACAAGGTTTCGGTGCAGAATGGTAACACCGTTTCCCTCGCCAAGGCTCCCAACGCCCCCCCTGCCGCGTGGACGACGATCAAGATCGTACGGCTGTACGCTGGGCCGTACTTCATCGCCCACGGCGTGGATAAAGTCCTGATTCCTCCTAACACCAAAGTGTAACCCTTGAGGATACTTGAACGTGGCTCGGTCCTCAGTTGACAGTCAGTCGTGCTGCTGGTTCAACCTCTGAACTCGAGATGACTGGCGGTCAACTGAGCATCAAGGCATATTCTCATAGGGGCCTTGTGAGGCCAGTTTATGACGATGTCACGATGTACAGCAATCAACCCTATCTATTACCGTACCTTCAGTATAGTACTTATTTCCAGTCTTTCAAACTTCGTGAAAGGTCTCTGTGTTATTGAAGTTGCTGCGGAACCAGAGAAGGTCCATCAGGCCTGGAGCCATCAGTCTACCGCATACCACAGCCATCAGTCCATCAGTCCATCAGTCTACCGCATCAGGCTTGACTCGTTCCAATACCTAACCTATCAAGGCCTGCTCCCAGCGCTGCAGCATGATTTTGAACTTCCAGAGAGCCCTATGTACCAAGTACACCTACATCTGCATCTTAGAGCAAACAAACACAAAAAAATGCTTATAGTGAAAATCGGATGGAGACAACATTGAAAAAACATAAAACCATCAGATAAGTGTGTAACAATAGCCCCATGGAGTGAGGGCTGAGCTGTTCCAACCTTGCTTTCTAACTTGACGTGTCCTATACGCCGACCAATGGCCAAGAAGGGCCACATCTGGGAGTGTAGGTGTATATTCCAGTCTAACTGCTGGTTGACTGGTTGAGTGTGGTTGAGTATTGTTGAATGTGGTTGGATGTGGTTGAATGTGGTTGACGAGGCTTGATCAGTGAGCGGGGAGTGGCACGGCTGGGAGGATAAGTCCAAGCAGGCAATCAAGGGATTCGGTAGTAACCCCCAGCAGTTCGCACATCTCCCGGGACCATGGCAGCACGTAGAGGTCACTCAGATTCATAGCGTTTGATCAAGATCGAGTGCAGTTGGGTGCGGTGGAGCGAGGTTTGATCAGTGAGCTGGAAGAAGAACGGCTGGGAGGATGAGGCCGAGCAATCAATCAGGCGACTTAGTGGTGACCCCCAGCAGTTCGCACATCTCCCGGGACGGGACCACGGCAGCACGTTTAGCTTGCTCAGGTTCACAGCGGTTGAGAGCGATCGAGTAAGGTTTGATCAATGGGCGGGGAGCGGCACAGCTGGGAGTATGAGACCGAGCAGGCAGTCAGGGGAGTCGGTAGTGACCCCCAGCAGCTCACACATCTCCCGGGACCACGGCAGCACGTAGAGCATACGTGGCCACACGCCATTGGCCGGAGGGATCTTCACCACCCCTGCACGCTCCTTCTGCCGCAAATAGTCCACCATGCGTGTAAACTGTGAGAGGCAATGGGTGGGGGAAGGGGGGGGGAGCATGATGATTTGTAAGGCGCCTAAAAACTCTTCACCACCCCTGCACGCTCCTTCTGCCGCAAATAGTCCACCATGTGCGTGAACTGTGGGCATGTGAAGAGGGGGGCAAGGGGAGGACGGGAGAGGACGAGGAGACGAAGCTTCTTCTGCCGCAGATAGTCCTGCCATGCACTTGAACTGTGGGTTGGGTTCAAGCCAAGACCTGCAGTGTCGGTTGCATTGGGTACAACGGGGTGAACATGAAGTCAACTTGAGAATTGCATTAAGCCGACTCGAACCGGCCAGCAGTTTTTACGCATGCTTGCTTCAAAAGGTACTCATTCCAGAGGATCTGGCTGCAACTTGCAGGTCAACTGGCCAGCAAGCAGCATCGAGTGAGAAAGAGCTGACTGCAAGTTGCAAGTTGCAAGTGGCAAGCAAGCAACTTGCACACGGCATACCCGGTTCAAGAGACACTCACCCCAGAGGATGGGCCAGCAGCGTCGGTTGGGCGAGCAGCAGAGGATGAGGAGGGCAGCGGGACGAGAAGGCACACCTCCCTCTGATGCACACACACAGGGGCGGCCGGAGCGCGCGATAGAGAAAAAAATAGAAGGAAAAAAAGTATATACGAAACAACGGATGAGAGGAGCAGGTCGGGGAACATGAAAGGAACAACATGCACATGAAGATGCAAAAAGCACCGGAGGATGCTTGTTGGGAATGGAAGCACCGGGGGATGCATAACATAACATGGGGCTGTGAACTGACGTGATGATGATGATGATGATGATATGATGATGATGATGATGATGATGATGATGATGATGATGATGATGATGATGATGATGATGATGATGATGATGATGATGATGATGATGATGATGATGATGATGATGATGATGATGATGATGATGATGATGATGATGATGATGATGTTGCGATGAAACATGCTTTGAGAATTCATGGTTAATAAGGGCCTTCCTAACAGGAAAATATTGGTGAGGAATATCCATGCAGGAGAAGAGGCTTACCCGAGAGCTGGGGCAGGCATTGAAAGTGTTTCGCACTGCCCGGAAATCTGCCCGCTTTGTCACGTCCAACTTATCAGGCCACCTGGCAAAAAAGCAGGGAATAGGGATCACCAAAGGCATGACCAATGCACACCAAACAGCGCACGACGGACGATTTCAGTCTCATCCCATTGGTGCAGCTCAAGCTGTGCCCCAACCCAATAAGGGACGATTACTGAGGCACCTATAAAAAATCCTCACCCGAGTGGCTCGTGCTGGCCTGCTTTGAGCAAGGGGTTGTAGCGACTGCCTCGGATCTGCTGCCTGGCAGCGGCCTGCACTTGTGTGTGTTGAGTCGACTCAAAACACACCTGCCCTGCACTCTCAACTCCAACTCACCCGAGTGGCTCGTGCTGGCCTGCTGTGAGAGCGGGGTCGTAACGGCTGCCTCGGATCTGCTGCCTGGAAGCAGCCACGTGGCAGTACATCACCCCGCTCTTGCACACAGCAAAGCAGCACCACACCGCACCACACCGCACCGCACAGCACAGCATAACACACAGCTAGGAACTCACCCGAGTGGCTCGTGCTGGCCTGCAGTAAGGGCCGGGTCGTAGCGGCTGCCTCGGATCTGCTGCCTGGAAGCAGCCACGTGGCAGTACATCACCCCGCTCTTGCACAGCGCAAAGCGCGGCAGCAGCGACAGCTGCAGCTGCTGCTGCTGCTGCCTCTGCGCCTGCAGTTCCTGCAGCACCATTTGCTGCTGCTGCTGCTGCTGCTGCAGCTCATCCGCCTTCTCCCCTTCTCCTCGCCTTTCCTCGCTCACGCCAGCTGTCGATGTGTCTTTCTTTGACTCGTTTCCGTCCGCTTCCCGCCCTTCCTCCCTCGCAGCCTTCCTTTCCATTTGCGAAGAGGCAGCACCAACACCAGCAGCACCAACCGCAGCACCAACGTCAGCAGCAGCAACACGAGAAGGGGCAACACCGCCAGAAACACCAACACCAGCAGCAGCAGCGGCAGCATCAGCAACAGCAGCAGAAGCAGCAGCAGCTGACGTTGGTAAAGCAGAGGACGAGGGAGGAGGAGGAGGTGGAAGGGGAGGGGGCCCAGGAGGAGCAACAGGAGACTCTTGAGGGGGTGGGGGCGGGGGCAGGAGTGGAGGAGGAAGAGAAGGGGGAGTAGGAGCGGGGGGCGATAGGGGTACAGTAGGGAAGCGGGGAGGGGAGGGTTGCAAGACAGGAGGCTGGGCAGCAGCAGTGTGAGGCGCAGACACAATCGCAGGCACAGACGCAGGCACAGGAACAGGCATAGGTATAGGCACAGACATGTGCTTGATAGTGGCACCATCGTCATCATCAAAATCCATGTCCGTTTCCTCCTGTGCTGCCCCCATACCCTCCTGTGCCCCCATACCCTCCTGTGCCCCCATACCCTCCATACCCATACCCATACCCACAGCGGGAGCAGCAGCACCACCCACTGCACCACCCGCTGCAACCGCTCCCCCTTCTCCTGCCCTTCCATCCAATCCTCTTCCTCTTCTCTCCTCTCCCTCCCTTGGAGCCCCCAACAACCCTGCCCTGTCTGTTGAGTCTGTGAGGGGGAGAGACGATGCGGGGGGTGGGAGAGGCGGGAGAGGCGTGACAGGGGCGGCAGTGGGTGGGAGCGGAACAATGGCAGATGGATGGGGAGAAAGAGGAGGAGGAGGCAGAGGAGGGGGGGGAGGAAGCGACGCAAAAGCTGTACCAATCGGTGATGCTGCTGCTGCTCCTGCTCCTGCCATTGCTCCTGCTCCTGCTGCTCCTCCTGCTCCTGGTCCTGCCCCTGCCATCCCACCTGCTGCGCCCATCCCACCTGCAAAGTCATCTCCCACCCGTGCACTATCCCACTTCCGAGATATCTCAAAACTGGCCCCTCCTCCGTCCGCTGCCCCTGCACCTGTCATTACACCTGCTGTTACATCTGCCGTTACACCTGCTGTTACATCTGGCGTTACACCTGTAGCTACACCTGCCGCTCTGCCCCTAGCAGACCCCACGAGGTGAGAGGGGTGGGGTGGGAGAGAGGTGGAGGAAGAGGGTGTGTGTAGATGGGAAGAGGGGATGTGTGGATGGGAGGCGGAAGAGTGTGAATGGGAGGAGGGGATATGAGGATGGGAGGAGGGAGTGTGTGGATGGGGATGAGATGGTTCGCGAATGTCCCATCTGCTGCTGCTGCCACTTGCAGTGAGTCTCGGTGCACTTTCCTCTGTTACACTGTTACCACCACCAGCACCAGCACCAACACCACCACCAGAACCAGCACCAGCAGCACTACCACCGCCACTGGCACCAGAAACAGCGCCAGCAGTTGAAGCAGCAGTGGCACCTGAAACAGCAGCAGCGGCGGCCGCAGCTGCCGCTGCTGCAGCGGCAGCGATGTTCCCAGCAGCGATCTGCTGCTGCTCTGCCTGCTGCAATGACATAGCAGAGTTGCTGGTGGGAGGGGAAAGGCAAGTATTATGGAGCGGGAGGGAAGAAGCGTGTTAATTTAAGGCGCCTATAAAAACATCAGCACCTGCTGCTGCTGTGGCAGCGATGTTTCCTGCAGCGATCTGCTGCTGCTCTGCCTGCTGCAACGGCAAGGCAGAGTTGCTGGTGGGAGGAGAGGGACAGGCAATAAGGAGGGAGCAGGAAACGATATTTGAGATGCCTAAGAGAGCCACTTGCTGCTGCTCTGCCTGCTGAAACGACATGGCAGAGTTGCTGGTAGGGGGAGGGGGGGGGGGGGGGGGGCAGGCAAGTTTAAGGGAGAGTCAAGGAAAAAGCGTGTTATTTAAGGGGCTTAAAAAAACACCAGCACGGTTGCTGCTAAAGCTGCAGAAATGTTCCCAGCAGCGATCTGCTGCTGCTCTGCCTGCTGCAGCGACATAGCAGAGTTGATGGTGGGAGGGAGCAGGCAAATATAAAAAAGCAGGATGGAGGAAGTGTGATTTTAGGCGCCTAACACAGCAGCAGCAGCTTCTGCTGCAGCGATGTTCCCTGCAGCAATATGCTGCTGCTCTGCCTGCTCCAGAGGCATGGCAGAGGTGCTGGTGGGAGGGGGCAGGACAGGCACACAGGAGGGATCAGAAAGGAAGGAAGATGGGGGTTAAGGTTGGACCAAGTCACTTTGGCGCAAGATTACAACCCTTGGTCTCACCTGATCTGAACTTGCACGGCAAAGTCAAAACTCTCCAAAGCCACAATGTTCCTCAGTGCAGTAACAGCCGCCTCCACACGGTCAAACTCAATGAACCAGCACGGACCCCGCATTGATCTCACACTCCTCCTCACGCGCGTCGCATACCCCCTGCCTGCTGCAGCAGCGGACGTGATGGCCTCATATCACTCGCCTGAACAGCCCTTGCACAGAGGAATCAAATCGCTCAGACGCCACAATGTTCCTCAGTGCAGTAACAGCCGCCTCCACGCGGTCAAACTCAATGTTCACCCTCCTGGTTGCCCTCCTGCTCGCCCCCCTGCTCGCCCCCCTGCTCGCCCCGCTGTTCGCTCCCTGCTCGCCCCGCTGCTCGCCCCGCTGTTCGCCCCGCTGTTCGCTCCCTGCTCGCCCCGCCTCTACTCCTCCCTGCTCGCCCCGCCTCTACTCCTCCGTTTCCTAACCACTTTTTGGTTTTCCTGAATCAGCGCTTCGATGTCTGCCTCCGTCCCCTCGAACAGAATCTTCACGACCTCTTTCCAGCTCTTGGTAGCGGGTTTTCCACACATCTAGCGTGCGTACCGGATCGAATTGCTCACCTGAACTGCACTTGGACTGCAGAGTCAACTCGCTCCGAAGCTACAATGCTCCGTAGTGGAGTAGCAGCCACCTCGATGCGGTCAAACTCGACTAAACAAACGCCTGCTCGTTTAGAAGACAGGCCTACTTGCCTCACCTGAACTGCACTTGCACGGCGGAGTCGAATTGCTCCGAAGCCACAATGTTCCTGAGCGCAGTAGCAGCCGCCTCCACTCGGTCAAACTCGATGAACTGGCATACAGACAGACCCCTCATGGACTGCACACTGCGCAAGTCAATACGACAAGCCTTAGCTCACCTGAACTGCACTTGGACTGCGGAGTCAAATCGCTCCGAAGCCACAATGTTCCTCAGCGCAGTAGCAGCCGCCTCGACTCGGTCAAACTCGATGAACCGGCACGGGCCCCTCATGGATCTCGCACTCCGCACGCGCGTCACATACCCCCTGCCTGCCGCAGCAGCCGTGAAAATCCCCTGTAACTCGGATTCAGACAGGCTGAACGCAGCCATGGCTGCTGCTGCACTGGCGGCGGAGTGGGTTGAGATTGCCTGCTCCGATATGCCCATCCAGAGAGTGCTAGTTGGTACCCGCTCCTTCCCTCCTGTTCCGTACACCACTCCTGCTCCTGCTCCCGATCCTACTCCTGCTCCTCCCGCTCCTCCTGATCCAGCCCCAGCTCCTCCTATTCCTGCCGAGCCTGCTGCCAAACCTGTGCCCGCACCTGCTGCTGCTCCTGCCACACCTGCTGCCCCTGCAGCCCCCCCATCGTGGTCCCTCTCTCTCACCCCACCCTCACCCATCCCCGCCAGCCCGCCTCCCGAACCTATCCCACCGGCACCCAGGCCCGGCACCGAGCCTGCGCCCAAGCCTCCGCCCAAGCCTGCGCCCATGCTTCGGAGGAACCTGAGGCTGGCAGCGGACTGGGCGGCAAGGGTGTGGGCGGCGGCAGACTGGGCGGCGAGAGTGTGGGCAGCAGTGGGGGTGAAGGGGAGGCGGGAGGGGAGGCCTGGGATGGGGAGGAAGGCGAGGGGCATGAGGCGAGCTGCGGGGGAGAGGGCGTGCAGGTGGGAGAGAGAGGCGTGTTGGGGGGAGGGTGCAGCTCGTGATGCTGCATGCTTGAACTCCACCTGGTGGACGATGGGGAGGAGGGGAGAGGGGAGGAGGAGAAACGGAGGAGGAGGTGAGGTGAGGGCAAGGAAAGGGACAAGAAAGAGAGAAGGGCAGCAGCAGTGGGGACAGGGAGATGCAGTGGGAGGATTTGAGGCGTCTCAAATTTCGAGATGTGATAAGAGTGAAGTTTTGAGACGCCTCAAAAGGGACAAGAAAGGGAGAAGGGCAGCAGCAATGGGGACAGGGAGATGCAGAGGGAGGAGGGAGCTGCTCTGCTCGTAATGCTGCATGCTTGAACTCCACCTGATGGACGAGGCGCGAGGCGGGGAGAGATAATGGAGAAGGGGAGAGAGAGGAAGAGGGGGGAACAAGTCGCGAGAAAGTGAGGGTGGAAGAGGGTAAGAAGAAGAGGTGCATATCTGGATGCTGAAGCAGCGGTATCGTGCTCCATTGAGGGTGGATTCAACTCAGAAGTGCGTACAGAGTCCGCTCAAAATGCAACACACTGACTGAATGGCATGTGTCAAAGTGCACAGCACACACACCCCACAGAGGTGCCACACCTGGATGTTAGCACAGCCGTATCGAGCCCCGTTGAGCCGCGACCGAGCCAGAATAGCCGACTCTGCCGACCGGAAATCAATAAACGCCGACACGAGCGAAGCACCTCCTGACTGACCCTTCACTCCGTCTGCCGCCCCTCCTGCTCCCGTGCTCCCTCCCCCTTCACTCTCCCCACCACTGAAACTACTGCCAGCAGCAGCAGCAGCTGCTGCTGCTCCAGCTGGCCCTGCGCCAGATCCGCCCGCTCCCGCTCCTCCCTCTTGCTGACCTGGCGGCTTCACAAAACGCCAGCTGGCGATCTCGCCGTACTGCGCAAACGCCGACAGGATCTCGTGCTCGGGGACCGTCGGATCGATCTTCCCCACCCACAGGTGCCGGGCGGCAGACGGGCCGCCCACCACCAGCGCTGACGTCATCCCTGACGCGGCTGCTGCTGCCGCCGCTACAGCCTGCGCACCGGGGGTGTTGGCTGCTGCTGCCGCTACAGCCGCTGCTAGAGCCTGCTGGGTTGTTGTGTGGGTAGGGGTAAACCCTCCCCCCACCCCTGCTGCTCCTGGTGCTGCCAGTGCTGCTGGCGTGCCTGCTGTTGCTGCTGCCGCTGCTGCTCGTGCAGCTGTTGCTGCTGATGGTGTGGTGCTGGCTGTTGCAGAGGGAATGGCAGATCCTGAGCCGCGGATAACAGGGGAAAGAGCTGCAGCCGCAGCAGCAGACGCCGCCGCTGCTGCCGCAGCAGCAGCGGAAGAATGAGCGTGAGGGCTGGAGAACCCTCCAAAGCCACCACCAGGGCCGGCAGCAGCCGCTGCTGCTGGTGATGGCGATGGTGATGGTGACCCTGCTGCTGCTGCCGCAGACAGAGGAGGAGCCTTGGTTACAGAGTAACCCCTCTCTCTACTTCCCCCTCTTCTGAATCCTCCTGCCAATCCACTATCTCCACCACCATCAGCAGAAGCAGAACCAGCAGGAGTGGCACCACGGACATAACCACTCTCCCCTGCACCATCTCCCTCTCCTCCCCCTGCTGCCCCTCCTGCTGCTCCTCCTGCTGCTCCTCCTGCTGCTCCTCCTGCCGCTGCTGCTGGCACCGGCACCACCCCTCGTTTTAAGAACATCAGCGCCATGTTAGCATCCTCCTGCCTCCTGAATTCCAGGAGCAGTGCGCTGGCGCTGACTAGGACCGACACGTGGGCGGGCGGCGGGACTCCGGCAGATGCCAGCCGCTGCAGCAGGCTCTCCTTGGCGCTCGCACTGTTCACGCCGCCCACCCACACATGCAACCGAGAAGCGGGCGGTGGCACTTCAGAACCCCCACTAGCAGCCGCAGCAGCAGTAGGCGGCAGAGGAAGAGGAGGCGTACCCGCTCGACCCATCTCCACCCCTCTGTCTCCCCCCATCCCCCCACCCACCCCTCCAAACCCCTGCAAATGCGCCCCCAGAAACCCTAACCCTAAGCCCCTGCCAGCTGCAGCAGCAGCGGCAGCAGCAGCCGCAGCTGCACCTATAGGTAACCCCAAAGCCCTCCGGTTACTGGTAACCAGACCGAGAGGCGAGCCAGTGAGACTGGGAGAAAACCCAGTTTGCCTCATGCCTCCCTCTCTATACCCTAGCTCCCGCAGGCTATCTCGATCCCGATCCCTCCCATCCATCCCTACCTCTCCTCCTCCTCTCTCTCGTGCCAACATCAAACCTCCCCCACCAGGTAACCCCCCCCCAGGTATACCCCCACCAGGTAAACCTCCCCCAGGTAACCCTCCCCCCGGGCCATCCCCAAAGCGCACGTGCAGCCTTCTCCCCCACAGCACCACCCCATTCAGCCCCTCCCTTGCCCTCACCGCCTCACGTACAGTCACCATCGTTACCACCACATGCACTGGCGTGCCATGCTCCCTTCCCCCGCCCCCTCCTCCCCTTCCTCTCCCTCCTCCCCCTCCCCCTCCCCCTCCCCCTCCCCCTCCCCCTCCCCCTCCTCCCAGCCCATCCCGCTCCTCCCCTCCACCAACACCCCCTCCGAAACCACTCCCAGGTGCACCTACCCCAGTCCCACCTACCCCGCCGCCCGCCACCACCACCACCTCATCCACGGGCCCGAATTTCTCAAAGAGGGAGCGCAGAACCGTCCTGTGGCCTTCCCCAGATACGCCCTCCACCGGGACAGGCGCCCCTGCCTCGGAACAGAAGGTGAGCTCCAGGAACCGCGTCACAGTAAACACCTCCCCGTCCCACGACCACCCAGATACACCTGAGCCAGCACCTGACGCAACACCTGAACCAACAGCAGCAGCGGCAGCAGCTCCTGCTCCTCCTGCCGCCCCACCCCTCTCTAATTCCCTCTGCTGCGCCTCCTTCCCCACTCCTCCCCGCTCGTCCCTCTCTCCCTCGCCCCTGTCCCCACCACCAGCCTTAACACCACCACTACCAGCAGAACCAGCACCAGCGGAACCCACTGCCGTAGCAGCCGCCGTCGACGCTGCCGCCGCCGCCGCTGCAGCAGCAGCAGCAGCGGCAGCAGCAGAGGCAGCACTTGCGTCTCTGAGGGCACCTAGCAGAGTCTGGAGCGGGTTCCAGGCATCCCCAAGGGAGTCTATCGCTGCCGAGCCACTCCGCCGAACCTGCTGCAGCACCGCAGCTAGCCACCGAAGCGACTCCGGACGTCCATCCAAGGCGTGGAATGCCATGCTTGACTGCTCCTCCTGCGCTCTCTTCCTCTTGCTCCTGGCACTCTCCTCCTTGCCCGTCTCTCCTTGTAGCCCGAACTCCTCTCTCCCCTCCTTTTCTTCCCTGCCCTCCCTGTCCTCCCTGCCCTCCCTGTCCTCCCTCCCTTCACTGCCCCCCCTAGCCTCCTTCAAGTCTTCCTTCTCTTCCTTAAAAACCATCTTTGATGCACTCCCCTCTGCCTCTTCCTCCACTTTCTCCTCCTCCTCTGCTTTTCCTATCTTCTCCTTCCTCAGACCACTCACCTCATCGCCTTCGTCACCATCACCATCACGAGCCTCCTTCTCACTTTCACCCGCTGCTAATGCTGCTGCTGCTGCTGCTGTTGCTGCTGCTGCCCCTCTCTCTCCTCCCTCCTCTCCTCCCTTACCCTCATCGTCTTTCTCGTCCCCTTCCTTCATCTCCATCCCTTCATCCCCCCCTTCTTCCTTTCCCTTCTCCTCCTTCTCTTTCTCCTTCTCTTTCTCACTAACCTTTGCCCTCTTACCCTTCCTCCTGCCTTCTTTACTCTCCCACTCCCCCTCCCCTCCCACCACCTCCCGAGCAGCAGTCACCTGCAGAAGAAACGAGATCGCCTGCTTACCCCTCTGCCTCTCACCACCACCCCTCCCCACCCCTCCACACCCCCCCGTCCTTGCCTGCTCTATCGCCGCTCCCAGCATCGCCTCTGGCTGTAACTGCATCGCCCGAACCACCGCCGCTGCCACGATCTGCTTAACCGAGGCTAGCTCCGGACCTGCGGTCAGCTCCAGGCTTCCGTCCTCCGAGCCTGAGTCTGGTGGTAACCCTACTGCGGTGCTGCTACCTCCAGTTCTGTTCCTTTCTGCATCGTACAACGAGCCACCGTCAGGAGAAATTCCCCGTTTGCCCTCAGCCAACGCTGCTGCTGATACCGCTCCATCTCCTGTTAAAGGCCTTCCACTCAAATCGGTAACAGAGGAAGGAGCGTTGAAATCGCCACCGGCAGCAGCAGCACCAGCATCACCACCACCAGCAACATCACCAGCAATGGCAGCAGCAGCCGCAGCTGCTGCTGAGTCAGGAGCATGAAAGGGAGGCAGGGGCAGAGTGCAATCCGGATGCAGGTGCGACAGGAGAAACCGGGCCACATCCCGAGACACAGCAGAGGAGAGGTACGCCGGAGCAGACGTGCGCGAGGAGGGGGCTGTAGCAGACGCTGCAGCCGCCGCTACAGCCAGGATGGACGCCAGGCCGAGGAACGCCGACCGCACCGTCGCCATGATTACCTTGGTGTCGTCGGGCTGCGGGCCGAGATTGCGGCGACATGCTGCTTTGTTGGTACCACCAGGTACAGGGCGCTCAGCTGCTGCTGCTGCTGCTGCTGCTGCTGCTGCTGATTCTGTTGATGCCTCTGCAGAGGCGGCAGTCGTGGAATCGCCAGGGCCTTGTTCCATACCCGACCCTTCTTCTTCCTTTGCTGCTCCTCCTCCTGCTTCCCCTCCACCTGCTTTCTCACGCGCCCCTGACTCCCCCTGCTGCCCCTGCACCCCCCTTTCCCCCTGCTCGGACTTTCCCTCCGCCCCTTCCCCCTGTGCGCCTCTCCCGTCCCCTGCTTCCCCCTGCGCGCCTCTACCCCCCTCCGCTTCCCCCTCCCCCGCTTCCCCCTGGCGCTGCAGCAGCTCCGCCACGCACCAATCCGCGAGCTGCATGAGCGTCTGTGCCGCGTCCGGCAATCCCGAGGGGCAGAAGCGCGCATAGCGGGGGATGAGGCCCGCTGCTACCCTCCGCACGCTGATGCAGCCTGGGGGGAAGGGGGGAGGGGGAGGTGGGGGAGGAAAGAGTGGGGAGAGAGAGCTGCATGAGCGTCTGCGCCGCGTCCGGCAATCCCGAGGGGCAGAAGCGCGCATAGCGGGGGATGAGGCCCGCTGCTACCCTCCGCACGCTGATGCAGCCTGGGGGGAAATAAGGGACGGGGAAGAGGGGTAAGGGAAAAAGGAGGGGGGGTATCAGGGGAAGAGCGTCCAGCAGTCCCGAGGGGCAAAGCGTGCATAGCCTTGGATGAGATCCGCTGCTACCCTCCGCACGCTGATGCAGCCTGGGGGGAAGGGACGGAGGGGGGAGCGAGCGGGTTATAATGAAGGAGCGAGTTGATACTCCCTCGCGTATCCTAGCTGAACTAACGAAGTAAGTACCTTATCTTATCCCGATCCGGCTACTTCGTTGGTCCGGCTAGGTTACGCGTGGAATTATTTTAGCATCGTAAAAAACACCGCATCCCTCCCAAAGCCTCTTCCCTTATGCCGTACCCCATGTCTTGAGACGTCTTAAAATTTTTAAGTTTTGAGACGTCTCAAAGCTCCCAAGGCCTCTTTCCCTATACCGTACCCCATGCCGTACCCTACGCGGTACCTAGATATATTAAAATTCCATTGTCTTAGCTATCCCGTTCCTAGGCCGTTCCGTATGCCATACGCTATCCCTAACCCTATCCCGCACCCTATCCCGCACCCTGTCGCGTACCTTAATAACGAACCTTTACCGCATTCAACCCCGCACCTTGAGCCGCGTCAAGCATCGCAAAGAACGCTGCCTGGATGTCTTTATCCGCTCCCGGCGGTTCCCCGCCGTCGCCTCTCCGCCGCTGCAGCGCCGCGCGCAGCCGCCCGTACGCGCGGAACACAGCCGCCAGCTGCGCGCGATTCCCCGCCTTGGCTGCACGATCCGCGGGGCTAAAGCTGCCGCAGCCCCCCCCGAATCCGCCATCGGAGCCGGATTTGATCGCAGCGCGACTAGCGATTGCTTTCGCCGATGCCATATCACTGACGTGTGTAACCGGCTCTTACTGAGAGTGCGGCGAGCACACAATGTGACACTAACGGGGATGGAGAGCGTAAAACTGTACTAATGTGAAGGCTAACGAGGCTAATATAGCGTTATCATCCTCGTTACAGTATAATTCCTGTTAAAAAAACAAATCCACGCCATACGACCGCTCAGACACAGACATGAGACAGAGACACGCGAAGGAGTCCGAACAGCGGGACACGCGTCCAGTCAATCAACGGTATTGTTGCTGACAGATTTGTGAAGAGCCTAGATAACTCCAGCAGCTGCTGTGAAAGGCAAACCAAGGTGAAGTGGAGGGAACGCCAAAGCTTTTTAGAAGCAACTTCGATACGTGGAATCAGAACCATGCACAGAAGGCATGGTGTTGACCAGTCTTTGAAGATACAGTAATCAAAAAGATATATACATATTTTTTCCAAGTGCTTAGTACACCCAAAGGTATTAGTACGGGTTACAATAGCTACACATTGTTATATATATGGATAAATTTCCCAAACCACTCTACCAGATAACGCTTTCATTTTCCACTCATCTCTCCACCACCCTACAACCTTGCCTACTCAACTTCCCATGCTAGCCAAAGCCAAATCTGGCGATTCAAGACCTACAGGGCTGCGAGCACTGCTGGGAGTAGCACCTGCACCTACACCTGCACCTAGGGATGCAGCAGCAGGTACAATCCCGAGGTTTTCCGCTCCCCTACTCGCATCACACGCATAGAGATTCGCCACGCTGTCAGCAGCCACGTCAGCAGCGCCTGCTGTTTGCGCTTCTCGTCCTGCCTCTGCATCTGTACCCAAGTCCACATCCATCCACTCATCCACCTGCCTGCTGCTCTCACTCCCTAACCTCTCAATCCCTCGCCTCTCCCCCACACCAGCATCCACCTCATTCCCCACTGCGCCTCCTTCCCTGGGAAACTCCTGCCCTAGGCTGTAACCCGAAGCTGTAACACTCGGAGCTGTAACATTTGAAGCGGCAACATCAGAAGCAGAAACATGAGCATTTGTATCGACTGCCAGTATATCAACAGCTGGCGACAACACATGAGGTGTAGGAGCTGTATGGTGAGCAGGTGAGCTATACGGCGCTGCTGCTAGGGTGTACGGGGCTGGAGACATGGTGTAGGAAGGCGACGGGAGAGTGAGGGACGGAGAGGGGAAGGACGAGGGCAAGGAGGGCGACGGGAAGGAGGACAGGTGTGGGAACGGGCTCAGCGGAGGCCCGTACAGCTCCGAACCTGCCCCGAACAGGCCCGGAGCGACCGAACCAAACGAGGCACTACCGAACCCACTGCTGCCGCCGCACCCACTGAAACTGTTGCAAAGGCTGCTCCCACCACTCACTCCTCCTCCTCCTGCTGGTGAGGTGGGTTTGTGTGCGGGACTGGGACTGTGGGTGAGAATCCAGGAATCAGCAGCTGCAGAAGCACCTGAGTGCATGAGACCACCTGGGGAGCTCGGAGCATACACGTGCTGCTTCTGGGAAGGTGCGGCTGCGTATGTGAGTGCGGACGGGTCTGAGAGTGCAGCAGTGGTTGGAAGAGCAGGAGAGTTGGCTGGGGAGCAGCCTGAAAGATTAGCAGCGTTGTCAAACGTGTTAAATCCTGCAGCATCAGCATCTTCGCTTGTTGTTCCTCCTGCTGATGCTGCTGCTGCTGCTGCTGCTGCTGGAAGATCCATTTCCTCTCTTGCACGCTTCCTGGAACCTTCATTTAACGAGTGGAACTGCGCTGCTGCTGACGTGTCGACGAGTGATGCTGACGTATTCCCATGCACACGCTTCACCTTCACCCTGTGTGGGCGATCAGCTGGTGCTTTGAACAGACCCGAGGACCGATTCCCATCTCCACTTGAACCAGGAATCGTCTTCAAGTCACGGTTCATCTGCTGTGCGTCCACCTCTTCTGCTCTCGACCTACCCTGCAGCTGCATATCCGCCTGCTCCCCTCCTGCTGCTCGCTCCTCTCCCACAGGCGTCTCGCCGCTCACCACCGTTGTTTCCCCGTCTCCTGCCCGGTTTGCTGCCCCGTCCTCCCACTCTGCCCCCCCTGCCCCAGCACCAGCAGCAACGGGGCGAGCAAGTACCGATCCATTCATGGTGATGAGCACATGCCGCCTCTTCCTCCCTTGCATGTTCCTCCCTTGCATCGCTTCATACTGCTGCATCGCCTGCTCGTCTCCCTCTCCCTCCTCATCTCCCCCCACCTCTTCCTTGTCCTCGTCATCATCTCCCCCCTCCTCTTCCTCCCCACTCACACACTCCTCTTCCTCCTCATCATCATCTCCCTCCTCCTCCTCATCCCCCACTCCCCCCCCTTCTCTAATTTCCAATGACCCCTGCATTTCATATCCCCCACCCTCATAATCACACAAACCGTCCTCCTCCCCTCTCTCATCATCCCCCCCCTCCTCTTCTTCCTCCTCATCCTCCTCTTCTTCCTCCTCCTCATCCTCCACTTCCTCCTCTTCCTCCTCTTCCTCCTCTTCCACCACCACTTCCACCGCAGCACCACTCCCAACCGCACCCAAACCCTGGACTCTCACTCCATACTCCACAAAACCCCCTCTCATCTCCTCCTCTCCATCCCCCTCCTCTTCTTCTTCCTCTTCATCCTCCTCCTCCTCCTCCTCCTCATCCTCCTCCTCATCCCCCTCACCTTCCCCCACCTCCCCTCCTCCTCCCTCCTGGACCTGCAGACCCAGAATCAAACCCTTTCCATGCACTCTCCCAACCTCCCCCTCCCCCTCCTCTTCCTCCTCCTCCTCCTCTTCCTCTTCCACCACCAATTCCGTCTCATCATCATCTGAATCGGCCTCCATGCCCGGAATCCTATTCTGCAGGGCTCGTCTCCTCAGCACAAACACATTGAAATAGAAGCTAACAAGCTCCTTCACACTCCGCACGCGCCTCCTCCGCCGCCCATCCGCGCACATCCCCATCCCCGCTAGAATCCCCCCCTGATCCCCCGCGCCCTCCCCCCCAGCCTCCCCCTCCGCCCCTCCAGCAGACGCAAACGCGCGTTTTAGGGGTCCCCAGAAGTCTAGACCCTTGCTCTGCGGGTAAAGTTCGACAATAGTCAGGAAAAGCTCTATGTCTTCGGGGCTCCACCCCTCCGCCACCTTCTCCCCCATCTCCGCCAGCCCCAGCGCGTGATACGCGGCGGGCCCCAGCTCCGCCTCCAGATCCTCGTCCGCCTCGTGGCAGTGCGCGCGCACGCAGTCCGCGGACCCCGCCTTGTCCGCCCCGCACGCCGCGCACGCGCCGGGCGGAACGCGCAGGAGGTCGCGAGGGGGGAGGTGGTGGATTGTGCGGGACGGCTGGCGCTGGGATGGGAAGGGGGGGTCTTGGGGGGAGCCAGGGTGGTGGTGGTGGTGGTGGTGTTGGCGGCGGTGGTGGTGGTGGTGGTCCGGTAATGCATTCGGCTGCTCCTGCTGCTGTTGCCACGTGGCGGGTAGTGATTCGTCGAGAGGCGGGGGCTGTGCGGCTGCAGCAACAGGTTGAGCGACAGCCTCCTGGGTTGCCATGGATGATGCGACGGTTCCGGCGATTCCGCTGCAGCTCTGTGCGACAGTCCCTGCGACTTCTTGGGTGCCGTGCGACGAGGCTCCAGCTGCTGGCGACGTCGAGTCACGAGACGTGAGATTGCTAGCTGCGACACTGTCTGTTGCGACGTTAGAAGCCGCATCGCAATCGCCTAAAGCGGAAACGGAGCCGCCATCGATATTACCCTGAGAATCATTCACGCTAACATCAGCAACAGTGGCTGATAATACCAACGGAGCAGCAACGATATCACCTCTCTCTCCTCCCTCCAACACTAACTCGCCATCGATGATACCAGCATCTTCGTTAGTGTCACCGCCTTTATTGTCACCATCATGATCCGCCGCGCCAAGCATACCCTGAGGCACGTGCCAGTTGACCTTGCCTCCCGCCGAAGCAGCCAATGTCCCTCCGAGCCTCAGGTACGGGTTCCCCTTGCCTGCTCCTCTACCGACCCGCCTGGACCGGGCTAGGTCCGGCCAGACCTGCGTGCCGAGCCACTTCGCTTCCCATGCCAGCTCAGCATCACACGTTCCTTCTTCGCAGCAAACCCCGACCTCACCGACAGCCCCATCTTCCGGAGCGATCTTCCAGAAGCTTTCTTCAGCTGGCATCAGACGGTGGGGAGAAGAAAGCGGTTCCGGAATATCCGCCTGATAATCCGCGCCGATTGGCGGAGTCTTCCGCGTGGCGGGAACCGCGAACTGCGCATGGCGCAAGGGGGACGGCCACGGAGAAGGGGAGTTCCACGGAGAAGGGGAAAGCCAGCGAGACGGGGAGCGCCACGGGGAAGCGGAAGCGGCCCATGGCGACGGAGACGACAGCCTGGCCGGTGAAAACGTCGACGGAAAAGGTGAAGGAAAAGTCGACGGAGACGAGGATACCGGCGGCCATCTGCTTTGGCTCGCGGCAGCGGCGCCGTCTGGCACGGCGAAATAAGTTGCAGCTGCAGGAACGTCTTGAGAGGCGGAGTTTACCCTCGCGAAACGGCGTTCCGCAACATCTGATTCAGCAGCTCGCGAAGATGTTGCTCCTACGTTCGTATTTTCTCGAGATGGTACAGAGCCGGGAACTGCGGTGTTCGTTGGCACTGTATCATTTATGTCAGCGACGCGCGTTAAGACTGTCGCCCCGCCGGCTCCACTCGGCAAGCTTCTTTCTTCCTTAGGTACGCCTTGATACTTGGTTCCACTTCCAGCATCACGATCGGAAGCTTGTGAAGCATCCATGCTGTTGCCGTTGTAAGATTATTTACTTCGCGCAGCGCGTGTTGGGCTACAAATTTTAATTTACTTCTTGATGATTTCGAGTCGCCCTCGGTTTCAACTGACAACTTATGTCTAAAATAGTAGCATCAAGACTGCCACGTGGCGGCACGCGATTGAAGCAAACTAGGGTTTCAAGAAATGCACTTCAGATCCATCAAACAGTAGCTAGAAGGACATTGGATCCAAATCGCAATCTGAAATCTGAGACATTTAGCGAATTCCCAATGTGCCTTCGCCGTAGTGTGGCGAAGCCATTTATCGAAGTCGGAGGCTGCTTTTTCAGAGCTCGCCACCGTAGGTTACCCCGAAGGTTGCCTCACTCCATGAGAAACTGAGGCTTGCACCACCGAGAATGACGTTAGCAGGAATCAATAGAACACTATGTTGTACACTAGATCCTGCTTATACTGTTTTCTAAATCTTCTCATGACCACCTCAACTTCATCCTCCCAACTTGTGAGGTCTTCCAACTGCAAGAAAATGAGGGGGGCACACAGTAGCACTGGCCACGTTAGAAGGAAAAGCAATAATAGGACCCTGGATCTCCTCGAGTATCCTTGGTTAAATGCACGTATGCTGGATGCTTCTGCTTCTTAAGCATGTGCACTAAGACCTTGTAAAAGGGCATTACATGTACACAATCTGCTGGGAAATATACCCGTCGTTTTGAAACATGGGGCCATGTTTCCTCAACGTGACAGATGCGCTCCCTGATTGGCCTCACCATCCTACAAAGTCGTAGAGCCGCTTCTGCTCCAGATGCTGCTTCTTCATGCGTATCTCTAACTTCAAGGTTGATGACCAGTGCTGCTTGATGAAGTGTACGCTCCCGAGCAAACATGTCTGCAACACAGTACCACCAGATGAGCACAGGAATGAAACGATTCTCGATCATTAGATCTGATGTATTGAACGTCAACAGTTACAACACCGCTAACTCATACCGGTGAAAATCTTGACATTTCCCCCCCTGAAGAGGATTTTCATGCACATGCTATAGTAAATTACTATACTTTCTCCAAAAACAGCATTCACCAGCTGTTGGTACTTCTGCTGATACTACGTATTCTCAAGACCCTGCAAACGGATGAGGGCTACTAAAAATGCAGAGGAATATTGACACTGCTGATAAATGAAAGACTAAGTGAGTGGACGTGTCATTGACTGACTGTGTGTCAGCATATCTGTGCATGCATGTATGGGTGTGTCTACATGAGTGTAATCGTGACGTGTGTGATGGATGTGGGTGTGCGAGCGTGCATGGGTGCGTGTGTGCGCGTGATAGCTGCGTGAGTGAGGGAGGAAAGACGCTCAGGTAATTGCAAGAGTCCGTGAGTGACAAAGCAAAAGTGACAGGGCATGCAGAAGAGCCACAGAACGAGAAGGTGGGGAGAGGGCGAAGGAGAAAAGGACCGAGCAAGCTGCATGTTTTCGGGAATGAAGGTGAAACGGACGTGAGTCCAGGTGACATAACATCCAAGACAAAACTAAAATGTAACCACTTGCGTGACTTGCGACCTTAACCCTTGAATATTAAAGCTACAAGAGACATGTCCGCGTAGGGATTCGGAACACTCGTTACCTTCAATGACCATGTCAAAAACTCGCTCCTCAAATGTAATGACGACATCGAAGGGACCGTCAGCGGCATTGTCCTGCCACTTTTGAGGAGCTTCCTTGACCGCAAGATTCCGTCTCAGCATTCTTAGGATGCCATTCCTTTTATACCTGAGAAAACCATATATTACACACACTCGGCAAATGAACGAATAAGTAAATTGATAACAAATGTGTGAACGCTAGACCTGCAGAAGCTTGCCGAAGATTTGAGTGCCATGTATTTTGAACTGAGTGAAGTGTCTCACTTACAGCTCAGGGTCTTTGCCTTGAAGCTCCTCAAACATGTATTTGTACGGCGTGCCGAATTTGTAGACATTGGGTTCTCGTATACTTGGTCCGGGGAGCTTGACGTTACTGCCGGTACCATACGAGCTGACATCGAACCCTTCTCGTTGAAGAATCGCATGTGATTCCATGCTACGGTTCTGATTCGATGCGCAGACCATGGCGAACCGAAGACGCATCTTGTGCAGCGGTATATTCAGATCCGAGACTTCGCGGGCTCAGCACTTACAAAACCCGAAGGAATGCCACAGAGAGTGACGGGACGGACGTAAAACAGCACGAGAAACCGTTTTCGGACATCAACTACCTAAAAATGATAATAGCGATGTCATTCTCATAAGCTTCCGCAGGTGAAGAGGACCGATAAAAAGCGGAGAATCCTCTAATGCCTGAAATTATCCTAGCCTGTGCCTGTAGAACCTAACAGCTTGCCTGTATGTGGAACTTATCAGAAAAATACTCGTGCAGCTAATGGTGGTGGGTTTTTGTACTTCGCCTGCACGAACCCCAACAGAGATAGTCATGGGTTTCGCTAAATTTAGGGGGTAAACATTACTTTTATTTAGTAGCCTTGAAAAGTTTCGTCGTCCCTGTGAGAAAAAAGTTCGGGCGGCTGGATGGAGCATCATTTTGGCTAGAGCTCTGTCAGTTGTGCTCTGGTAAGTGAAAAGGGTGTTTTGGTGGCATGTAACTAACCTAGACGTTCCGAAAAAAAATCATGCAGCAGTTTAAATTCGCAAACCACCCTAATTCATCATCAAGAGAAAATGCCCTCCGTGATAGGCCTTCCCCTTCATCCTGTTCCAAAATAACTGATTTCCCTCAGCTGACTGCGGAGCGGATGGTTCGAATTCAAGCTAAGAGTGAAAGGAATCACCGTCCCAACCATGGCACACGCTATACGCGTAGAATTCGGAGCTAATAGACAAACTGAGTAACTTGTAAGGCGGGAGTCGTACTCTTCTACTAACCGCCGTTCGTTTTTCTTGAAACAACGGCAATCTATCCACCGTCGCCTCTCCCATAAAAAAGGCATGCGAACCCGCGGTTTCGCTTAGTCGTCCCGTCGTCACTTGTTTTCCCCTCTTTTGTCTCCTTGATATCGTAAAAATTCGATCTTCCGTGCATGTCTTCACCTCCTATACCCGTCTCCTTCAACCTGTCTGAGTCCACTCAAAGATCACCGCAGGAGGCACCTCGTTACATGTAAGTTACATGTCCCTTGGCAGTTTTCCCTCGTTACATATCCTTCGTCCGCCTCCCTCTCCTCCCGCTCCCGCGCATTGTTTGCAGCAGAACGAGCACGAGTGAGAATTGCACAACCACACCCCCTCGCCCCTCCGTCTCCAAACACGCGCGCACACAAGCCCAACGCTTCGAGGCGTTTTAGAGCCTTCCATGTCTCATTCCAAGCAGCCCAGGAGCCAAGGGAAGAGGAAAGACGGCAAGAATAGGCCCAGAGGAGGAGCAGAGAGCTCCATAGGAGACCCTTTCGCTCTCTCGGAAGAGCGTCTGGTGTCGCTTGATTTGGAGAGCGGTTTCAATCAACGGTGAGGATGAAATTCACACGTTTAAGGTGTTTATGCAATATGATTTTTTTATTCTTTGCCTTCATAGTGTCCACATTCGTTTCTTCTTGCCCTACCCCTGTTCCTCCCCTGTCCCGTGTAGGTGTTTCCGATTTGCTTTGTCCCTGTTGAAATTATTCCGTGCATGTGCGCATCCATGCATGCATGTTTGGACGTGTGGTTACCCATGCATAGTAATGAGGGACTTGTTACTTTGACATGCCATGAGCTTCCTCCCCTGTGTAAGTCTGTCAAGTCTGTCCGTATACCTCCCCCTTTCTCTTTGTACATGTGCACACACATGCCGCCATGCAACCATGCTACCATGCACACATGCTTGCCTGCACGCGTGCCACATTCCATGCATGCATGGCCACAGGAGGGACTACTCTGAAGCATGTCACGAGCTTTCTCTCCTGCTCCGCGTTGAGTTGGCTAAAAAATTGGCTCCTTAAACGCGGTTTCTGTTTTGAATACCTACCTCACATTCCATCCCATGCATGCATGAGTACAGAAGGGACTACTCTGAAGCATGCCGCGAGCTCTCTCTCCTGCTCCGCCTCTGCTACTCCCTCGCTCCCAAGCCCGTGCAATCCCACCTCTACTCCCTCGCCCAACAAGCCATTGCCAACCTCCCCTGGTATGAATGGAGGGTTTTTAGGCAACTAGAAAATTGTAGCTTGCTCCGCCTCTGCTACTCCCTCGCTCCCACGCCCGTGCAATCCCACCTCTACTCCCTCGCTCAACAAGCCATTGCCAACCTCCCCTGGTATGAATGGAGGGTTTTTAGTCAACTAGAAAATTGTCGCTTGCTCCGCCTCTGCTACTCCCTCTCCCACGCCCGTGCAATCGCACCTCTACTCCCTCGCTTAACAAGCCATTGCCAACCTCCGCTGGTATGAATGGAGGGTTTTTAGTCAACTAGAAAATTGTCGCTTGCTCCGCCTCTGCTACTCCCTCTCTCCCACGCCCGTGCAATCGCACCTCTACTCCCTCGCTTAACAAGCCATTGCCAACCTCCCCTGGTAACGTTACATATGAGCTGGTTTTTGAGAACTTTGAGGAACAAATTGCACCTTCACTTGCATTCTCATCTCAACAAGCCATTACCAACAACTCCTGGTACAGTGACGTATAATCATTGGGAACAGCTCCGTTTATGTATGCCTCCCATGTGTTTCGTTGTTGCCAGCATGGACGGCGCTCTGCACAGGTCAGCAGCGCGCCAGCTCATCCAGGCGTGTCAGGCGGCGCTGCCACGTCAGCGCAAGCAAGCGGTTACCGCCGAGTACAAGCGACTCTGCGTCATGCTCGCTCGGGCGGAGAAGAAATCCGAGAGTGCAGTCGAAGAGGAGAGCGAGGAAGAAGAAGGGGGGGAGGAGCAGCAACAGCAAGAAGCAAATGATTCCACTGGAAGCTCCACCAAACAGGGTTTCCAGCCCTTGAACTTTGAAAGATCTTCCAGCATGCCTCCTTGTATCCCCACCTCTCAAGCATGCTCTCTCACTTCTTATCCTCCGTCTCTCCCTCCTCTACGGTCTGACATCTTGCACCTCCTCTTCTCTCACCTTGACCCTTTCTCGCTTGCCCGAGCCTCTGCTGTTTGCTCCCACTGGAGGGACATTGCAGCTGCTTGCCTCGTTTCCGTACCTGCTGCCGATGCCCGGGAGAGCAGGAGTGGGAAGGGCCGGTCCGGAGGGGAGGTGCAGGAGAGACAGAGGCCGTTGTGGCGAGAGTTTGTTTCTCGGTGTGCACAGGGTCAGTTTTCCTTGTTTGTTTCACCTTTTTGTTCTTTTTCTTTTTTTATCTCTCTTTTTATTCTCAGTTCTCTTGAGCCAAGGGTGTTGTATTGGGAATATGCTGCTAACTTGCAGTCAGGATTTTGACTTCTTCACATGGATCGCTGCTAATATGCTGCTTACATACCATGGGTCGCTGCCACAGCACACCATTAATCTGCAGCTCATCTCATGTCCTGTCTACTGCTTGCTTGCTTCTCCCTTCGCTGGAAGTTAGTTGAATTGCAAAAACAGCTAGTGTTCTCTCCTCTCTTTTCTTGTTTTCCCCTTCCTTGTACCCCCTTCTATCCAGGCTCTTCACTGTCCTCTTTACAGTCCAACCGGGTACTGTGTAGAGAATGCAGCATGGTGGCGTGGACCCCCAATTCCGCCCCTACACCTCCTCCTCACGCTACTACTCCCTCTTCCCCCTCGGTTGCACCATCGCTAGCCACAGCCACTCTCTCATCTGCTCAGTTTTTCCGGGGAAAAAATAAGGGCAGGGGTGGGATTGTCACTCCAGGGAATAACAGTACGGGTACGGGTGTAGGTCTTGGTGCTTCTGGAAAGGAAAAAGGAGCTGGAGCCTGTTGCGGGAGCAGCATGGCTGGTGGTTCTTCTGCTGGAGCTGGAAGGGCGGGTAAAGTGGGTAGTGAGACCGTGGACAGGCATGATGTAGCAGCAGACAGGTGTGAGTTGGCAAGCAGGAGTGGTGGTGGTGGCGGTGGTGGCGGTGGTGGCAGTGGTGGCAGTGGTGGTGGTGGCGGTGGTGGTGGTGGCGGTGGTGGTGGTGGCGGTGGTGGTGGTGGCGGTGGTGGTGGTGGCGGTGGCGGCAGTTGCAGCGGCAGCAGCAACGGCGGCAGCCGTGCAGCGGCAGCGAGAGCGAGGTTCTTTGCTAGAACGTGTCGTGTGAAGAGCGCAACGAGACGGGGGTACAGAATGCAGCAGCACGTGTGGAAACTTGCCGGAACAGCAAAGGTGAGGGATGCAGCTTCCGTAACTGCTGTGCCACACACGAGACTGCTTATTGTCCATAGCTCTTTGTTCTTTGTGCTATGCCGGCACCTCGTAATCACAGGTATATATGATCCCTGTTGCTTCCTGCACACATTGTGATCACGCATGCCGCTCTCACGCGCGTGAAGTGAGAAATGATCCCTCGTTGCGCTCTTCACGCAGCACATTGTGTGCTGAGCTCTCTCCGCCCCTCCTAGTGCAGGTTGTGGCATCCCTCTCTGACGAGTTTGAGGGGGAGGAATCCAGTGACGAGGATGGCGAAGGAGTAGTTAGAATTGGTAGTTACCACTCAAATGCATCTGCTGTGTCTCTAACTTCCTCTCTCACTCGGCCCTGTGCAGGTTGTGGCATCCCTATCTGACGAGTTTGAGGGGGAGGAGTCCAGTGACGAGGATGGTGCTGGAGTAGGTAGAACTGGTTACCACTCCAACGCATCTACTGTCTCACGGTTTTGGTGGGACTTTCATTCTAATGCAGCAATTTATTGGTGAATTGTTGTGCTGCTTTTTTAGGCGCCGCAAAATCGTGTTGGCTGGACTTCAATTCAATGCAGCAAATTATTGGTGCATTGTTGTGCTACCATGGATGTTTATCACCTGCCGGTGCTCTTTGTTTCACCGTACCTACCATGCCGTATCTTTGTGTAATGTATTGTACCATGAGGCCAATTTTTGGGGTGATTTCTTGTCATCACAATCAAAATTGTGCTTGGCGCCAACGGCAAGATGTAAATTGCAATCTAAACTCAGCCACACCAACCGCATACAGTACTCTCCCATCCCATCCATCATCCAGTCAAATAAGATGGGACTTTCGAATGATGAGGTTCCGGGTTCAGACCTCAGTGCCGGTGAGTTCTGCCAGCCCCCCAGAAGGGGGTTTCGCACTGCTCATCTGGGAGTGGATATTCCTTACCTCGATATACCCAGCGAGGCGTGTAAATAAGTGGGTAGGCGGATTACGATCGACCCATCATCTTGTTGCCAAAGGGGATGTCCCCTATAACCTTTACCTATACCCATCCACCCATCATCTTGTTGCCAATTGGACAAGTTTAGCGAGGCATAGCAACGATCAATACCAATACCGGTACATGCATCTATGGTGTACATGGTCATCTCGTCTGGTTGTGAGATGAGACTGACATATGGTGGTGCAACAGGCAGCCACCTTTGCATGATAAAGGGTCCCTACCCTACCCTATGTTTAAACTCATCATGCAAAGGCACTCTTGATTTTGGAGCCGTTTCCTGGAAGCAAAGGATATATTGCACATGCTGGAATGATCCGTATACCATGGTAGCACACCGTAACTCCCACCTGTAACACACGCGACAATACAGAAAACAACAGGAACATCAAGACGAGGCAGATAATAAGCGCAATATAAACAAAAGAGACATGGCTACATAAACTTATGACGTACTCTACAAACCTATGATAGCCCTTGTACCAAAGAGGGTGACTCTGTGGAGAGTAAGGGGTGGAATTGATACGTCAACCTTCACCAGAAAATTACGACAAGGAGGCGAAAGTAAAGAATTGATGGAGAAAGGTAAAGGGGTGACAGAGAATGGGGAGAGGGGACGAGATGGTGGTTTGGGGAGGGTGTTGGAGGGAGAGAGGATTGGGTTGGGAAGACTTGAATGGGGAGAGGGGGCAAGGGCGGGTTTAACCTCAAACGAGCAACGGCCGGTGGGGGCAGGGTGGGGGAGTGATGGAGAACGAGCAGAGGGGAAGGGCACAACTAGGAAGCATACAATGAAAGGCGGCGTCGGGGAGAACGAGCAGAGGGAGTTTGACCTCAAAGGACGGTGTGGGAAATTTAAAAAACAGTTTGTTGTAACACTGTGCTGTAGCAGTGTGTGCAGAGAGTAGCAGTGTGTGCAGAGAGGGAAGGAGCTCACCTGCTGGCAATGAGTAAAGCCCTGAGCCAATGCACCACCTCGTGAGTCCTGAGCATAAGCCACCTCATGCCCATGAAGCAAATTCCATAGGCGCCACGAATGCACAGCACCAGCAGCGCTCCTGTTTTTGAGCCCCCTCGAAAGTAGTCTGGTGGAGGACACCCATTTGCCACCTCGGAGAAACCCAGGCTGAAGATCCGCCCAACAAATAAGACCCAACAGTTAACTCCCAACGGCCCATTGCGCCTTGAGATGCCCCTGAACTCAAACTCGAGCCACCTCTAAATCAGCATTTATAGAGCCCAGTCAGCCTGTCAAGCACCTTCCTCACTGACCCCCTCTCCTACTCTCCCTCTCCTCTCTCCACCCTCCTCTCCCTCTCTGGCCCACATCACCCCTGCCCTGCCAAACAGCGAGACAAGTAGTTCTAACGACCAATTGGGCTTTCTAACCGATCAGCTGTGCATGTTCGTCAGTAAGCAATCAGCCTATAAGTCAGTGTATCTGTCTTTCAGTCAGTCAGACAGTCTGTCAGTCAGTCGACCAGTCACACTCAGTCAGACAATCTACCATGGGTCAATGAGGTCAACATGATTCTTCCCCTCCAACTCTTCCTCTCTTCACAGCATCTTACCACTGCCTTTGTTTAAATTCTCCCATTCTTACTCACCTCCCCCATCCTGCCCTTCAATCCAGTGAATCGAGTCAACGGGAGTTTTTCTCCTTACCCTGCCTCGTGGCCTTAACCCTTTTCATTCTCTTCTGCCTCATGCCCTCCATTTGTCCACCTCCCCTTGATCTAGTCAACGAGATCAACGCGATTCTTCCTCCTCCATTGCTTTCTCGCTGCCACAACCTCACTCGCACAAGTGGATTCAACCATCGAAGCTCATTTCCACTCAACTACCCTGCCTGCCCGTCCTGCCCCTCCAACAGGTCAATGAGGTCAACGCAACTCTTCTTCCATTTTTCCTCGCCGTCAACCCCTCACACATGCTCACTTCCGCTCTTGCCCCCCTCGCTCAACTGCCCGCCTGCCCCTGCCCCTCGATCCAGTCCATGAAGTCAACATGAGTCTCTCTCGTCCATTTCTTCCCCACTATCACCCCTTGACACGTGTACCATTGCTCCCAGCAACGCGCATCGGCCCCTGCCCCTCGTGCACGCTCATCTCTCCTTTTAATTCCAGCTGGTTTTTGAGAATTCTCAAAAACGTGCTCATCTGCTCTCCTGCCCCCTCGATCCGGTCAATGAGGTCAACACGAGCCTTCCTCCTACACACACGGGTACGGAAGCTCCCACTCATGCTCATTCCTACCCCCTCACGCTCATCTAATCTCCTGCCCCTCGATCCGGTCAATCAAGTCAACGCGGGTCTTCCTCCTCCATCCCTTCATCACTGCCACCAGGTTGATCAGTGAAACAACTTGAGCTCGTGAATACTCCTGGAAGTGGGGGAAAACAGACGGGCACGGCATGGCAGAGCGGAGGTCAATTCGGTCAATGAGGTCAACGCGGGTCTTCCTCCTCCACCCCTTAGTCACTGCCACCAGGTTGATCAGCCACACCACCTGAGCTCGTGAATACTCCTGGATGTGGGATATGATACAAGGTTGAAATATACCTAAAAACAGGCACTATAAAGCATAAAAACCTCCTGGAAGTGGAGGTAGGGATCGCTCCTGGAAGTAGGGATCGGCGATCGCAGACAGACAGACAGCCTGGCCGGTTACCTGCCTGTCTGACAGACAGCCTAATTACCTAGCTGGCACGAACCAGCCAGGATTGAGACTGGCTCACTGCCTAATTACACGATACCTATGTTACTTGGAAGACATGGTTACCTGTATTGAGACGCCTCAGAACAGGACATCATGCTACCTGGTGGACATGGTTACCTGGTTACCGATTACATGTCTACACGGTTATGCGGTTACTCACGGGATGGCTGAGTGCCCAGTAGAGGTACTCTGTCTCGGGCAGGTAGAAGGCCTGCAGGGAAGAGAGGTGGGGGGTGCGGCGGGGGTTAGGGGTGGGGGGAGTGCTTGAGTCAACTCAAAGGGCCCCCATACCGGTACTCTGTCTCAAAGCGTGGCTGAGCGCCCAGTAGAGGTACTCTGTCTCGGGCAGGTGAAAGGCCTGCAGGGAAGAGAGGTGGGGGGTGCGGGAAGAAGGGGAGGGGGGATTTAAGTCTCAGAAGTCGCCCAGTAAAGGTACTCTGTCTCCGGCAAGTAAAAGGCCTGCAGGGACGGGAGGTGGGGGGTAAAAGGGGGTAGGGGTGGGGGGGGTGCTCGAGTCAACTCAAAAGGCTTCAATCAGGCTAGGTACTCTCTCTCAAAGTGTGGCTGAGCGCCCAGTAGAGGTACTCTGTCTCAGGCAGGTGGGGGAAAAGGGGTGTGGGGATGTGGCAACAGTGGTAGCAGAAAAGCGGGCGACATGTGGACAATGATTGGCTGAGAGGTGTGGTGGGGAGAATACTCTCAACTTCACATCACATGTACATTCACTCACTAGTGTTGGGACCACTTGGTTGGGATGTGCCGCCCAAGAAGCCAAGGACCAAGAACCAAGACCAAACTTGACCAACCACAATATGTTGTTGGGAAGACTACACAGAACAAACCCTCCCCTAGGGGTGAGCAAGGGGCAAACACGAACGTGTTTGTGTTCGCCCCTGCCCTCCCCCTCAACTTCACATATTTCTGATAGCAACACCTCCCATATCGTATCATATGCATGTAGCAGTTCATACATAACAAAGTACAGCCTAGCGAACTTGAGTCCCCTAAGAGCTTCTTTTGAGTCGACTCAGAAATATGCACGCTTCAACTCCCTCACCTTGATGTACGTGTCATGTCGGAGTGACTTTTGAGAATTCTCAAAAGTCACTCCAACCATCTGCTTGTCTGGGAGGCGGCACCCGGTGAGTGAACACGGCTATTGCAGACTGTGGACACCCGGCCTGGGGCAAAGCAAATACCCCATGTTCCCTTCCCACCTTAATGTACGTGTCAACTATCTGCATGTCTGGGCGGCGCCCTGTGAGTTGCTGCAAGCCGTTGATCAGCGTCTGGAAGGAAAGGTGGGCAGATAAACAAACGGACGAGACTTGATCGCCTGCTGCAATGACACTCACACGGCGGTGCCCATAAGCTATAGCAGCCTGCTGTTAATTGGCCAGGAGGGTCGGGAAGTGGGGAGGAAGTGTATCAGGCAGGCAAGGGGCTGTAAGTGGAGCCTTTTGAGTCGACTCAAAAGTCACCTCGTAAGTGGCAGACGAGTTTTGAGAATTCTCAAAAGTCGCACCAATGTATCAGGCAGGCAAGGGGCTGTGAGTGGCAGGCAGATGAGTGTATTGCCAATCGACAGCAGCCTTCCACCACGTGGGAAGTGGGGAGGAAGTGTACCAGGCAGGCAGGCAGGCCATACACTCGTCTGCCATACACTTACAGTCCCTTGTCCGGATCCTAAGGGTGGCTACGAGTTGACTTAGGTGGATTCGGTCGTGTTGTAACAGAAAATGTGATGGTTTTTGGTTTTTGGTTTTTGGTTTGGGGGAGTACTGGCTGGCAGCGGCAGGTTCTGCTTGGGAGTGGATGGCAGTGAATGGGAGTTGGAGGGTACCTGCAGGTCGAGGGACATAAGCGCACGCCCTTCATTGGAGCAGCGCTTGACTCGCAGGGATTTATTTAGAATTCTAAAAAAAACCCTGATTGGGAGTGGATGGCAGTGAATAGGAGTAGGAGGGTACCTGCAGGTCGAGGGACATAAGCGCCCGGCCCTCATTGGAGCAGCGCTTGACTCGCGAGAAGCCCTCGACAAGCACGTCTGCTACTGCCTCCATTGCAAACTGCACCAGCTGGTGCTGCACCTGTGGGGGTCATGCCATGTCAGACACACAACACATGCACAGTGCAGGCAGAAAGCACAGCGTGCAGCGGAGCACACAGGTAAGCCCCCCAGAAGTGCACCAGTCGGGTAAGAGCCCTCCACGATGTTGGTTTGACTTTTGAGAATTCTCAAAAGTCAAACCAACGCAGAGGAGCACACAGGTAAGCCCCCCAGGAGTGCACCAGCCGGGTAAGAGCCCTCCACGAGCAGGTCTGCTACAGCTTCCATCGCAAACTGCAACCAGCTGGTGCTGCACCTGTGGGATTCGATGGCATGATCCGCACAGTAGAGGCAACAATAACAGGGTAATAGGGGGCAAAGCAGCACAGTTAAGAGCTCGAATGACTCACGAGAAGCCCTCCACCATCTCGCCTGCTACGGCTTCTACGGCTTCCATTGCGAATTGCACCAGCTGCTGCTGTACCTGCTTAAGCAGTGCTAATGGATGAAATGGCGACAATACAAAACAGACCGGCAGGCAGGGAACTATCAAAGGGACTCCCCACTCCCGTTGAAAAAGAGAAGCACACAAAAAAAAAAAACATCGCGAGATGATGAGGATGATGCGAATCAACAATACCTGGACTGGGATGCCCAGGTGGTTCAATCTCTGTAGCAGAAGGCGGAATTCCGACAGGAGCGCATCCACGTAGCTGAAGTGATTGGGAGGTGGGAGAAAGGGGGGGGGTTGGGCCAGGGGACAAATAAAGAGGGCGGGGGAAGGGCGTTGCTTGCAGGAGGCGGAACTCTGACAGCAGCGCATTTATGTAGCTGAAGTGATTGGGAGGTGGGATGGGCGGAGATTGGGTCAGGGGAAGAACAGAGAGGGAATAGAAGGACATTGCGAGACGCGAAACCCCGACAATAGTGCATCCGTGTAGTTGGTGTGCGGGATGGGAATGGAATGGAGGGAGGGATGGAGAATGCATGCTGTATGTATGCTTTGATGAGAAAATGCATGCGGCATGACACAATAACGTACGGGCTGTGGTAGGACGTGACGTCGTGGGACTCCCATCTCCCTGCTGCGATCTTGTCTGCGTAACTGGAGAGGCAAAGGAGAAAAAACCGGGGACGGGAGTGAGGCAAGCACGGTGACTTTTGAGGCGCCTCAAAAGCCTATCTTGTCCGCGTAGCTGGGGAAGCCAGGGAGACAACACAGCGGACGGGAGTGTGAGGCAGGCAGCAAGCACGGTGAGTTGTGATTCAACCTAAAGCTTGTGACCGGTGAACTGAGAGCGTATGTTTTTTTAGAATTCTCAAAAGACGGGAGTGTGAGGCAGCAAGCACGGTGAACGGAGAGCAGCGGGGAAAAAAGACGAGAGGACAGCTTTAGACCAAAAATAACACCAACCAACCCATGGATGGAAATTGGGATTGGAAGGGCAGAAGGGGACTTTAAAACCTGCTCGAAAGCTTACCTGGTGAAGTTTTGAGGCGTCTCAAAACCTGCTAGCATGCTTACCTGGTAAAGTTGAAGAGCACAGCGATCGAGCAATTTTTGTGATGTCTCAAACTAGGTGCTTTCAAGACCTGTCAGAGAGCATACCTGGTGAAGTTGATGAGCAATCGAGCAGCTGTTCTCATCACATGCTCGCAGAGCTCTGGTACCACCTCCAGCTGAGAGGAGACGAGGAGAGATGACAGGAGGAGACATAGGAGGACGGATGGAGACATGCAATAGTTGAAAGGCTGTTCTCATCACATGCTCGCAGAGCTCTGGTACCACCTCCAGCTGAGAGGAGACGAGGAGAGATGACAGGAGGAGACATGACAGGAGGAGACATGGGAGGACGGATGGAGACATGCAGGAGTTGAAAGGCTGTTCTCATCACATGCTCGCAGAGCTCTGGTACCACCTCCAGCTGAGAGGAGACGAGGAGAGATGACAGGAGGAGACATGACAGGAGGAGACATGGGAGGACGGATGGAGACATGGGAGGACGGATGGAGACATGCAGGAGTTGAAAGGCTGTTCTCATCACATGCTCGCAGAGCTCTGGTACCACCTCCAGCTGAGAGGAGACGATTTGACGGGAGGGAGAGATGTATGTGGGAGACAAAGACAAGCGGAGAGATGGGACACGAAAGAAACGCTGCTGTCATCACATGCTCACATAGCTCACCAGGAATATACCAACAATGCTATGAAATCTAGGAGTTTGGCAGTAGTATGAATAGTGACTCACAGTTTCGGAGGTGTAGAACTCAAAGAGTGGCCAGGGCACGTGTATCAGTTGTCATTCCCAGATTAGATACGAGCTAGAGAGTACTGTGAATGATGAGTAACTTACGGTTTCGGAGGTGTAGGACTCAAGGAGCGGCCACGAAGCCTTGGGCAGGTGGGAGAGGAAGCGTTGGCGTGCTGCCTGCACCACGTGGGAGAGCCATAGCAGCGACTCGATCGCCACACACCGCTCCTGGGGTTGGTGGGATGGTGGACAGAGAGGGTGAGGGGTGAGTGGGAGTGGGGTGAGGAGGGGGAGGGGGTGGATGGAAGGTGGGCTTGGTGACTTGGGAAGGTGCGAGAGGAAGCGCTGGCGTGCTGCCTGCACCACGTGGGAGAGCCATAGCAGCGACTCGATCGCCACACACCGCTCCTGGGGTTGGTGGGATGGTGGACAGAGAGGGTGAGGGGTGAGTGGGAGTGGGGTGAGGAGGGGGAGGGGGTGGATGGAAGGTGGGCTTGGTGACTTGGGAAGGTGCGAGAGGAAGCGCTGGCGTGCTGCCTGCACCACGTGGGAGAGCCATAGCAGCGACTCGATCGCCACACTCCGCTCCTGGGGTTGGTGGGATGGTGGACAGAGAGGGTGAGGGGTGAGTGGGAGTGGGGTGAGGAGGGGGAGGGGGTGGATGGAAGGTGGGCTTGGTGACTTGGGAAGGTGAGAGGAAGCGCTGTCGTGCTGCCTGCACCACGTGGGAGAGCCATAGCAGCGACTCGATCGCCACACACCGCTCCTGGGGTTGGTGGGATGGTGGACAGAGAGGGTGAGGGGTGAGTGGGAGTGGGGTGAGGAGGGGGAGGGGGTGGATGGAAGGTGGGCTTGGTGACTTGGGAAGGTGCGAGAGGAAGCGCTGCCGTGCTGCCTGCACCACGTGGGAGAGCCATAGCAGCGACTCGATCGCCACACACCGCTCCTGGGGTTGGTGGGATGGTGGACAGAAAGGGTGAGGGGTGAGTGGGAGTGGGGTGAGGAGGGGGAGGGGGTGGATGGAAGGTGGGCTTGGTGACTTGGGAAGGTGAGAGGAAGCGCTGTCGTGCTGCCTGCACCACGTGGGAGAGCCATAGCAGCGACTCGATCGCCACACACCGCTCCTGGGGTTGGTGGGATGGTGGACAGAGAGGGTGAGGGGTGAGTGGGAGTGGGGTGAGGAGGGGGAGGGGGTGGATGGAAGGTGGGCTTGGTGACTTGGGAAGGTGAGAGGAAGCGCTGTCGTGCTGCCTGCACCACGTGGGAGAGCCATAGCAGCGACTCGATCGCCACACACCGCTCCTGGGGTTGGTGGGATGGTGGACAGAGAGGGTGAGGGGTGAGTGGGAGTGGGGTGAGGAGGGGGAGGGGGTGGATGGAAGGTGGGCTTGGTGACTTGGGAAGGTGCGAGAGGAAGCGCTGCCGTGCTGCCTGCACCACGTGGGGGAGCCATAGCAGCGACTCGATCGCCACACACCGCTCCTGGGGTTGGTGGGATGGTGGACAGAGAGGGTGAGGGGTGAGTGGGAGTGGGGTGAGGAGGGGGAGGGGGTGGATGGAAGGTGGGCTTGGTGACTTGGGAAGGTGAGAGGAAGCGCTGTCGTGCTGCCTGCACCACGTGGGAGAGCCATAGCAGCGACTCGATCGCCACACACCGCTCCTGGGGTTGGTGGGATGGTGGACAGAGAGGGTGAGGGGTGAGTGGGAGTGGGGTGAGGAGGGGGAGGGGGTGGATGGAAGGTGGGCTTGGTGACTTGGGAAGGTGCGAGAGGAAGCGCTGCCGTGCTGCCTGCACCACGTGGGAGAGCCATAGCAGCGACTCGATCGCCACACACCGCTCCTGGGGTTGGTGGGATGGTGGACAGAAAGGGTGAGGGGTGAGTGGGAGTGGGGTGAGGAGGGGGAGGGGGTGGATGGAAGGTGGGCTTGGTGACTTGGGAAGGTGAGAGGAAGCGCTGTCGTGCTGCCTGCACCACGTGGGAGAGCCATAGCAGCGACTCGATCGCCACACACCGCTCCTGGGGTTGGTGGGATGGTGGACAGAGAGGGTGAGGGGTGAGTGGGAGTGGGGTGAGGAGGGGGAGGGGGTGGATGGAAGGTGGGCTTGGTGACTTGGGAAGGTGCGAGAGGAAGCGCTGTCGTGCTGCCTGCACCACGTGGGAGAGCCATAGCAGCGACTCGATCGCCACACACCGCTCCTGGGGTTGGTGGGATGGTGGACAGAGAGGGTGAGGGGTGAGTGGGAGTGGGGTGAGGAGGGGGAGGGGGTGGATGGAAGGTGGGCTTGGTGACTTGGGAAGGTGCGAGAGGAAGCGCTGCCGTGCTGCCTGCACCACGTGGGAGAGCCATAGCAGCGACTCGATCGCCACACACCGCTCCTGGGGTTGGTGGGATGGTGGACAGAGAGGGTGAGGGGTGAGTGGGAGTGGGGTGAGGAGGGGGAGGGGGTGGATGGAAGGTGGGCTTGGTGACTTGGGAAGGTGCGAGAGGAAGTGCTGTCGTGCTGCCTGCACCACGTGGGAGAGCCATAGCAGCGATTCGATCGCCACACACCGCTCCTGGCATAGGTGGGAGACGGAGGACGAGAGGGGGCAGGAGTGAGTGGAAGGTGGGGTTGGTGTGTTCGATGGGAAGGCGCAATTGCGAAGCGCTGACGTGCTGCCTTCACTATGTGCGACAGCCATAGCAGCGGAGCGGATTGATCGCTACACTGCGCTCCTATGTTTGGCGGGGCACACCCAGAAGGCGCAAGGGTGAGAAGGGAGGAGATGGCGTGGAGAGAGAGAGGAGAGAGCGGGTGTGAGTGAGAGCGAGGGTCAGGGTGGGAGAGATGGTGAGGGGTGAAAGGGGTGTGGCGTAGCGTAGCCTGGTAGGTGGAGAGCGTTGAATCGACACAAAGGTCATGGTTTGTGTCAAATTGAGTGTCATCATTTGAGGCAATTCGATTATCATATCATGTTTCGAGTCAACTGAAGAAAACTCACCCTGAGAGCATAGAAGTTGGAGGAGGAGATGAGCACCCTGGTGCCAGTTTCTTTGCACCGGCCTGGAACGAACCTGTTGTGTTGAATCACAACTCACCCTGAGAGCATAGAAGTTGGAGGAGGAGATGAGCACCCTGGTGCCAGTTTCTTTGCACCGGCCTGGAACTAACCTGTTGTGTTGAATCACAACTCACCCTGAGAGCATAGAAGTTGGAGGAGGAGATGAGCACCCTGGTGCCAGTTTCTTTGAACCGGCCTGGAACTAACCTGTTGTGTTGAATCACAACTCACCCTGAGAGCATAGAAGTTGGAGGAGGAGATGAGCACCCTGGTGCCAGTTTCTTTGAACCGGCCTGGAACTAACCTGTTGTGTTGAATCACAACTCACCCTGAGAGCATAGAAGTTGGAGGAGGAGATGAGCACCCTGGTGCCAGTTTCTTTGCACCGGCCTGGAACTAACCTGTTGTGTTGAATCACAACTCACCCTGAGAGCATAGAAGTTGGAGGAGGAGATGAGCACCCTGGTGCCAGTCTTGCCATCAAACAGACTCGGCCGCACTGCCACACTCCCATTGCCTTCTCCACCACCCCTTGCAGCAGCACCACCCCTAGCACCAGCACCAGCACCTCTAGCCGCACCAGCAGCAGCACCAGCAGCAGATGCCCCTGTAGTTGATTCGAGAGAAGAGGCGGCAGCTGCAGCAGCAGCAGAAGCAGCAGCAGAGGCAGCAGCGGAGGCAGCAGCATCAGAGAAGGAGGGAGGAGAGAGAGGACGCAGGCCCATGGCTTCAAACTTGTGCAGGATCTTGGTGAGCACGGCACGGAGCTTGGGGGATAGCACTGTGTGGATAGAGGAGAGAAGGGAAGGGAAGGGAGAGGGGAAAACGGAGGGGGAAGTGAGATAGAAACGGGATAGTGGGAAGGAGAGGGCGCAGCCCCATGGCTTCAAACTTGTGCAGAATCTTGGTGAGCACGGCACGGAGCTTGGGGGATAGCACTGTGCCAGTAAAGGAGGAAGGAACAGAACAGATGCAGCGAGAGGAAAAAAGGGGGAGAAAGGAGTGAAGGGCGAACGGAGATGAGAAAGGAAGAGTGTGAAAGAGGGGGGGGGAGGCAACCCGATGGGAGTGTGAAAGAGTGGGCGCAGTGGGGACTCACAGTGGGCGGCGGCAGGGTCGGCGGATCGCAGGGCAGCAAAGGCCTCCCGATGGCCGAAGATGCGGAATACTGTGATGAGATAGAGGTCGAATAGCTGCCACACGGACTGAGAGGGAGGCAGGGGGAGGGAGGGAAAGGGGAGACGGCCAGAAAGGGGAGGGGTGTGAGTAAAGGCCTCCCGATGGCCGAAGATGCGGAATACTGTGATGAGATAGAGGTCGAATAGCTGCCACACGGACTGAGAGCGAGGCAGGCGGAGGGAGGGAAAGGGGAGACGGCCAGAAAGGGGAGGGGTGTGAGTAAAGGCCTCCCGATGGCCGAAGATGCGGAATACTGTGATGAGATAGAGGTCGAATAGCTGCCACACGGACTGAGGGAGGGGAGACGGGGGTAAGGTAAGAGGTAAGGAGGGAAAAAAGGATATGAGTAGGTCCATTCAACGATAAAAGTACCTCCGCAGCCCACCTGTTTACTGATAACAAAACACAGTGATGAGTGTTTTTTGAGAATTCTCAAAAAACACTCGCTGCAATATGTTTCCCTCCCACGCAGCCCACCTGTTTACTGATAACAAAACACAGTGATGAGGTAGAGTAAGAATTGCTCGTTTTGAGAGGCCGGTCTCAGCACCACAAAACGATGCAACCAAGCTCACCCCAAAATGTGCTGCATGGCCCATTGCTCACCATGATGACGTCAGCTGAGATGGGTCCGAGAGAGAACAGCAGCGTGACCTGATAGTCCATCAGCCTGCCGTGCGGGGTGGGGGAAAAGGAGGAGGGCAGAGTCAGGAGGGCAGAGTCAGGAGGGCAGAGTCAGGAGGGCAGAGTCAGGAGGGCAGCGTCAGGAGGGCAGAGTTAGGAGGGCAGAGTTAGGAGGGCGGCATGGGGAAGGCGGCACAGAAGGTATTGGGAGTTGCCAGAGAGAACAGCAGCGTGACCTGATAGTCCATCAGCCTGCCGTGCGGGAGAAGGAGGGTGGTAGGGGGAGGGCGGCAGGGGGAGGGCGGTGAGGGGAGGGGCGGCAAGGGAAGGGCAGCAAGGTGGGGGGCGGCATGAGGAGGGCAGCATGGGGAGGGCGGCAGCAGGGAGGGGGAGTGGGGAAGGAAGGGACTTGGGTGGAGATGGGTGCCATGGCACAGCAAGGCATGGCACGGCATAGTATGGCATGACATGACATAGCATGGCATGACTTGGCATGACATGGCATGGCATGGCATGGCATGGCATGACATGGCATGACATGGCATGGCACGGCACAGCATAACATGACACGAAAAAACAAGCCCACCTGACAGCACCGAGAGCAGATGCAGTGGCAGCAAAGTCCTGCTCCTCCCCCTTCCCTGCCTTCCCACCTTTCCCTCCCTTCCCCCCCTTGCTCCCACCAGCACCCACCCCTCCGCCTCCCTCCTTCCCACTGCCAGCCCACCTCCTCCCCTGGCCCCCCAGCCTGCCATCGCTCTGTGAGCGGCCTAGTAGCGAGTCTGGCAATAACGAGGATGGTGGTGCTGGGGAGTATATCCTCGTTGTCCCACTCCTCTGCACCCCTCCCCTCCCTCCTCCTCCTCCCTTCCCTATTCCTCCTCCGCCTCCTGACCCTCCTCCTTTTCCTCCCCCTTCCCCTCTTCCTCCTCTTCCTCCTCCTCGTCCCCCGCTCCTGCTTCTCTGCATGTTGCTGCTGCTCTTGCTGCTAGGCACTCCGTCTTTGCCTCTCTCTCCTCCTCTGCCTCCGCCTCTGCTCCCTCTCTCCTGCTCTCTCCCTCCCCCCTCCTCCCCCTCGCCATCCTCATCAATATAATCAGCTAACAGCTCCTCACTCTCCTCCTCCTCTTCCTCTTCCTCCTCATCCTCCTCCTCCTCCTGCTCCACTCCTTCCCCTTCCTCTCGCGTCCTCAATAAACCGCTCTCAACCCCTCTCATGCCACTGCTGGCACCACTCACAGCAGCAGTGGGATCGCTACAAACAGCAGCAACACCGGAAGGGCTAACAGCGGCAACAACACCACCACCTCTGCTGTGGCTGTAGCTATTACTCTTCAAATCATACCCACTGCCCCAGCTACCACCGCCACCAGCATCACCACCAGCATCAGCAGAGCCAGTGGGAGTTGGGGCGGCATTTCTTGGAGCTACTCGCTCAGAGCTGTACTGCCGAAGCTCGTTCACCCCCTCTGCTGCACTTCCAAACCTACCTACCCCATATCCACCTCCCCCAGAAGAAACCCCTGCTCCATATGCTCCTCCTGGGCTCTGATACGCTGAATGTGGACTCATCCTTCCCCTCTCTTGCTCCTTCTCCCTCTCCCTCTCTCGTTCCATATCCATGAATTTATCTCGCAGCATCTCCCGATCCCTCTCCCGTGCTCTCTCCCGCGCCACTCCCCCCATCCCCCCTTGCGACACCACCACCAACTCCCTCAGCATCCCCTGCGGCCCATCCCACCCCACTCCACCGCTGTTAACCCCTCTTGCTCCCCTTCCTCCCCCTCCGCCCGCTCCTCTCCCTCTCCCACTTGCTGCGTCCAGTTGCTCCCTCCCACCCCTCACATTCTCTACATTGAAAGGTTGGTCTAGTTGCATCCAGTGACTAAAATCCCACACACGCCCTGCCTCCACACCTCCGTCCCTTCCCACCCCTCCCACACCCATTCCCACTCCTCCTGCTCCTCCCTCTCCTGCTCCTCCCGCTCCCCCCACACCTCCTCCTGCTCCTCCTCCCCCAGCAAGAGCAGAGTCGCTGGGACTCGAGGTGAGCATTTTGGCGGGCGAGCGGGCGAGCGTGGAGCGAGCGGAGATGAGACTTTGCACCTCGGGGGCTTGCTGGGAGGACGGGGGGAGGGGCTGCCATGTTTCCCTCTCCACCATCATCCGCAGCACCTGCCACAGGGTCGGGGGGAGCACGGGAAGATTGTTTTGAGACGTCTCAAAACACTTCTTCAATCACGGGGCTGCCATATTTCCCTCTCCACCACCATACGCAGCACCTGCCACAGGGTCGGGATGAGCACGGGAAGATTGGGCGAGACTTACGTATGCTGTGCCACACGGGGAAGCGAGGGTGGCGCGGGAGGAGATGAGATGGTGCCTCGGGGGCTTGCAGGGAGGAAGGAGAGAGCAAAAGCTACGTATTTCGTTCCACCATCGTACTCACTTACTTACACACACTCCCACTCACTCATTCCCTCATGCTGGTGGTGGCTGCAGAAGAACTGAGCTGACTCCTGAGTCGACTCAAAAGCCCACTCACTCATTCCCTCATGCTGGTGGTGGCTGCAGAAGAACTGAGCTGACTCCTGAGTCGACTCAAAAGCCCACTCACTCATTCCCTCATGCTGGTGGTGGCTGCAGAAGAACTGAGCTGACTCCTGAGTCGACTCAAAAGCCCACTCACTCATTCCCTCATGCTGGTGGTGGCTGCAGAAGAACTGAGCTGACTCCTGAGTCGACTCAAAAGCCCACTCACTCATTCCCTCATGCTGGTGGTGGCTGCAGAAGAACTGGTCACAAACATACTCGCACTCACACTCACTCCCTCACTCACCTTCAGTGCCTGCCGGTGGTAATTCCAAAAGAACTGGTCTACTGCCAAACCATCGTGGCCCTTGAAATCCCAGACACAAAGATAGACACATATCCACACACTCACCCGCACAGTCACAAACATACTCACACTCACACTTTCTCCCTCACTCACCTCCAGTGCCTGTCTGTGGTAGTTCCGAAAGAACTGGTCGCACTGCCGACCCATCTTGGCCCTCAGGCTCCCCGCCTCTGCTTGGGTGAACGCCTCCCCTGCCAGCACAAAATCCTCCACCAGACACAGGATCTGCGGTTGAGTGTGGGTAGGGAGGAGAGGAGGCAGACAAACCCAGAAGGTGAATGGTGAGTGTCTCGTGGCCCTAAGTCTCAGGCTCCCCGCCTCTGCTTGGGTGAACGCCTCCCCTGCCAGCACAAAATCCTCCACCAGACACAGGATCTGTAGGTGACGAGGGAGATTGAATAGGGCAACGAAAGGACGCAGAGGCATAAATGAGCTGAACATGTTGGTGGGTGCCGAGCCATCTTGGCCTTCAGTCAGGCTTCCTGTCTCCGCTTGGGTGAACGCCTCCCCTGCCAGCACAAACTCTTCAACCAGACAAAGAATCTGTAGGGGGGAGGTGGGGGTGATGGGAAAAGAAATAAAGAACACAATTGAGATGCGGGAGGGTGAACGCCTACTCCCCGCAGGCTCCCTGCCTCCGCTTGGGTGAACGCCTCCCCTGCCAGCACAAACTCTTCGACCAGACAAAGAATCTGTAGGGGATGTGAGGGTGGGTAGGGAGGCAGCAGAATCCAGAAGGTGAATGGTGAGTGCCTCTTGGCCCTAAGACTCAGGCTCCCAGCCTTTGCTTGAGTGAACGCCTCCCCTGCCAGCACAAACTCTTCGACCAGGCAGAGAACCTGCAGGGGATGTGATGTGAGGGAGGAATGGCATGCGGGAAGAATACACATGGGGCAGCAGCATTAAGCAGCAGGGGGTGAATGAATGGTAGTAGGTGCGTCTTGGCGCTACGACTCAGACTCCCCGCCCGGTTTTTGAGTCGACTCAAAAACCAGATGTGATGTGAGGGAGGAATGGAATGCGGGAAGAATACACATGGGGCAGCAGCATTAAGCAGCAGGGGGTGAATGGTAGTAGGTGCGTCTTGGCGCTACGACTCAGACTCCCCGCCCCCGCTTGGGTGAAAGCTTCCCCTCCCTGCCAGCACAAACTCATCCAAGAGACAGAGGACTGTGTCCCCTTCCTCCCCGCCTCCGAGATGCCAGAACACACAGGAGGAGCGGACAGCAGAGCAGCCACTCTGCGAGAAGAAGCCAGCTCCCACACCGCCTTCCTGTATTGGCGAATCAGAAACAGAGATGTAGACAGAACAGAGGCACAAGCACGCACCTGCAAGAATTGCTCAGAAGTCCCGGAGCACACAGGAGGAGCAGACAGCAGAGCCGCCACCCTTCGAGCAGCCAGCTCCCACACCGTCTTCCTGCCCTTCTCTAGCGCGTCCCTATTGCTGCAAGATTCACTCTGAGTGAGAAAGAGAGGTATGGAAACAGAGGCACGCACCTGCAGGAACTGCTCCGAGGTGCCAGAGCACACAGGAGGAGCAGATAAAAGTGCAGCAACACGGCGAGCAGCCAGCTCCCACACCGTCTTCCGACCCTTCTCTAGCGCACCCCTCACTGCTGCTGCTGCCGCCTCCCGCACAGCTGGCGTCAGCTCACTGGCCGGCGACGGGACAACTGGCATCGGCTCATTGGCTGCTGACGGCCCTGCAGCAGAGCTGGTTACACTGGCAGGTGTGGCAGCAGGGATAGCAGAAGCAGCAGTTGCAACAGAAGTAGACGAAGCAGCAGCACCAGCAGCAGCAGCACCAGCAGCAGCAGCGGTAGCAGTAGCAGCAGTGGAACTATCAGTAACAGGCTCTTTCCCCTTGAGAGACCCTGCTAATGGCGTCACCCTCTCCCCCGGCTCTCCCATCTCCAGCATGCTTCCACCTTCTCCTCCTCCTCCTCCTCCTCCTTCCTTTGCACCTCCTTTTCCACACCTCCTCTCTCCCGTCGCAGCTTCCATCCTGTCCACATCATCTTGCACGTCTTGCAGAAAGTCCCAATGCTCACCGCCACTACCACTAGCACCCACTACTCTATCACTGAAACCATCACCACCACCACTGCCAGTGGGTGCTGCAGCACTGCTGGGTGCAACGCTGTTGCTGCCACCAGCACCACTGCTGCCACTGGCGCCAGGCGCAGCAGCAGCAGCAGCCTGTGCTGAGCTGGACTGTGCCTCCGCCGGGACGTCAAACACAACAGCCTGTGCAGCTGGCAAGCACAGCGAGTCTTCAAACCGGTCTGGGGCAGCTCTGCTCTCCCCACTCACCCTGCTCTCCCCACTCACCCTGCTCTCCCCACTCACCCTGCTCTCCCCACTCACCCTGCTCTCCCCACTCGCCTTGCTCTCACCACCACCCCTCTCTGCTGCACCCTTACTGCCAGTCTTGCTGCTGCTTGCACTCGCCGGGTCAAGCTTCGATGGCTGAGAGGAGGAGCGCGGAGGTGTGGATGGATTGGTGGGTTGGGCGATGGGGACCGCTGATGCAGTGCCTTGGGGTGCGCTTGAAGCAGCAGAGGGAGGAGCAGCGGAGGGAGGAGCAGCGGGAGGAGCAGCAGGAGGAGCAGCAGGAGGAGCAGTGGGAGGAGCAGCAGGAGGAGCAGTGGGAGGAGCAGCAGCGGATACCTGTGGAAAGAGCAGAGAGGACAACAAGCAGGATCACTGTTTTCTTAGGCAACACAATAACAAACTGATGCAGTACCTTGGGTGCGTATTCAATGAGCAAGAGGGGTGTAACACCTGGGTGTGTGTGGAAGAAAATGGAAGAGAAACAGCATGCACGGAAAATACATGTGTATGCTTTGGCAAATCAGCACAACATACATCCGAAGAACGAGTGGAGCTTTGCTTGCATATGCACAGCGTACCGTCTTGAGCAGGGGATGGTGAGCAGTCATCATGACGTGGTGAGAGCACATGAGCTCCATGGTTCGAATGAGGCAGAGGAAGAAGAAGCATTTACTTAACAGTGTAGCAATGCAGAAACTCATGCACTGAGTGGCTGGTTGATGCTTACCGTCTTCAGCAGCGGGTGATGCGCGCGGTCATCATGACGTGGTGCGAGCACATGAGCTCAAACGAGTGCTTACAGTGGGCAATGCTGCTTACTGTCTTAAGCAGCGGCTTGCAGCGGGCAACCGGTTGCCTCAACACTCACCGTCTTGAGCAGTGGATGGTGGGCAGTCATCATGACGTGGTGAGAGCACATGAGCTCAAACACGAGCTCCATGGTTCGAATGAGGCAGAGGAAGAAGAAGCGATCCGACAGCTGCCCGCACAGCTCACTGTATGCCATTCTGTTGGTGAGAGCAGGGGGGCAGGGATACACGTTGCAGGTGGAATGGACGGATGACATGTCTACAAGGAGAAGGAACGATCCTGTTGCAGGGGAGAGCGTCCAAATCATGAACACTGCTTTGCACATACGGGCATGCCTTGTGCAGAATGGATTTAGAAAAGGAAGCAAGCAGCAGGCAGCAGGCAGCAGGCAGCATACCTGCTTCTTCTGGCATCGTCTTCTGTGCTTCCCTGCACAAGCACAACAAGGAGGCAGGCATGACGACGGTATGTGAGCAATGTGATTATAAATCTGTTTTGAGACGTCCCAAAGCATTACAACGGTCGGTGTGTGAGCAATGAGGCAAAGGGTGACCACCAATCAGCAGTCTGTTGTTTAGGAGTCCCCGAAATAGATATGCGAGCAATAATAAGCTAATGGGTGACACGACTGATGCCGTACGTTTCAGCAGCGACAAGCATGCACTCGGACACTCCCACATATGCATACATGTTGCTTGCCACTGCCTAATACCCTGACACCCACCCACCTGCTCTACGAACTGCAGCAGGATATCGTAGGTCTCAGACACCACAGCCTGGGAGAAGAAGTTATGCACCTTCTCTCACACACTCTTACACACCCACGCACACACCGTTTGCCACTGCCAAGCACCCTCCCACCACACCCACCTGCTCTACGAACTGCAGCAGGATGTCATAGGTCTCGGACGCCACTGCCTGGGAGAAGAAGTTGTGCACCTTCTCTCACACACTCGTACACACCCACCCAATTACCCACCCAACCACCCATCCACCTACCCTCCTCCCCTTACCTGCTCCACGAACTGCAGCAGGATGTCATAGGTCTCGGACACCACTGCCTGGGAGAAGAAGTTGTGCACCTTCTCTGCCAGGGCGGGCAGCCCGTTCATCACTGCATATGAATCCAGCACCTGCAGGGTGCAGAGAGAGGGAGGCGAGAGTGCATAAGGACAAGGGAAGTATCATCACTCAGCTACAGAAGCAAATCACACACCTTCCCTGCCAGAGCTGGCTGGCTGGCAGCCTGCAGGTAGCAGCCGCAAGAGACTATAGTTAAGTTAGGTGGTGAAGGGGCGACTGACCGTGGCGTAGGCGGTGGGGTTGTAGCGGCGGCAGACTGTGAAGAGAATGGCGTCCACCTCATCCACCACCCGTGCCAGCCAGCCCTGGAGTGCATTGGAGCGCAATGGGGTGTAACGGGGTGCAACGGGGTGCAACGGGGTGCAACGGGGTGCAACAGGGTGCAACGGGGTGCAACGGGGTGCAACAGGGTGCAACGGGGTGCAACGGGGTGCATTGGAGAGCACGGTACAATGAAGAGAATGGCGTCCACCTCATCCACCACCCGTGCCAGCCAGCCCTGGAGTGCAATGGAGCGCAATGGGGTGTAACGGGGTGCAACGGGGTGCAACGGGGTGCAACGGGGTGCAACGGGGTGCAACGGGGTGCAACGGGGTGCAACAGGGTGCAACGGGGTGCAACAGGGTGCATTGGAGAGCACGGTACAATGAAGAGAATGGCGTCCACCTCATCCACCACCCGTGCCAGCCAGCCCTGGAGTGCAATGGGGTGCAACGGGGTGCAACGGGGTGCAACGGGGTGCATTAAAGAGCACGGTACAGTGAAGAGAATGGCGTCCACTTCATCCACCACCCGCGCCAGCCAGCCCTGGAGGGGTGGAGTGGGGTGCAGTGGTTTGCAATGGAGGGCATGGCACAATGAAGAGAATGGCGTCCACCTTGTCCACCACCCGCGCCAGCCAGCCCTAGAGTGCATTGGAGTGCAACGGGGTGCAACGGGATGCAACGGGGTGCAACGGGGTGCATTAAAGAGCACGGTACAATGAAGAGAATGGCGTCCACCTCGTCCACCACCCGCGCCAGCCAGCCCTGGAGGGGTGGAGTGGGGTGCAGTGGTTTGCAATGGAGGGCATGGCACAATGAAGAGAATGGCGTCTACCTCGTCCACCACCCGCGCAAGCCAGCCCTAGAGTGGAGCCGGCCGGTGGAGTGGTGTGGTGGGGTAGGGTGGGATATGGTGGGATGGATACGGCACATCAAAATACAAGGCAATGTAGTGAAGAGAATGGCGTCCACTCATCCACCACCTGCGCCAGCCAGCCCTGGATTGCAATGGGGTGGAATGGGTTGGAGTGGGGTGGAGTAAGATTCAGTGGTGGTGGAGTGGGGTGCCGTGAGGTGCAGTGGAGAGCAAGGCACAATGCAAGGCACCTGAGTGGAGAAAGAAAGGCCTCCATCCCTCCCTACCTTTCCCCCATCTTCCCTCCCCTCCCCCTCACCTCCAAGCTGCTGCTCATGTCTCCAATGGCCCACAGCGACCTGCTCGGCTCCACGAGCACGAGGCAGCGCGAGCACAGCTGCAGGGCGGCGGGGTAGTGGGCGCCCTCCACCAGCTGCTGTAGGCGGGGCAGTCTCCTGTCTCTCTAACCTCCCTCCCTCCCATCCTATCCTTCTTCAACCATCCATTCCTCCCCTCCACCCCCTGTCACAACCCACCTCAAGGCTGCTGCTCATGTCTCCTATGGCCAATAGTGCTCGGCTCTGTTCCACGAGCACGAGGCAGCGCGAGCACAGCTGTAGGGTGGCGGGGTAGTGGCCTGTCTCCCTACCCATCACTCTCTTACCCCCACCTCCTTCCCCACTCCCAACCCACCTCAAGGCTGCTGCTCATGTCTCCTATGGCCAATAGTGCTCGGCTCTGCTCCACGAGCACGAGGCAGCGCAAGCACAGCTGCAGGGCGGCGGGGTACTGGGATGTCCCCCTCTTTACCACTCCCTCCTTTCCCCACCACCACATGCATCCCATTGCCTCACCTCCAAGCTGCTGCTCATGTCTCCAATGGCCCACAGCGACCTGCTCGGCTCCACGAGCACGAGGCAGCGCGAGCACAGCTGCAGAGCAGCGGGGTAGTGGGCGCCCTCCACCAGCTGCTGTAGGCGGGGCAGTCTCCTGTCTCTCTAACCTCCCTCCCTCCCATCCTATCCTTCTTCAACCATCCATTCCTCCCCTCCACCCCCTGTCACAACCCACCTCAAGGCTGCTGCTCATGTCTCCTATGGCCAATAGCGCTCTGCTCTGCTCCACGAGCACGAGGCAGCGCGAGCACAGCTGCAGGGCGGCGGGGTAGTGGGCGCCCTCCACCAGCTGCTGTAGACGCGCCTTCATCTGTGCCACCTGCTGCATGTGCTGCAACACGGGAATCATGCTCTGAGGGGGGTAGTCCCCACAAACGAAGGACATAGAGTAATACAGAGGGAAGGAGGGGAGGGGAGGTTGTGTCAGCAGCAGGTGGGCGAGAGGCGGGGTAGTGGGCGCCCTCCACTAGCTGCTGTAGACGCGCCTTCATCTGTGCCACCTGCTGCATGTGCTGCAACACTGGGATCATGCTCTGGGGGGGAAAGGGACAGACGGACAGATGGTAGATGCAGCAAGGGGCGTTAGGGTCCTTTCTGTGCGTGTGTCAGGCAACAGCTGCAGGGCGGCGGGGTAGTGGGCGCCCTCCACTAGCTGCTGTAGACGCGCCTTCATGTGTGCCACCTGCTGCATGTGCTGCAACACTGGGATCATGCTCTGGGAGGGAGACGGATCCAAAAACGAGGGATACAGAGGGATATAGAGAGGTGGGGGTGCAGGCGCGCCTTCATGTGTGCCACCTGCTGCATGTGCTGCAACACTGGGATCATGCTCTGGGAGGGAGACGGATCCAAAAACGAGGGATACAGAGGGATATAGAGAGGTGGGGGTGCAGGCGCGCCTTCATGTGTGCCACCTGCTGCATGTGCTGCAACACTGGGATCATGCTCTGGGGGAAGGGCGGGAGGCGGGGGGTGCCGACAAACAAGGGACATAGAGGGATACGAAGGGGTAGAGAGGGTAGGTGGGGGGTTAGGTGCTTTCATGCGCGCCACCTGCTGCATGTGCTGCAGCACTGGGATCATGCTCTGAGGGGGAAAACGGAAGATGGGAGAAGGCGAGATTGGAGCGAGGTGTCACCTTGTTGTCCAATCAACCGCATTAAAGCCTGTGCCCCCAATACCAAGCCCACCTTGTTGACTTAACTATGCTTCAGCCGTCAATAAGGTGGCATGACTTGAGAATTCTCAGATTACATAATAGCCTTCTTCTCTGCCCTCACAGTGGCCATGCGCTTCTTCTGCACGTTGTTTGACACCACGAGATTCTTTGAGATGTCCTTGCGTGCACTGTTAGTCTAGAGAGGAGACTTGGAGTCGACTCAGAGGTCACCACACACACTCACAGTGGCCATGCGCTTCTTCTGCACGTTGTTTGACACCACCAGGTTCTCTCACTATCCCCACCCCACCCCACCCAACCCCAACCCATCCCACCCCACCCCACCCCACCCCACCCACTCATGCCCAGATGCTTCCCCTCACTGCACTCACAGTGGCCATGCGTTTCTTCTGCACGTTGTTGGACACCACGAGGTTCTTTGAAATGTCCTTGCGCGCACTGTTCAACAGCCGCCGCGTGTTCTGCCACAGGGGAGAGAGAGAACGATGAGGGGAAAGGAAGGATGTGTGGGGAGGAGGGAGGGGTTGTAGGGGAATCACAGAGAACACATCAGAGGGAATATGTGGAGATTGAGATAACTTTTGAGTCGACTCAAAAGTCACCTCGTGTGGGGAGGAGGGAGGGGTTGTGGGGGATTCACAAAGACCATATCAGAGGGAATATGTGACTTTTGAGAATATGTCACCTCGACTCGAAAGTCACCTCTATTCACAAAGACCATATCAGAGGGAATCTGTGGAGATCGAGATAAGGTGTAGCAGTTGGCTGATCAACAGCTGGCACATACTCACTCACTCACTCACTCACCCTGCAGATCACATAGAGGACTTGAAGGTCCCGCTCAAGCTCCGCAAAGAGGTTCATTCCTTGCACTGGCAGGCCTATCGAGGCGCCTCAAAAACAGAATGCTGCAACTGCTCACTCACTCAATCACTCACTCAGTCACTCACTCACTCACTCACCCTGCAGATCACATAGAGGACTTGAAGGTCCCGCTCAAGCTCCGCAAAGAGGTTCATTCCTTGCACTGGCGAGGAAGAGGAAAGGGGGTGGCAGGGGGGTTGTGCTCAAGCTTCATCTCAGCCAAGAAAGAACGGGGTTGATGGTGTAAGTAACTAGCACCCATCTCCCAACACAGCAGCACCCAGCATAACCCTCTGCACCGTACAGCTGTAACCACCAACACCCCAGCAGCACCCAGCAGCGCCCTGCAATACCCAGCAGAACCCAGCAGAAGCATGCAACATCTTGCCTGCTGCAGCACCCACCCATTTCCTCGTGGTGACTCATCACTTGCGTCGCCAGCTGTTCCGACACCTCATCCAGCTGCAGCTGCCGCTTGCCACACTGCCAGCCAGATGCCACATCAGCAACAGAGCTATGTTTAAGGAATCACAGCAGAATCATGGCAGGCAGTCAACTTCAGAAAGGTTGATTGTCTGATGAGGCTACGATTGTAGAAGTGCACACTTGGTTCACCTTTCCGAAGAAAAAGTAGTAAGACAGGCCAAGTTATCACGTTACGCACAATAACCCAAGTTAAGCACCTGTGTTCCAAGGTGTTGCAGCGAGAGGGGTTCGTCTGGAAGCTCTTCCAACGCACAGCGGACAGGGTCAAAGTCCTGTAACGCGGATAACAGGGAGTGAGAATGGGAGTATGTGTTTTGAAGCGTCGCAAGCGCACAAAATACACCAACGCCCACCCCCACCCCCCCCCCTTTCTTCCCCCCACACCCACCTCCTCGAAAAAGCTTTCATCTAATGGCTCTGCCTGCCTGCTCCGCCTGCACAGGTCGCAGCACACGCAAGCCCCGCAGATACACCAGCGCCCAGCAAGATTCTACCCTCCCCACTCCCCTCCCCACTCCCCAACCCATAGACTCACCCTACCTCCCATCCCCCTACACTCACCTCCTCGAAAAAGCTCGCATCTAAGGGCTCTGCCTGCTCCGCCTGCACGGGTCGCAGCGACGACATGCCAGCTAGGATCCCCAGTGACGTGTTCATTGATGACGTGGCAGATAAGGGTAGGGACTCCGCCACGTCATCCAGGCCGCCTCCTCCCCCACCAATCCCACTGCTGCTGGTCCGCGTTACCATAGCCCACAGCCCTCCAATTCCCCCCCCTCCCCCACCCCCAGAGAGAGCAGGAGATACCACCCCCCCTGGTAACGACCTGCGGAGGGGGGAGGCGCCTCCTGCAGAGCTTTGGCGGGGGAGAGGTGCGGGGGAGGCGGAGGGTCCGAGGGAGAAGGGGGAGGTGAAGAAGGAGATGACGTCAGCCGCAGTGGTACGGGGGGAGGGCTGAGACAGACGCGACTGCTGCTGTTGGCTGTGCTGCTGATGCTGGTTGTGATGGTTGTGGTGGTGGGTTTGAGGAGGGGAGGTGAAGAGAGAGAGGACGCTGAAACCTGGGGAGGCAGGGGAGGAGGCGGAATGGGTGCGGACAATAGCAGTGCTACCAGAACGACCGTCCCCACCACTACCATTACCACCACCACCGCTGCCACTACCACTTATACCACTGGCAATCGCCCCAAATCCACCGGTGCTGCTGCTGCTGCTCTGGTTCTCAAACCGGATCTCGTCCAGCGTTATATGAAGCTCTGTTGCTCCGCCTGACGATCTTCCCCCAAACGCAGCGCCATGGGAAGGGGGAGGCTGGGGCCGGAAAGGGGGAGATTCGTATGTGGCGGAATGGGAGGAGGGGACCCGAAGGGTGGGGGCAGGAGGCGGACGGCCACGATCAGGCGCGGCTATGGATAAGGACCGTTGGATGTTCTTGAAAAAGGAGGCCCCTCCTCCTGTTCCGGCTCCTAAAAACCCACCAGGGCCTCCCATGAAGCCTCCAGCTCCAAAACTCTTAAAACTACCGCCGCCGCCACCACCGCCACCACCACCACCACCACCACCACCACCACCGATATTAGCACCGCCACTGCTGCTACCACCACCATCCGCACCAGCGCTCCCAATCCCCAACCCTCCAATTCCCCCGATTCCCCCAATTCCCCCTATTCCCCCGATTCCGCCTAGATTCAGCCCCCCCCCTCCGAAGGTGATCCCGCCCCTGTTGCCGCTCCTGCTGCCGCCGTTGCTGCTGCCGCTGGCACTGGCAGGGCCGCTGGAAGGGCCGTTGGGTCCCCATGGCCGCCTGCGGCTGGTGGCCGCTGCTGCCGGCGATGGAGGCTCCTGTAATAACAACGAGTGAGACATAGATTGTCGGTGATTTTTATACAGAGCCATATATTGGGATAGGGCGATCAATTCTTGACAAGATTGTCCAGATGCAAAGAACAAAAACATTGCTTCAAGTGAGGGTAGGTTCTGACAGTATGTTAGAACATGACTGAATGATTTCGGTGGGGGTCGAGACATACTTGGTCGTAAAATCCTCCCCCTGAGCCGCCTTGCAGACGATTCAGCGGATCGTTGATCAGCTTCTCCGCGAATCTTCGAAATCCGTCCATTTTTCAACAGCTGCCTTTTCCTGAGAGAAGAATAACCAACTGTCTCGAGGATCCGAGAATCGCAGCTCTCGTTATTAGCAGCGGAAACAGCCCTCTAGAAGGCCGTGATTTGATCGAACTGGTGACTTATGGAATCGAAAACTGATGGTCAGGACCTGCAAATATGTAACACCCTATTCTGGAAACTTGCACTTCTCATTAAAACAGAAACTACACGAGGCAGCGGCCAGCAGCTACCAGTTTGATTCCTCGAGCGTTACTATTAGCTAGAAGTTGCTTCTGTAGGTCTCCCGTGTTCACGTGTCTCACGTGTCTCGCTGATCAGACGCTGCGTTCCTCGTATGCAGAAAAATCCCTCACGCCTCGAGACGTCTCGAAAGGCGATCGACGCGCAAATGCACAAATCTTGAGACGTCGCGAGTGGTTACAGGAGAAAAAACAATCATCGTGGCTGAATCGCGAACCCTTCGATCCGGGGAACGTCAGCAGGGACTAGTTTCGTTGTAATTCTTCGCGTTTAAAACGCCGATCCAGCAGTTCTGAAACTGAGGAGGACGATGCTGCACATGGCGGTTGTTAGCAGTGGGGCGGGAGAGCAGCACCACTGACCTAATAGAGTCGGACAACCATTGAATCCAAAGACTGTTGCTCATGGAGTCGAGGTGAAGGAAGAAGGCTTCTAGTCTGGTCGAGCTTGAGGTGCGTTAAAAATAATTTTCGAACTACAGCAGGTAGCTCAACTCAATCTCAATATTTCTCGGTGTAGAGAAGTACATTGAAATTGACTCCCAAGTTGGTTCGTAGCAACGCAGTTCTGACAATAACCTGCTACTGAGGAATGACTTGGGAACAAGAATTGGACTGGGTGGGCCCTTATACTGGCAGGGGTCGCGCTTAGCATATGACCCTTTCACCAAGGCTCAGTGTGTGAAGATACCAGTTGGAAAACTCTGTCTCTGAACACGGGGACTATATACCAGGTATTACATTTTCTCTATGGTTACCTCAAAACAACAATTACAGATTTGTTTTGATGATACGATGCCCTTACGAAGGCTTGATGGCAGAGAAGGGAAGGGAGGCTTGCACTGGCGATAACTCGCGAGAGCGGTTGAATTCGCTAGCTTCTGTTGCTCTCTTCGCACGGTGCTGTCAGAAGTTTGGATTCGAGGGTAGGAAACTAGCCAATCGGCGAAGACCAGCACCAGGTTGAAGATTCGACCAACCACAACCACGGAGACTCGCGAGAAGCCTGGGGGAGGTGAGCGAGTCAAGAGGGCGCACGAACTCAGCCGGAACGGGTAACTCGGATCGATTTTTTCGTTCGTCTTGCGCAAGAGCAGGCACGAAGAAACCAAGGGATCATCGAGTGATGATTTATCCGCAAAATCAACTACGGACGGACTATTCGAGGACGTTAGGCTGACGCGTTAGGCCGACAACGGCCGGGCAGTGTATCATTATCCTGAAGTGCTAGCTATCTTACGAAGAGACTGTTAATCGTCTTCAACTATCTTGTCTTAGCTCGCTGCTCAATGTAGCTGTAACCACCGGTACGATGCTAAGAAATCCAAGAACGATTTACTGTTTTCCGTGACTGACGACTCGCCCGGAAGCGCGATCCAGCACATTTCTCCCACGGTCTCTGTCAGCTGCACCCACACCTCAGACCCACATTAGCTGTAGGATTTGCATCATCTGATCAGGGATTCGTCGGATTCTGAGCAGTTGGCTTCCTAGAATGCTAATCTAGGTAGTCTTGAGGTTTCGAGGAGCTGATTTGTTCCCTGTCGCAATGTTCCAAGGAAGCACAGCATTACAGGTTCTACCTGAGTACACCCGTCGACCACAATGTAGAGTCCAACTAGACTGATTGCATTGTTACGCACAAGTGATTCCGTATGACGTGTTGACCTTTAGAATTACCGTTTTACCGACCACAGTGTACACTTCAGACCGACCCATCCATCGTGCCAGCTGCCAGACCGTTAATTGAGCCGGCTAACGGGCTAGTCGTGGTTTCACTGCACCTTGCAGCAAAACCGCGTGTTAGACTCTCAAAGTCAATTTTTCCACCTCTACAGTGACGTCTGTCTGTTCTGAAGCCTTGACGGTCGGTTCCATCGTGCTGCCGCTTCTGGCTGACCGTTGCAAGCGGCGATGGATGCACGCGACAGGCGACGACTGTGGAAAAAGGTGCTTTCGCGAACCAGCTCTTCCCGCTCCTGCTGCTTTCGCTACCAATTCCCCCTGCTCCTGCAGTTTTCACTACCAACTTCTCCTTTTTGTTCATTGCCTTTCCTGCCTTCCTCCGATTCCATTCAAACCCTCCCTTCCCACCTACCCAACCCTGTCACGCCATCCTTGCTCCTGCTGCCTTGTCCAGCTACGTTACCTTTGAACGGCATCTGCATTCATCAGTGAATACAACATCCGTCCTGCTTCTGAAATTTTCTACAGCATCCGTGTTATAAGCCTAATGCTCAATGTGAATTCTCCTGTTGGCGTGTGGGATGCGGGGAGGAGGGGGGGTGTTGTGGGGGAATGGGGGAAGGGGGAAATGAAAAGGGTGTGTTGGGCGGCTGTGGGTGGGATGGAGGGGGGCCGTGAGTAGTTGAGGGCAGCGAGGCGGCCAGAGGTGCAGCCGTCCGTTTGGTTTGTGGCGCTCCGGGCGTGCTGCTCGCTGCGCCGAGTCACCTGCCTCTTCCTCCTCTACCTCCTCGCCGTGATACTGCTCTGTGAGTCTTTGGGGTTATGTGGGGAGGGAGGGGGTTGGGTGTGGGGGAAAGGGTGACAGGGACTGGTGGCTGCGCCGAGTCACCTGCCTCTTCCTCCTCTACCTCCTCGTCGTGATACTGCTCTGTGAGTTTCTGGTGACCTTGAATTTGGGCATGGTGACAAGGGCGTCCTCGCTGCGCCGGGTCACTTGCCTCGTCCTCCTCTACCTCCTCGCGCTGCTGCTGCTCTGAAAGTTGCTGGTACCTTGTATTAGGGCGTGGTGTAAAGGGCGTGCTCGCTGCGCCGAGCCACCTGCCTCGTCCTCCTCTACCTCCTCGTCGTGATACTGCTCTGTGAGTCTCTGGCCTAAGTGTTGGCTCAAAAGACACGCAAGTGTTAGTGGGCCACATGTGTTTGCCTGACAAGTTTTACGAGCTCCCCACAGCGGGCATGTTCCAGGGCCACAGAGAGCATTCCCTAGATCCATCCACCCCACCCTACCCTACCATGGTAACGAGGTGACATTTGAGTCGACTCAAGAATGAGCCACATATGTTTGCCTGACAAGCTTTACGAGCTCCCCACAGAGGTGCATGTTCCTCACAGCGTTCCAGGACCACACGGAGTTGACTTTTGAGTCGACTCAGAAGTCAGCTTTACAAGCTCCCCACAGAGGCGCATGTTCCTCACAGAGTTCCAGGACCACACGGAGTTGACTTTTGAGTCGACTCAAAAGTCAGCTTTACGAGCTCCCCACAGAGGCGCATGTTCCTCACAGCGTTCCAGGACCACACGGAGAGCTGGAACTCTGTCCCTACCCTGCCTCGTCCACCACCCTAGATCCATCCACCCCACCCTGCCTCGTCGATGCGTCCTTGGCCGCCGCGCCGCTACTGCAGCCGCTGCTGGTGATGCTCTGGGAACACCCCACTCAGCCTCACAGGCCCCCTAGCATCGTCCGCTCCTACCTCGTCAACGCCTCCTCTGCCGCTGCTACTGCAGCCGCCACTGGTGATGCTCTGGGAACACCCCATCCAGCCCTTTTGTTTCTCTCCTGTGCCTACCTGGTGACTCCCTTCCAACAGATGAAATCGGGGGAGTGGGGCACATGTGTCCGGCTGATCTCTCCTGCGAGTTCCCCACAGAGGGCATGTTCTGGGACCACCCCATCCAGCCTATTCCTAATTCAAGCTCACCTGTATCCCCCCTATGGGTCACTGGGCGACAGATGAAGTCGGGGGAGTGGGGCACATGTGTCCATCGGACCTCTCCTGCGAGTTCCCCACAGAGGGCATGTTCTGGGACCACCCCATCCAGTTGCTTCCTGACTTCTAACTCATCCAATCTCGCCCGTGTGTGTTTCCTTAGTCATTTTCGCATCTCCGTTCCCATGTCTTCCCTGTGTGTGCTTCCCTCAGATGAAGTCGGGGGAGTGGGGCACATGTGTCCATCGGACCTCTCCTGCGAGTTCCCCACGGAGGGCATGTTCTGGGACCACCCCATCCAGTTGCTTCCTGACTTCTAACTCATCCAATCTCGCCCGTGTGTGTTTCCTTAGTCATTCTCGCATCTCCGTTCCCATGTCTTCCCTGTGTGTGCTTCCCTCAGATGAAGTCGGGGGAGTGGGGCACATGTGTCCATCGGACCTCTCCTGCGAGTTCCCCACACAGGGCATGTTCTGGGACCACCCCCTCCAGCTTTCTCCTGAATCAAGTTCGTTTGAATCCCCCCTATGCTTCACTTGCCCTTCCTCCGGGTAACTCCCTTTTCTCAGATGAAATCGGGGGAGTGGGGCACATGTGTCCGGCCGACCTCTCCTGCGAGTTCCCCACAGAGGGCATGTTCTGGGACCACCCCATCCAGCCCCGCAGGCCCCCTCGCGTCGTCCGCTCCTACCTCGTCAACGCCTCCTCTGCTGCCGCTATCGCTGCCGCCGCTGCTGCAGCCGCAGCTGGTAACGCCACTGGTGCTGCCGCTGCTGCTGCTGGCAAAGGCAGGATGAGGCACCGGCTTGGGCCAGGAGGAGGAGCCGGAGGGGCAGGGGGTGGGGGGGGGGCAGGAGCAGGAGGGGGGATGGGTGGCGGAGGGATGGGAGCGGGAGCAGGGGCAGGAAGAGGCGGAGGAGGAGCAGGAGGAGGAGCGGCGGCGGTGGGGGCAGGGGGAGCAGCAGGAGGGGGGGCGGAGGAGCAGGTGTTGGTGGTGGAGCAGGAGGAGGAGGAGTATGTGGCGGGGGGGCATCTGTTGGTGCAGGACACGGGGGAGGGCCCTGAGAAGCCTGATAGCTGCGTGGAGCTCTGCCGGAACGTGCCTGACTGTGCCTTCTGGATGTATGACATGAGCAGCGTGAAAGGTGAGACCTTGCTCTTTACTAGCCTGTAAGGTCCTGGGTTGTTGGAGAGCGTACTCGTGAAGGGACGGGCTGGCATTCCTTGAATGGTTGAGGCAGTGTGTGAGAGATGGAGGCCAACTGGTATCAGAATCCCTGTGAGGCATGAGGGTGGGTAAGGAGGCGGGATCAGCACCCACCCAGGCTACTGCCGCCCGGCCTATCAGCACCCACCCGAGCTACTGCCGCCCGGCCTATCAGCACCCACCCGGGCTACTGCCGCCCGGCCTATCAGCACCCACCCGGGCTACTGCCGCCCGGCCTATCAGCACCCACCCGGGCTACTGCCGCCCGGCCTATCAGCACCCACCCGGGCTACTGCAAGTTTTGTGCGTGGGATCAGAATCCCTGTGAGGCATGAGGGTGGGTGCTGTTAGGCCGGGCGGCGCTCTTTGCGCAGCGGTGGCTGGTGCGAAACCAATACATGGTGGGTTGGTTACTGCGATGCCCACTCGTTTCCTCCCCGCGGCCTCTGCAAATTCCCCAGGCTACTGCCGTGCAGCCTGTGGGCGGCGCTCTTTACGCAGCTGCGTGTAATGAGTCGACTCAAAAATCGACTCATTACTGCAGTGCAGCCTGTGGGCGGCGCTCTTTACGCAGCGGTGGCTGCGCGCAACGCAACCAGTATGTACCCACCCTCCCACCCACCCTCCCACTTCCCACTGGGAAGTGCATGGGGGGAAACTGCCATGCTCCTCCCAAGCAACGCACTTCCCTTCTCCCACTTCCTCCCAGGGTATTGCAAACTGTGGGCGTCGGATCAGAACCCATGCGAGGCGAGGGGCTGGGTGTTGTTAGGCGGGGCAGCACACTTTGCACAGCGGTGGCTGGTGCGCAACCAGTGTGTGGTGGGGGGTTTACTTCTGAAGGGGGTACTGCCAGGCCCCTCTACCAACCCACCCATTTCCTCCGTGCCGCCTCCTCATCCCCCCAGGCTACTGCAAGCTGTGGGCCTCGCATCAGAACCTCTGCGAAGCACACGGATGGGTGTTGCTCGGAAGAGCAGCACACTTTGCACAGCGGTGGCTGGTGGGGGGGTACTTCTGAACCCTTCACACCCATTTCCTCCCGCTGTTCCCTGGTTCCCCAGGCTATTGCGAGCTGTGGGCATCGGACCAAAACCCATGCGAGGCAAGAGGGTGGGTACTCCTCGGAGCAGCAAACTTTGCGCAGCGGTGGCTGGTGCGCAACCAGTACGTGGTGGGGAGGTACTGCCTTGCCCCTCTCACGCAACCCACTTCCCTTTTCCCACTTCCTCCCAGGTTACTGCAAGCTGTGGGCGTCGGATCAGAATCCATGTGAAGCCAGAGGGTGGGTCCTGCTGGGGCGAGCAGCACACTTTGCGCAGCGGTGGCTGGTGCGCAACCAGTACGTGGTGGGGGGGTACTGCCGTGTGGTGGAGACTCTGGAGGAGAAGCGGAGGAAGAGGAATGCTCCCCCGCCGCCCCCGCCACCACCGGAGGAGGAGGAGGAGTTGAAGAGGATGGCAGAGGAAGATGGTGCCTGTGAGTTTGCTTGCTTGCTTGTGTGCTTGTGTGCACCCTATCTCCTGCTTGCTTTGCTTTGCTTTGCCATGAAACCACCCGCTACCACCGCCACCACCGGAGGAGGAGGAGGAATTGAAGAGGATGGCTGAGGAAGATGGCGCCTGTGAGTTTGCTTGCGTGCTTGTGTGCACCCTGATGCCTGCTTGCTTGCAGTAAGAAATCAAACCAATAGGAATGCCCCTTACTAGGCGCAACATAAGATCCCCCCCCCTGCCACCATTCGAGGAGGAGGAGGAGGAGGAGGAGGAAGAGGAGGAGGACACCCTGCCCCTGCCCCTTCCCCTTCCCCTTCCCCTGCCCCATCCCCTTCCCCTTCCCCTTCCCCTTCCCCTTCCCCTTCCCCTTCCCCTTCCCCTTCCCCTTCCCCATCCCCTTCCCCTTCCCCTTCCCCTTCCCCTTCCCCTTCCCCTTCCCCTTCCCCTTCCCCTTCCCCTTCCCCTTCCCCATCCCCTTCCCCTTCCCCTTCCCCTTCCCCTTCCCCTTCCCCTTCCCCTTCCCCTTCCCCATCTGTCACCGCATATGCAAGGAATGCATATGCAATAACAGTAGCGTGCGGTGCTGAGAAGTAGTATTAGAATAGTTAGGAATATAGTGAAGTAGATGAATAGGAAGTAGTGTAGCTTTGCAGCCAGTAGCGCAGTGCCGGTTGCTAAGGGGTGTAGAAAGGGGGGGGAATATGTAAGAGCGGGTTGGGATAGCGGGGGAAAGCACCGAAGGGCGAAATGGGGATTTCAACGAATCCCAACCTCGAGCCGCACATTGGAAATGTGCAAACCGAGGTTGGGTAAGTTCACCCACGCCAACTCACTCGATGCCTATTGTGTGGTATTCTCTCAGACTAGTGGATAGTTGTCATACTAGCCTCAACACGCAGCGACACAGCACTAAGGGGGAACCTGTGGGGTGAGGGAGCAATCCCGTTCATACCACACAATAGGCATCGAGTGAGTTGGTTATGGACAAGTACGAGCTTCGTTGGGGCCGGGTGTTTAGTCGCCGCGAAGAGGAACGGGCGCGGCGTGAGCCGTCACGTGAGCGCGGGCGATCTTTAGAGCGCTCGCCGCGCAGGCCGGCATTCCGCGCAGATCGAGTGCCGGTCGCTAGGGACCAGCGGGCGGAAGGGAGGCCGAGAGTAGGACCGTACGCCGCTAGCGCGGACGGAGACGCGGGGCAGAGAGAGAGGGATCGCGGAGATAGCGGGCATGGAAGCGACGACCGCCGCGCCGTGGGAGAATTTCGCTCGCCGGACGGACGCGGGCGCCGCCGCGATGAGAGGGGCCGCTGGCGTGGCGTCGAGAGGTTCGACGCTGACCGAGCGGGGGAAGCCGCCCATGAGGAAGAATCATGGGAGACTTCTAGCGAGGAGGAGGCGGAAGAGGCCGGCGCACATCTGGAGCGAGCGGCCGAAGACGCTGGCGGAGGGGATGACGAGGAGGAGCCCGTGACTGGGATCGGAAACGCCGAGCCTGGAGCGGCAGAGGTCGCCGGGAGTGCAAGCCAAGTGGGAGGATCGCAATCGGGACGGCGGGAATTGCGCGAGCGGGACGCCAGCCGTCAGGAGGAACAGAGCGCGGAGGGGCGGCGTCGACAGGAGCGGCGGGACTGGGGCGTGCGCGCCGGCGCTAGCAGGACGCAAGGAGAACGCAGCAGAAGCGACGTGGGCGGGCTGCGCGCAGCAAGGGAAGAACCGCGGCGGGGGGAACGGCAGCCTGTCAATCCTCGCGCACTCGACGGGCGGCGGGCGCAGGAAGGCGGGGTCGGAGACGGCGCACTATCGCCAGGCAGGCAGGTGATGCGCTGGGAAGGCGAAGAGGACGAGCCACGCGCATTCAGTCACTACTGGCGGCGGGGAGAGGGACACGAGGAAGGGCCCAGTTCGGCGGAAAGGCGCGGCCAGCGGCAAGAGGAGCGAAGCGGGGTGGCATGGACAGCCGGCCCGCAGGAGCAATGGGAGAGGACGGGCGGGGAATTTCGCTCGCCGCTCGGCAGGCGGCAGCGGGGAAGGGAAAATGGCGGGGACGGGCGCGTGCCCGTGGATCGGCGACGGCAGGAGAGGGGCGCAGCTTGGTCACCGTCGCCAGAGAGGTGGCGGCAGCGGGAGACAAGCGCGGCAGGATGGGGGGGTGCACGAGTCTCGCCGGCACGAATGCGAGGACGCGCGGATGAGGAGAGGGGCAGAAGGGAAGTTCACGGGGACGCGGGCTGGAGTCGGCGAGAGAGCAGAGCGGGTGGAGGAAGCTTGGCACATGGCGCGGAGCGGGCCCGAGAGGCCAGGGAAGGGCTGGAGAGGGCTAAGGAACGGGGGAAGGAGGGAGAGCGGCTGGGAAGGGGCAGGGAATCATGGGGAGATGGGCGGGGAGGTACGGCCAGCGCGACGCGGGTGGAGGTACCCGCCAGGTTCTCAGGAGACCAACGGACAGGGCCTGCCCTCAAAAATTACTTGATGCAGGTGGGGAATGTGAAATACCGGTGTGACCGGCAAGGCATGGACCCGATAGACTTCTTTTTTAGCCTACCGAACACACTGGAGGGAGAGGCGGAGACCCTGTACCGCATGAGGATGGACGAGCTGCTGTGGAGGGCGGGGAGGTACGGGGAGGATCCGACTGAGGCATTTCTGGAGAGACTGCAGCGTCAGTTCCCGGGGCACACGGCGGAGCGCATAAAGGAGTTTCAGGAGTTCAGAAGAGGGCGGACAGAATCCCTACTGACCTACTACAACCGACTGATCAATCTAGTGGAGGATGTGAAGTGTTCGGACAGCAGCCTCCTCATCAGCAAGTTTCTTGGAGGGCTGGACGAGGCGCTGGGGGGAGGACTGAGAATGAGGGTGTATGAGTTGGGGGCAGAGGCGGCGCTGGAAGAGGTGTTTGACCTGGCAGAGAGGGTAGAGCTAGCACAAAGGAAGTATTAGGCCTACCTGCCAAGGCCGGTGGAGAGGAGCCGCAGACCAACGTGGGCGGCAGCAATGATACCGGAAGAACGGGGGAGGGTGGACCCGCATAGAGAAGAGAGAGCCGACACGCGGGCTTGCTACCGATGCGGACAGCTGGGGCACCTCCGCCGAGAGTGCAAGAACTGTGATGGCTGCGGGAAGCCTGGGCACAGGAAGCGAGAGTGTCCTGAGGCAGCAAGGTGTGAAGTCTGCGGGAAAAAGGGGCACGAGGCCAAGGAGTGCTACCAGCGGGAGGGAGGGGCAAGGAGGAAGCCGGAAGAGCTGCAGCGACAGATCAGCAGGCTGCAATCTCAACTGCAGGCCACGGGGCCAGGGTGGGGAGCGGAGGCAGGGATGTATGCCAGGGACGAGGAGGGAGAAGGGGTGGAGCTGGACGTGCAGTGTGCCCTCATGGCATGGAGAGGCAGGGAAGAGATGGGGCTGCGCAGCGGGGGGAAGGATGGCAGGCAGGAGCATGGCAGGAAGCCACGTGAGCAGGGGTCCAAGCCGGACGCGCCAGCGGCAGAGAAACTCCCAGCCCGCCACCCGCAGGAGAGGCTCGCGTGCCAGACCTCAGTGTTGCTTATGGAGGCAGGAGCAGTGGAAGTGGAGGGGAGGAAGGTAAAGACAGCAATCATTGACACTGGAGCACAGAGCGTGATGTTGGGTAGGGGGATGGCCGAACGGTTGGGGCTGATGGCACCGGAGAGGCACGTGGCGAAGGGGATGCTGGTCATGACGGCAGAGGGAGGGGAACCAAAGTGGATGCCGTGCACACGGACCCCCATAGAGTTGACCCTGCTGCCAGGAGGAGAGCATGAAACGAGGATCAGGATGAAGTGTGGGATCTCGGAGTCTGAGGACTTTGATCTGCTGGTGGGGACTGAACTGGTGTTCGCTGTAGGCATGAGCATATGTACCTGGACAGAGAAGGTAGAGTTCAGGACGAGGTACTGGAAGAAGGAGGGACCATTGGGGCAGCTGCCAGTGCAGTTTGTGAAGGTAGAACCGAAGCGGGCCTATCAAGTCGGGGCAGGAGGGGCACAGAAGGGGCAGGGAGGGACAACAGAGGCCAGGGGGGGGCCCAGGATGAAGCCGATGGACAGGCCAGGGCAACAGAGCGACTGGCAGCAGCCCATTCGGCTGGTGGAGTTGTTTGGGGGAATTGGGGCAGGGCTGGCAGCAGCGGTGAGAAGTGGGATTGCAGTGCAGCAGTGGGTCTATGTGGAGCAGGCACCACAGGTGCGAAGGATGGCTGAACATCATGCGCGGCAGCTGAGAAGGGAGTTCCCGGACCTCCTGAGTGAACGAGTGATTCAGGATGCCATGAGCGGTACCGTACACGACGTGAGTCAGATCACAGAGGAGTAGGTGGCCAGCTGGGGGCAGGTGGACCTGCTGGTGGCGGGATGGGAGTGTCAGGGAGTGTCATGGGCCGGAGGGGGAAAAGGGGGAGAGGACCCGAGGACGCAGCTGATGGACAACCTGTTCAATATCTTGGAGTGCCTGCAGGAAAGGCAGGGCAGAGTAGCGTTCTTGTTTGAGAATTTGGACTTAGATGGGGACTGCAGAGAGCCGATTCGGCTGGTGAGGGAGAAGATAGGCAGGCACTTGGGTAAGGGGATGAGCTGTGATGCAGCCAGAGCGGGATCGTACGCACACCGCCTCAGGATGTACTGGCAGAACGTGGTTCCAGTGATGGACCTGCAGGAGGAAGCAGAGGGGATGAGGAGGGCAACAGGGAGAAGGGTAGTCGACATCCTAGAGCCAGGACGGACTCCCGCGCCAGTCTGCCAAAGGAGTTACAGCAGGCATTACCCGTGTAACCAGGTGGGGCAAGAGAGGAGTGCGCTGCCCACCTTGGTCGCGTATGCAGGGGCAGCAGGCTACAGGTGGGAAGGGGGGAAGCCGGGGCCTGGGCTGGTATATGACCACAAAAGGGGACGATGGGAGGAACCAACGGCATTGGAGCGGGAGCTGGCTATGGGGTATGGAGAGAACGTGACAGCAGCACCAGGGGTGAGTGAGGAAGACAGGAGAAGGGCACTGGGGAATGCCATGGACGGCTATATGATGAGGTGGCTGTTGCAAAGGATATGGCGAGAGATGGTCCTAGGCTGGGGGCAAGAAGCGGAGGAGGTGGCGGCAGCAGCAGCCCCACAAGGAGCGTGGAGCTGCAAGGCAGAGGAAGAAGAGAAGTGGACAGTGGGGGAAGCGATGAGCAAAGAGGGAAAGGGGGCCATGCTGGAGCTGCTAGCCAAGCACAGGAAGTGCTTTGCCTTCACACTACAGGAACTGGGAAGGTGCAAGGTGAAGGAGATGGAGCTGAAACTGAGCAGCACGGAGCCAGTGTTTCAGCGGCGTAGGAAGATGCCGCACGGAGACGAGGAGATATGCAAAGAGAAGATTAAGGAGCTGCTAGCGGCCGGGCTGATTAGGCGCTCCGAGTCAGAATATGCCACGCCAACGGTGGTGGCAGCGAGGAAGGACTTGACAGGGGAGATTCTGAGCAGGAGGATGTGCGGAGATTACAGAGCGCTCAACAAGATTACGGTGGCGGACAGATACCCAATGCCGATGGCGGAGGAGATATTTGACAAGTTGGCGGAGGGGGTGTTCTTCACGACGCTGGACCTGCGGCAGGGGTTCAACCAGATAAAAATCAGGGAGGAGGACATCAAGAAGACGGCCTTCCATGGGCCGGACGGGCTGTATGAGTGGCTTTATATGCCATTCGGGCTGAGGAACGCATCAACAGTGTTCCAGAGGGTCATGGACGCAGTGCTGAGGGACGTGGAGTGTGCAGCGTGCTACATAGACGATGTAGTGATCTTCAGCACCTCCGAGCAGCAGCACCTGCGGGACGTGGAGAAGACCCTGGCGGCAATAGAAGCAGCAGGACTTACGTGTCATCCGAAGAAGTGTAGGTGGGGCGAGCAGACCGTTCAGTACCTGGGCTATGAGATAAAAGGGGGGCAGATCGGGATACAACAAGCGAAGGTGGAGGTGCTGGATAGGCTGCGAGAGCCAAAGGACAAGACAGGGCTGAGAGCGGTGCTGGGATTCCTGAGCTACTACCGGCGGTTCGTACCCAACTTCAGCAGGCGAGCAGCAGTGCTCAACGGGCTGTTAAGAGAGGACAAGACATGGGAGTGGGGGGAAGCGCAGAGGGGGGCACTGCAGGACCTGATGGCAGCGATGAAGACAGCAACCGTCCTGCAGCTGCCCGCGGCAGACCAGCCCTTCACCCTCTACACAGACTGGAGCAGCCAAGGGATGGGCGGGATACTCTGCCAGGAGGTGGAAGGAGATGAGAAGGTGGTGGCCTATGCGAGCAGGAGCTGCAACTCAGCGGAGGCACAGTATAGCTCATACACAGGGGAGGGACTGGCGGCAGTATGGGCCGTGGGGCACTTCAGGGTCTATCTGCAGGGGCGGGAGTTCACCTTAGTGACGGACCACCAGCCTTTGACCTGGCTGATGACCACACCAGGGCTAACAGGCAGGAATGCACGGTGGGCGATGAAGCTGCAGGAGTACGACTTCAAAATCAAGCACCGGCCGGGAAAGACACTGCAGCATGTGGACGGCCTCTCCCGTAACCCCCCACCACTAGAGCCCACAGGGACTCTAGCACTGCTGGCCAGACAGGTGGAGCTGAGCGGGGCAACAGGGGGCAAGGGGCCGGCAGACATCTGGGAGGATGAGCAGGCCGTGAGATGGGTGAAGGGGGAGACAGGGGCCGACGAGGAGATGAGCGAAAGGGTGAGAGCAAGGGGGCACCACTACAGGTGGTACCAGCAGCAGTTGCAGATACAGACTGAGGACGGGTGGAAGCTGGTGCCAGCACCAGGCGACAGAGAGGCAGTGATCAGGGAGGTGCACTCAAAGTTGGGACACTTCGGGCATGAGAGGACAGTGCAGCTGCTGAAGACAGGCTGGTGGTGGGAAGGAATGCGCCGGCAGGTGCAGAAGTGGGTAGAGGGATGCGAGGCATGCCAAAGGAGCCGGGCAAACCTCACCCAAGCCAAGGCCGAGCTGCAGTCCTTGCCCATTCGCGGGTTAGGCTTTAGATGGTCCTTGGACCTGGCGGGGGAACTGCCGCTGAGTCGGGGGGGAAAGAGGTACATAGTGCTCATGGTGGAGCACGTGAGCAAGTGGCTGGAGGTGAGGGCTATCCCCAGCAAGAGCTCAAGGCATGTAGCTGCAGCATTCAAGGAACAGGTGGTGTGCAGATTTGGGGCGTGTGCAGAGGTGCTCACTGACCAAGGAACAGAGTTTCAAGGGGAGTTCAAGGAGCTGTTAGAGGAAGTAGGAATCACTCACCGACGCACCTCTCGGTATCACCCACAGAGCGATGGGCTGACCGAGCGCCTAGTGCAGACATTGAAGCGAGGGCTGCGGGCATATGGGGAGAAGAGGAAGCGGGAATGGGACAATGAGCTGCACTGGATCGCGGCAGGATATAGGTTTGGGAAGCAGGCAGCCCTGAGAGATCATTCACCCTATAGTCTCCTGTACGGTTGTGAGCCGGTGCTGTAGGGGCACCACGGGTCCTCACGGACACAGTGACAGCAGGTACCATAGACAACTGGGTGGCCTTGTCAGAGGCAAGGGCAAGGTACCTCCGAGTGATAATGCCAGCCGCACTGGAAAACCTGCACACGGCGCAGCTGAGGGACGCCAGGCGCTATGAGCAACGCCAGCGGCAAGGGATGGGAAGGAAGGAGAAGAAGGGAGCCGGTGAGGGACAGGAGGTGTACCTGAAACGGGCAAAACAGGACACGCTGGACGTCGGGGTGGGGACAGAGAGGTGGAGGGTGAGGGAAGTTCGGCCCTCAGGGATTCTCGTGCTGGAGAACGAGAAGGGGGCACAGCTGAAGGAGCACCAGACCAACACGGCCCTGGTAAGGGGGAGCAAGCCTCAGCCAGCGGGTCCTGTGACACGAGCTCAAGCCACTCGAGCACGGGCACAGGAGGGGGCAGTGGGTGACTGAGGAAGGGCAGCACCGAGCAAGGAGGGGTAAGGGGAACAACGGGAAGAAGAGCAGGGGCTGGTGGAGGTCACATACTCCGACAGCTGTCACCGCATATGCAAGGAATGCATATGCAATAACAGTAGCGTGCGGTGCTGAGAAGTAGTATTAGAATAGTTAGGAATATAGTGAAGTAGATGAATAGGAAGTAGTGTAGCTTTGCAGCCAGTAGCGCAGTGCCGGTTGCTAAGGGGTGTAGAAAGGGGGGGGAATATGTAAGAGCGGGTTGGGATAGCGGGGGAAAGCACCGAAGGGCGAAATGGGGATTTCAACGAATCCCAACCTCGAGCCGCACATTGGAAATGTGCAAACCGAGGTTGGGTAAGTTCACCCACGCCAACTCACTCGATGCCTATTGTGTGGTATTCTCTCAGACTAGTGGATAGTTGTCATACTAGCCTCAACACGCAGCGACACAGCACTAAGGGGGAACCTGTGGGGTGAGGGAGCAATCCCGTTCACGTGGGTGACTGAGGAAGGGCAGCACCGAGCAAGGAGGGGTAAGGGGAACAACGGGAAGAAGAGCAGGGGCTGGTGGAGGTCACATACTCCGACAGCTGTCACCGCATATGCAAGGAATGCATATGCAATAACAGTAGCGTGCGGTGCTGAGAAGTAGTATTAGAATAGTTAGGAATATAGTGAAGTAGATGAATAGGAAGTAGTGTAGCTTTGCAGCCAGTAGCGCAGTGCCGGTTGCTAAGGGGTGTAGAAAGGGGGGGGAATATGTAAGAGCGGGTTGGGATAGCGGGGGAAAGCACCGAAGGGCGAAATGGGGATTTCAACGAATCCCAACCTCGAGCCGCACATTGGAAATGTGCAAACCGAGGTTGGGTAAGTTCACCCACGCCAACTCACTCGATGCCTATTGTGTGGTATTCTCTCAGACTAGTGGATAGTTGTCATACTAGCCTCAACACGCAGCGACACAGCACTAAGGGGGAACCTGTGGGGTGAGGGAGCAATCCCGTTCACGTGGGTGACTGAGGAAGGGCAGCACCGAGCAAGGAGGGGTAAGGGGAACAACGGGAAGAAGAGCAGGGGCTGGTGGAGGTCACATACTCCGACAGCTGTCACCGCATATGCAAGGAATGCATATGCAATAACAGTAGCGTGCGGTGCTGAGAAGTAGTATTAGAATAGTTAGGAATATAGTGAAGTAGATGAATAGGAAGTAGTGTAGCTTTGCAGCCAGTAGCGCAGTGCCGGTTGCTAAGGGGTGTAGAAAGGGGGGGGAATATGTAAGAGCGGGTTGGGATAGCGGGGGAAAGCACCGAAGGGCGAAATGGGGATTTCAACGAATCCCAACCTCGAGCCGCACATTGGAAATGTGCAAACCGAGGTTGGGTAAGTTCACCCACGCCAACTCACTCGATGCCTATTGTGTGGTATTCTCTCAGACTAGTGGATAGTTGTCATACTAGCCTCAACACGCAGCGACACAGCACTAAGGGGGAACCTGTGGGGTGAGGGAGCAATCCCGTTCACGTGGGTGACTGAGGAAGGGCAGCACCGAGCAAGGAGGGGTAAGGGGAACAACGGGAAGAAGAGCAGGGGCTGGTGGAGGTCACATACTCCGACACATCCCCTTCCCCATCCCCTTCCCCTTCCCCTTCCCCTTCCCCTTCCCCTTCCCCTTCCCCTTCCCCTTCCCCTTCCCCTTCCCCTTCCCCTTCCCCTTCCCCTTCCCGTTCCCCTTCCCCTTCCCCTTCCCCTTCCCCTTTCCGGCTCCTCTTTCCCTTCCTTCTCCTCGCTCCCACTCACTCCCTTGCAGTGCAAACCAACGAGTGTCCCAAGCTAACGTGTAACACGGTAACGCGTGGCTACATGTTTGACCACGAGGGCAGTCAACAGCTTCACGCATTTGGGACTCTGTTCCTGCCTTCACTCACACTCATCGAGTTGACTCTCCACCCCTCTGCCCTCCCTTTTTCTCTCTCCCAGTGCAAACCAACGAGTGTCCCAAGCTCACGTGCAACACGGTGACGCGTGGGTACATGTTTGACCACGAGGGCAAGGGCCACTTCAACTTCACCTACACGGGCATCGGCCCTGCCCGCCCGCACACATGCTACCTGCTGTGCCGGAGAACCCCCGGGTGTGCCTTCTGGATGTACAACATGCGGTCCAAGCGAGGTGCGTGAAAAAATGCGGTCGAAGCGAGGTGGTGCGTGGGGCGAAATCCCAGTCTGAAATGTGTGCTTGCTTGCTTGCTTGCTTGCTTGGGTGTTTGTCCACGAGAGCAAGGGCCAATTCAATTTCACCTGCCTGCTGTGCCGGAGAACCCCCAGGTGGGCCTTCTGGATGTACAACATGCGATCCAAACAAGGTGCGTGGGGCAAATTCGATGGGCTTTCAGTGTTCGCTTGCTTGCTTGCTTGTCTGCTGCGGTCCAAACCAGGTTTGATGCTGCAGCCTGTGCGTTTGTTTTTGAGACGTCTCAAAAACAAGGCCTTCAGTTTTTAGAATTCTCAAAAGTGACTTCCAAACGAGGTTTGATGCTGCAGCATGTGCGTTTGTTTTTTAGATGTCTCAAACCCTCAGGCATGGGCATACAAGATTGGAGCACAATGAGATGAGTGAGGTGCTGTTGATGAATGTCTGCGTTCACGTGGTGGGATGAATGTAGGTTATGCTTTGCTGTACTGCCTGCATACTGGTCGAAACGAGGTGTGTGGGGTGAAAACCAGCAGTTTGAAATGCAAGGTTGCATGGGTGCTTCAAGTTGGCAAGGAGACAATGATTCATGTATGCCAATGCCTTGCTATGGAGACAACGAGGATGGAAGGAAAAGAAATCCACCAGTTGAGGTGTTTTGAGGATATTTTGGGGCTCAAATCAACAAGGATATTTTGGGGCTCACATCAACAAGGATATTTTGGGGCTCAAATCAACAAGGATATTTTGGGGCGCAAATCAACAAGGATATTTTGGGGCTCAAATCAACAAGGATATTTTGGGGCTCAACAGGATATTTTGAGGCTCAAATCAACAAGGATATTTTGGGGCGCAAATCAACAAGGATATTTTGGGGCTCAAATCAACAAGGATATTTTGAGGCTCAAATCAACAAGGATATTTTGGGGCTCCTTGATGACAGTCGACCCGACCCTGTCTTGTCTTGTGCCCCTTGGCACTTCCTTGAACTCTTCACACACACACACACACACACACACACACACACCCATTTGTACCACAGGTGCATGCAAGATGTGGACGAGGGAGCAGAACCTGTGTGAGCCCACGGACGCTTTTGACTCCACCACTGCACACTACCCTTCAAACGGACTGCCCACCCTCCTACGCCCACTCGCTTCCCTCCCCACAGCACACCACTTGCTGAGGTGACAGCCCACCCTGCCCTGTCGCATCGCCCACACACCCATTCCCGATTCCCCTATTCTTCATTTCCAGGTGCATGCAAGATGTGGACGAGGGAGCAGAACCCATGTGAGCCCACGGACGCATTTGACTCCACCACTGCACATTATGTGGCGAAGCGGCCCACGGGGTCGTTTGTGATTGGTGGGAACTGTGACAAGCTGCCGCCCATGAAGGCTGATCCACAGGCAAGGCAGGCACAGATGGCACAGCAGCAGCAGCAGCAGCAGCAGCAGCAGCAGCAGCAACTGGTGCAGCAATAGGAGGGGAAGGAATGGAAAATTTCAGTGCAACACGAATTGACATTTAAAAAACATGATATATTGTCAGCAGCATGCCATAATGTAAAATGGTCATTGCCTTGATTGATTTCAGTGTGTTCGATCATCACACAATGGTTCTGTAGCTTTGGATGGATGGGGTACACAAGAATGTCTCATATGAATTCAACTATGTGCATTGAATTTTGTGTTCATGTAGGCGGTTTCTATGTACCGTCTTGCTGTTTGTTATCAAGATTGGGGTGGCAGACCACCATCCTTGCCGCAAAATGACCCGCGGAATCTAGTGCGTGTTTCTTCGCCTCCCAAAACATGCATTGTGCAACCTAGGCGCTGGTTACCTCAGTTGGGGTCGTAGACTACACACTCGTGTCACCTCTCCAATCAGGGGGGCAGTGATTTTTGGCGTTTTGGGAGATGGAAAGCACGAGCCAGTGAGCGGAAAGTAGTAACGTGAAAACCCTCTCGAAGCCCTCCTTCCTCGGGGTTTTCATGGTTTCACATCACACATCCCAGCAGCGACATTTGGCCGAGCAGGTCCCTTCGGGAGAGTTCAAAGGGGAGTAAGATGCATAAATAGGTCGAGAGTTATAGTTGGAAGCAGCTAGTGTTCAGTTTCAGGAGACCAGCATCTGGATTAGATCACCATTGTTCGATCAGCTGCAAGCATCGCGACTATTTCGAGGTGGGTCTTACACCTTCTGGTTCCTGCATAATTAATGTGCTCGGCTTCCTCAGCCGCTACTACTATTGACGGGAGCTGAGCGACTAGCCTGTCGCTCTCCTCCGTGCCTCTGGAGTGGCTCTCACCGTGCCTCAGAATCCAGCACAAACGTCATAGAGAGATTCGACCGGTTGTAGATCGCTCGAGCCTTGACGGCTCCTTCCTTCACGGGTTCGAGCCTCGGGCTCGGGCTTTCTCCCGGCTCGAATTTCGCATATTCCATCGCCATAACGAGCGGCTTCGCTGCAATTACGTTTTTGGACAGACCATGCGAGTCACATGCACAACGTTTCCGTCTCTCCTTCGTCTAAACCGTTTTCTTTTTCCTTGTTTTCGTTGTATTTTGCGAACAGGTTGGAAACGATATACGAAAGCCATCTGCAACCACTTTCTAGGTTAGTTCTTGCTGTCTGCGTTTTCTTTTGTGTTTTGGCCAGAATTTCTGGCAAGAGGTATCTAGGTCCAATCCTCTATTAATGGATTTGACTCTTCGAATCCTTGCCGAGATAGTAAGCAGACGCGACGCGGTCCTGGTGTTCTATCCCAGGATTGCTACTTTATTCTGCTGACATTGTTAGCAATGATGGAGCAGTTTTCCTTATTATTCGTTTGGAACATTTTTGGCTAATAGCTTCCTTCTCTGTACGCAGGTATTTTATTAACGTCCCGGCACTTACCCGTTTGGAACATTTTTGGCTAATAGCTTTGCTCTTGTGCGCTGTCCAGCACTTACCCGCCTTGTTTTTAGTTCATGTGTGGAATATTATCTCTGCTTGCAATCCTTGTTTTTAGTTCATGTGTAGAATATGTATCTTTACTTGCAATGATAAGGTCACTGGTTGAATTTCCTCTTGGACTTGGTTGGTTGGAAACATTTCTCTCGTCCTGTCAGTAAGTGGCAGTATCAAAGCGCCATGTAACAAGTGCTTTTAGATCTAGAATTATACAGTACTCGTAACAGCTGGCGGGCGAGTGTAGCGAAGCTTCAAGAATGCCTAGTTGAATGTGTTAGCTAAAGAACGCGTCACGCAGGATCGATTTTTGGCGGGGAAACGTTCTGAAAGTTTTGGACACAATGGTAACCGAAATTCGAACGTTCTTTAGGGGAGGTCCAGCGCGTTCGTTTTCCGTACATTACAGTTCATCCAGTACGGTAATCTGTACTGCGTCACGGTTCAAAACGGTGCAATTTTAAAACCGATGTGCACCGCCTGATATCGTTTCAAACCACGACGAATGAACTGTATAGTACCTGTAAACGTACGCGCTGGACCCGCCCCCCAGAACTTGTGCGTTCGAACAGCTGGTTACCACTCGAGGGGTGATTGATCGTTCCCCGTAGTGTGCAATTATCATCATGGTTTGTCTTACAACATGTAGCGCTTTTTTCCAGAGCTATTGTTCCTTAGCGCGTACCCTGCTATGTCATTTCATACCTTCGAGCACATTCAGCTATGATCCGAGCCCAAAGCAAGCTCGCTCACTCATTGCCCTTCATACACACAATTATTTGCAGCACTGGTGTTTTCTGCTTCGAATAGCGCGTCACACGGCACCACACGCGACTACGGAAGCTGCAGATAGAAACTACTGCTGCTACGAAAGCAAAGACCATTATGGACACATCATTATTGGTTTCGATGTGGGACCTGCCGAATTTTCCGCGTTTTTCCCGCCCGTAGCGCATCAAAATCGCCACCTGTTCCGCAAGCACAGGTCTACACCCTGACCGCTGCACAACTCATACACGGGCCACACTGCGCAAGCTGACTCGTTCACGGGTTCACGGGTCCGAGGCTCGATGGGATAAGGATGAGGATGAGGAGGAGGAATTTTTTTCAATGATTGTTACGATGAGGTGAGCGCCGACTTCGTAGTTCCTGCCGGCGGCTCCGCTGCGTCGCGACGAGGAGACCCAGCAGGGCGAGGTTCTCTAGGCTGTACATCAGCATGAACACCGGAGTCTTCCAGAAGTGGTCTTTGCCTTTTCGTATTGCTCAGCGTTCTAGTAATACATCTATCAGGCTGCGCGAGAATACTTGGTACACCAATCAGACTGACTGATTAATAGCGTAAGTTGCACCCGCTCGAAGTCATGTCGTTTACTTCAACCGCAATGAGGAGCCTAGTACTAGTAGTTGCTACTTTTCTCACAGTCTTCGCGTGCTGCGGCGTAGAAGCTTCCACTAAAACCATCAACTATGACTGTGTCACGCCGTGTAAGAACGCGTCCGGCGTCGTTACGGCCTGCGTCAATGCATGCGGGGTACGTCATTTCAAAATTATTCAGACTTGTAAGAGAATTGCCACGAACACTCTTCTGCGCGTTCTTGTTTCACCTTCCAGACGGATTATCAACCAAGATTGCCAATTACTTACCTACCTGTTAGCTTTTCTTGGTGGAAAGTGGAAAAATCAACGCCCATCGCTTTAATGCTTTCGTCGGAAGAGGCTCGAATTGCACTTTGCTCAAGACACAACTTCCGATTGCCTTATTGCTCCTCCCCCTCTTCTCATTACCCCTATTCTTTCCATGCATATGGACCGCATTGAACCTCATCAACCACATCATCAACATTGCATGGCACGGCAATCGATTTGCAAAGCCAACGCTCTGCAGCGGTGCGTGGGCGCAATTAGCGGCTGCAGCGGCAACTACAATCCAGTTTGGGCTGATGTGACCAACACCGCCACTGGTACCACTGGTGCGTCTAGATAAAGCCCTGGTCTTTCCCATCCCTCTTTCTAGATATGTCATCGGGTAAGAAAAAGCTTGAACTGGTGATACTGGCTAGTGATCACATTAATCCGCTTATGGTGGGCGTTGATTGAGGCCTGTGGTGACCGCTGCTTGCACCCAACAGCTTATTCTTCGTGGCATCTCAAACAATAAGAATACCCATACATTTTTTTTTTTTTTTAATCTCTTCTTCCTCCCTTTTGACTCTTGCATGAACCACCACCAGGTAAAGTGTACTCTGGTGACCAATGCAATTGGTCATGCAGCGGTATTATGTGGTGGGCCTGGCTCCTCGTTGCCTTCACCATTCTGGTGTTCGTCATTAGCATCTCTCTCACTATCTACCGGTGCTGCAACCCCAACACGACCAATAAGGATGGCAAAGCAGCCGGCGTTGAACAAGCCTGACAGAGCTGATTGGTGACACTGTCATCCTGATCACAGGATGCAAATAAGTCTCACACACAGCCCATTGAAGTTACTGTAGTAAGTGTGCTGCTCATTGTGTTGATGATTTGCGAATGTAGGCAATGTTGATGAAATGTTATTGCTAATGTTTGGGCTTGTAATCAGCAAGGTCAGTATGATGACAAATTGCCAATTGTGCAGAATCAGCAGCGGTGGTCTCCAACTTGTACGTTTAGTGTACTTTTCCGTACATTATACCACATCTGGTCGCCCTAAACTGTAAATGCAGAGTTGAGCTCCCCATGATGTTGTGTGGACACTTGAATTTGGAAAACAATCGTCATGGGGTTGTATGTACATACAATGAGTGTACAGTCCTACTCTTAGCAGGAGAATGGCAAGGTATAAGAACTTATTGCTTCGTAGGGAAATTACACCTGGCACCATCACCTCTCATCTTCCGTGCAGCAGCATCATAGGCTCGGGCTGCCTCTTCAGCCGTGTCAAAGCTCCCGAGCCACAGCCGGCGCTTCGTGGTTGGGTCCCGAGCCTCTGCCGCCCACTTGCCTGAAGGACGCTGGCGCACGCCTCTAAATAGCTGGGACTGTACAGAGGAGGATGAGCTGAGATGTAGGGGGACTGAGTTAAGAACAGTGGATGAAGTGTCAAGGCAGGTTGCAGCTGAGGCTGCTGCGGATGCTACAGCTGCTGCTGCTGCTGGAGCAAGCTGAACTGGAGCCACATGTAACAGATGCTGCTTCGGCTGTTGCTGCTGCTGCTGCTGCTGCTGCTGCAGAAGCTGCTGGTGATAATGCTGGTTGTGCTGGTATTGATGATACTGGTGCTGGCTATGCTGGCCGTAGGAGGTGGGGGGGTAGGGCGCCAGCGCTGATGCAGACATGGGAAATGGAGGAGGAGGGGGAGGAGCGGGAGGATGGGGAGGATGGGGAGCAGGTAGGGGTGTTCCAGTCATAGGGATTGCAGGCGGAGGTGGGAAAGCGGGCGCTACAACCATTGGAGGAGGAGGGGGAGGGGGAGGAGGGGGAGGTGCCATGGCCATTGGTACCATCACCACCATAGGTCGGTACGTGATGCCAGGTGTTGGAGAATGATAGGCTGATGGTGGAGGAGGGTGAGGAAAGGGCATGTGGTGGTGAGGCAGACTGTGAGGGACTGTGTATTGCTGGTGCTGCCGCTGCTGTTGCTGTTGCTGCTGCTGCTGCTGCTGTTGGCGTTGTTGTTGTTGTTGTTGCTGCTGTTGCTGTTGCTGCAGCTGCTGCTGATGCTGCTGGCGCTGCTGCTGCTGCAGTGGGAGCTGAAGCTGGGTTAAGCCGGGCCGTGCAGCAGCCGAGGCAGCTGGAGCAGCGGCGGGGGCAGAGGGAGGGGCGGCCACAAATGCAGGGTCATGAGCAGAGATTGGAGCTGGGGCAGACTCGTTAACAGGGACGGAATCTGACGCCACAGTAGCTGCTGCTGCTGTTGCTGGAGTTGCTTCCACTGGTGCTGCTGCTGCTGCTGCTGCTGCTGGTGCTGCTGCTGGTGCTGCTGCTGCTGGTGGTGGTGGTGCTGCTGCTGCTGCTGGTGCTGCCACTGGTGGTGGCGACACTGGTTTATGCGTTGATGGTGAGGTCACGGCACGAGCAGCTGGAGGTGGTGACATAACCAACGATGCTGAAGCTGTAACCGGTGAAGGTACATCTGCAGGCACAGTAGAGTCTGCAAGTTTTTGTGCAGGGACAGATGGAGATTCCTCATTGGTCGAGACCGTGCTTATAGCGACCAGATCCATGGCGTTGACATGACCGTCATTGGTAGCCGAATCCTTACCATCATCATCTTTTTTCCTTGCAGCATCAGACTCCGGAGCTGAGCTGGCAGGAGCTGAGCTGGCAAGCGCTGAGCTGGCAGGAGCCTCACCCGCAGGCGTTACTTCCATGACATCCACGTCAGCCATCTCACGGGTGCTAGTGGTGGTAGAGCTGCTGGTAGTGCTGCTGGTGCCCTCATCACCAGCAGAAATGTCCTCTTTTTTTTCCTCCTCATCCTCTTCTTTCCGCTCTTCCTCGTTCTCCCCCTCCATCCCTCTCCCCTCCCCTTCCGCCTCTCTCCTCTCCGCCACCACCGCGCCACCAACCACCTCCTCCTCCGCTTCTTCTCCCGCCATTCCCCCCTCTTCCGCCCCCCCTTCCAACTCCCCCTCCGCGTCCCCCCCGACCTCAGCACGCTCCTCCGCATCTCCGCCAGTCACCACCACCCCCGCCACCTCTACCGGCCCGCACAGCTTCCGCCACGCCGCCAGCTTCGTGCGGTACCGCCCCTTGGCGCACGCCGCCACCGCCACCGCCATGCGCGCCAGCTGCTCCTTATCCTCCGGGTCGCGCGGGTCCAGCGGGAAGTTAGTCTTAGCCCAGGGGCCTCTTAATCGCCGCGTCGCGACGTCGTACGCGCGCGCGGCCTCCTCCGCGGAGTCGAAACTCCCTAGCCACAGGCGGCGCCGCGCGAACGGGTCGCGCACCTCCGCCGCCCACCGCCCCCACAGGCGCTGGCGGATCCCGCGGAACCGCCGCCCCAGCTTGCCGATCCCGCGCACTGCGCCGCCGCCAGGGGCGCTGCCGACGGGGGCGCCGCCGCCGGGGGCGCTGCGGACGCCAAGATTCGAGCTGGTTCGACGATTAACGGCGTGATTCTCCTCGGCTGCTGCTGCTGCTGCTGCTGCCGCCGCTCCAGCCATTGATTCAGGTGCTGCTGAGAATTCGAGAACAGCCGCAGCTGTCGCAACCGGCTCGCTCTCCTTCGCTGACACGTCAGCTGCCACCTCAGCGTCACACTCGTCTGCAGCCACGTCAGGCCCGCACGACCGAGTGCAGCCGGCAGAAGCAGGAGTGGACGGGGGAGTTGTGACGCCGGCAAAAGCAGGAGAAGCGGCGGCGTCGGTTGCTGTGGCACCCGTTGCATGGCCCGTGTCGTCCGTTGCTTTTAACGGTCTTCCGAATAGGACAAGCGGCTCGCGTGGAGAGTCGGGTGAGCGGCTCGAGCCGCTTTCGCTGACCACTGAATTCGACTTGAAATGATGCGGCCCGGAAGGTTCCCCACTAAGGGACTCGTTAAGAGGCTCTTCGACAACAAGTGTCTCGTTTCTCCAAAAGTCATAACTTGAACGCGCTTCTTCACCGTGATGACACGTCATCTCCTCCACCCGTCTCCGCTTCGACCAGTCTCCCTCACCCAATAGCGCCAGCGTCACTTGTGGCCGTTCTGCGATCTCGTATCGCTTATTCCCAACTCCTTCGCCTTCTCCTGATTCGCCGGTCAATCTCAGCTGTGGCATCAGCATGCCGCAGCCTCTGTCAGCGCCATAGCCAGCCACGTCAGCGTCGGACCGAAACACGTCATGCTGAGTCACACTCCACTTGGTCCACGCGCCACTGCCTCTGACAGCCACCGGCGGATTCGCCATCCCCATTGGACTGTCCCCGCTCCGCTCTGTCATCGTTATGACGTCATCATTCCCCGATATAGACATCCTCGTCAAGCCTGGGAGTTGCCAGCCGCACTGGGTAACATCGTCGTCGCGAATCGAATCCGACGTGGCCCGTCTTCGCTTCCCGCCCGTAGTAACCCCTATTCCAAGCGTCAGCGCGATAGCCGAGCCGTCACTAGCTGTGATACTGGTAGTAGCGTCTGCCGCCGCGGTCGCGCTCCGAATCGGACGGTCGAGGGACAGCGAGAGAGATAAGGAGAAGCTCGAGCTCGCCTCCGCCGCCGCCGCCGCCCCCGCCGCCGCTGCCGCCGCAGCCTCCGCTGTTGCCTCGGCGGATGCCGCAGCTTCGGAAGCAGAGGCGCCGGGAAGTGGGGACGGGATGCAGAGCAGGCGCAGCTGAGGTGCGGAGGAGGAGGAGGAGAGGGCGGACGGGAGGGGGGAAGGGAGGGTGGACGGCGAGGGAATATTGAGAGACAGAGCGAGGTCTAGAGGCGCTGCTGCTGCTGGTGATGCTGCTGCTGCCGTGATTGGCGCTGCTGGCAGTGACAGGCCGTGAGTTAGCGAGAGGGGGAGGCGGCGGAGAGGGATGGGGCGGAGGACCCTGGCCAGATTTTCAAAACGATGCGGCTCCAAAACCGTCTGCTTGGTGCCGTGCATCGCGCCGTGCATCATGTCTGCAAACTCGTTGCTTCCGTCGTCACGAGCGGTAGTGAAGGCGCCAGCGCCAACGTCTACTATTGGTCGTGCGGTGGCAGCCATGGCAGCATCGAGTCGCAACAGTCGGTGGGTGCACTGATGCTTCTGTAGATCGCTGTCTCTAATAGTACTCCCGTCTGTACGCGTCGGCACGAGGCGTAAGAGCACCACCAGAACTGTTTTGCTTCTTGACTTGCCTTTCAGCAAAGCTTAGTACGCCGTCGTTCGACAGACTCTGTCTTATAGTTCAAGCAGTCACCGTCACGGCTGTAATATCTCCGTGTGCTGACGAACGCGTTCGATCGATGCAGATAACTGACACGATGAGACTTGTAGTAATCGAATATTTCCTCCTAACGAATCGATGATAGGCTATAGGTATTCCGCCCCCGAGAGGCCGCGACTCGGCTGATCAACGCTACTACCTGAGCTCGTTCATCCCACGATCTCGCCTCCAGATGCAGCGAACTATTCTGATCGAAAGGGCGCGCCGTTGGGCGGAATATTCGAGTGTCCGCACGCACAGGGAGGGAAAACAGGTGTCGGCAAAAACTGACCAATGGCGTGCTGCGGCTGTTGCTCTCCCAGTGGCGAGTAATCCGTTGATGAGTGACACAACTAGTCCTAGCGGCTCTTGTTTGGCTGCTCCCTGCGTCACGGAATATCGGATTCAACGAGTCGGTGTGTGTGCATCAGTGCATCAGTCAGTGCATCCCCTGCTCCTCCTCTCGAGAAGTAAATGGGTGGCCGATACTCGGTATTTCCAAGGGATGAGTGATTTTGAGGAAACCTAAGGCCTGCGGTTTCCCTCCTAACGCCGGCCGCGCTTCGCGGCTGGCTTAGCGACTCTGTAGTAGAAGTTGGGGGACCGCTGCTGCTCCTGGTTTACCTTGCCATGGCACCACAGGTCAGGGTTATCGCTGTTGGAAGGTCAGGGTTTCGCGGCGGTGTCGAAAGGGGCGGCGGAGAGCGGACAGAGACGGATGTGCGGGATGCGGCGCTCCTGCTCCCTCGGACGGTGCGTACACTGCAGGGGGACGCCTTGTGAGGCTTTGATGATCAAAGGACGCGAACCTACTAGGTACCCCCGGCCCGGAGGCTTCTTCTGATCCTGCCCAATCAGCGGAAGGTGAGAAGAGGAAAGGACGTTGTGTAGTGGAAGCGCGTCGAAAGAAATTAATTGGAGATTTTGGGTGTGGTAACCTCAGAGGAACATGCGTGTAGGCCGTGCGAGCCGCTCCAGCTCACCGCGGAAAGCGCGGGAAATGGATGGTCGGGCGATGACTCATCGCAAGCGACTGACTCTTTGACCCAACGACCAAGGAACGACGACCTAGGGATTCCGTAGCATCCCGCCTGGCCCCTCCCTGGCTTCTGATCTTAGGGTTGCTGGTTCTGTGCTTGGAGCGCCAACACCAAGCCCGCAGCCGAAAGGCGCTGGCGGAGGAACCGGAAGGGAACGACATCGAGGGGCGCGGATGCTACAGCGACGAGTCACGAGAGAAAGTCGAGGAATGCTTAGAAGAGAGACGCACAGAGGGAAGATGAAGTGGGAGTGGGCAGGTTCTCTGTTTCTTGTCTGTGGTCTCGTGGCTCACGCCGTCAATTTTAGGGATACGCGTGCCCCATTACCATCTGAGCCACTACCAACCAAGATGAAGTTTTCAACCAACCAAGGTGGTTCTGAAAGGTTCATTCGACTGAGGTATTTTTACTCACCAAATGAGCTGTATGGGATGGTGTTTGTGTTTCGGGTCGCGTTCTCCGTACCCATTCCCAAGATGCGCTTCGAGAAGAATGCACCGAATCGAGACGCCTAGGCACGGCTCGGCCTCCAGAACCACATTTTAATTGTGGTCACACGGCGAACCAACCGTGACCCGCCATCGTGACGTGAGCTGGTTGGTCTGCTGGCTGCCCGACATGATGACTCAGCGGGGTTTGGCTGCTGCTGGGGCAAGACAGGCCTGCTCTGGGCTTGGAGTGAAGCCCAGGAAGCCGAGCCTGGTAACACGTGGGTCGCACCTACCACATCGGCAAGGCTGAGCAGCATATGCCACACATGGCGAGTCACAAGGTAGCATATTAGTGGCCGTTGATTGCTACCATGTGTACTCAATCGACGGCCTTCTTCACTAACTTGAACCTTGGCAGCATGTCCAGGAGCAACGTTCTATAACAATCTCGATTGTAGCAATCCGCTTGCAAGCTGTCAACAAGGCACCTAGAACATGCTAACTGCACTATTCTCTTATTCACCTTTTTCAATTTACTCTCGAATGAAGCTCAACCGTTAGGCTGATAATTAGTAGCTTTATACTATGGATATTAAACAGCGACGCATATTGGAGCGAAATTATTGTGCTTTCACATAAACATTTTATCACTGGTCCTCACCAATAATTTACTCACCATGTGCAGGGGAAACACACTCGGGTATTGCGCTACGGGGACAGTTTTGTGGTTTGAGGGCGAGGAGACAAACTAAGAAACGGGGTGGCTTGTAACGAGCGTAGCAGATTGTGAATTCCCAAGGTGACTCGCGCGCAAAACAGGTTCACACCAACAAGCGATTGCTTCACATTCACCTCGAAATTCCCGGCTTTCTGGTCCTGACAGCTAGTATGGCGGCTATACCAGCACATTTGTGCATCCCTGCTCCTGGCACGCTCCTCTCCCATGTTATCCCCCAGTATGTCGAGCAGCACGCGCGTCCTCGCGTCGAAATCGAGAAAATGCGTCAGGGAATCTCGGTAGATGTTACTACGTCAAGGGGCTGCGTAGAGTCCCACTTTCGGCCACTGCCACGTCAGCAGCGGTCAATGGTTCTGCGCAGTTGAGTCGACTCAGCAGCAGTCACTCGCAGCCACGTCGGTGTTCACTCGTGACAACAGTCGCCTCTCGCGCCTCTCGCGGCTCCAGTGTCGCGCCTGTCGTGCCTGTCACTCTCGTGAGTGACAGTCCAATCGGTCGGTCCGACAAGTTGCACGCTGACTGGACGTCAAGTCGCTGCACCCCTGACCGTCAATCCCCTTGAGGAACCTTCGAAACATCTGCGAACGTGGCGTGGCAGGTCGAATCGCGGGCAGGCTTCTCCCAAGGTGCGCTGCGGAGACAACACAGGCTCAGGCTTCTTTCGCCGAGTACTTAAGGCGAGCGTGCGACAGCGACTGCGCATCAGACGCTGAGGCTGAGTCAACTCAAAAACCATACTCAGACCTAGACCGAGCAGCATTCTCTACCTTGGCGTCTGTGCGTCAGTTGGGGAGCAAGCCATTTCTCGCCGAGTGCGGGGTTTGACTCGTCCGCTATACAGAAACTCCCCGCCGAAGTCAACCTCCGTTTACCCATCAACGGGTTTCGCGTGTCCGCCTTGGGTGGGTGGAAACCATGTCGCCGTCGCCGAGCTTCGATCCCTCCCTATTCCATGCAGCTTGTGATGCGCCGCGAAAATCGTCCCATGCCGCTGCTCCTGCTGGGGCGCCAGCCTCACTGATTCGCCTCACGGTCGTTGCTGCGGCCCTCCTCCTCCTCCACTTCACTGCTGCTGGTGAGTCTGTTCTTGAGCTGAGTTCGTCTCTTTTCATCTCCTCCTCTTCGTCGTCTTTCTTCCTTGCTCCCCCCACCCACCATCCGTTCCCCACTCCTTGTGCTCCGGTTTCCTTCTCCCTCTTGATCACCCCTTTCTGGCATTCCAGAAAATGCGGATGCACGTTTCCCCTTCGCTAACAAACTTTTCTGCACCCGTCTCCCCTTCCCTTCCATGTCATCCCCTGCCACCCCTTGTCATCCATCCCTTGCTACACCTTGTTACCCCTTGTCATCCCATTCTCACCTTCTTTCTTTGCAGAGGCACAGCCAACGCCCGGTCAGCAGCCGTCCCCAATCCGCCCACCTCTCTCCTCCTCCCCTCCCTTTTCCTCCTCCCTCTCCTCCCCTCCCTCTTCCTCCTCCCTCTCCTCCCCTCCCTCTTCCTCCTCCCTCTCCTCCCCTCCCTCTTCCTCCTCCCTCTCCTCCCCTCCCTTTTTCTCCTCCATCTCGTCCCCTCCGTCCTCCTCCTCTCCCTCCTCCTCCCCTCCCTCCCCCTCCACCTTCTCACCGTTCCAGCCTCTCCTCCTTGGCGGCCTTCAAGCCAACCTCACCCCCATCCTCCTCCCCGCCTCCACTTCCCCAACTCCCACCACACCCACCTCCACCGCTCTCAATCCCACAACAACTACTCTCACTCCTGGCTCCATTGCCGCTGGTGCTACCCCTGGTAGTCTCAGTGGTGCATCGACGCTGCCAAGTGGCGGCGCATCAGTGGTCACACTGCTTGTAAATGCGGCCAATGGGACGCTCGCATTCGCCCTCCCCTGGGCGCAGGGGGCAGGGGAGAACGTGCAGGCGGGGATATACACTGTCGGCGATATGCTCAATGGTGAGTAGCTGTGGGTGCAGTGCGGTGCTGTGAGTTGTTGTGCAGTTTAAACGGGTGGAGAGAGCAGGCGGGGATATACACCATCGGAAACGACGCCGTCTCTTCCCATCCACTCCCTCCATACATCCTCCCATTCATCCATCCACTCTTTTGCATACGCCAGCACAAATACGCGCTCACTCACAAATACGAGCTCACTCACCTAACACCCCCCCTTCCTCCCCCCTCCCGACCACCTCTAATTTCCCCTTCGTTTCCTGCTCCTCCCCACACACCATCATCCCCTCGTCTCGTCCTCCGCCTCACGGGCATCACTGCCAACTCCTCATCACTGCAAACATGTGTACAAGCACAAACTCATCTACTTACACCCTCCCTTTCCCCGCTTCTTTGCCCACCACCCCCACACAGCGTCGTCCCCTCGTCTCGTCCTTCCACTCATGGGCATCACTGCCAACTCTACCCCTCCTGCTGCTGCCTCTGCCACACGTGCCACGTCAGCATCCTCCTCGTCCTCTCCCCTTGATCCCTTAACTGCAGCAGCAGCAGGTGTGGCTGGTGTATTGGGGGGGCTAGGAACATCTGCTGCAGGTGTAACGGCAGGCCCGGGTGTAACAACAGAACCAGGTGTTTCTTCAGGTGCCACAGCAGGACCCCAAGTCACTGCAGGGGCAACAGGAGCAGCCAGGGCAACAGGGGCAGGGGAAGGCTTGGGAGCAACTGCAGCAAGCACAGCACCAGGGACACAAGCACCACGCAGGGGTTTGTCTGGATCCGTGTCAAATCCTGTAGCTGCAGCAGCAGGGGCAGCACAGGGGGCAGTGGGTGGAGCGGTGGGGGCAGTACAGGGCGTGGTGCGGAGGGGTTCGGGGTGGTTATGGGGAGCTGTGCCGGTGCCAGGAGCAGCGCTGGTGAATATCCTGAGGGATCCGGGCCAGTATCAGCTGCGTCTTTCCGTTGGGAATGGTGCAGATGTGGCGTCCTTTGCTGGTCGTCTCGTGGTGAGTGTAACTACCGCTACAATGCACAATGCGGGTCTTTGAAAACAGGTACAGAAGCGTTGGTGAAACATTGCTAGAATGCGAAATCCGAGTGTTAGGAAGAGCATACAGCAGCAGCGCTGGTGAATACACTGAGGAATCCAGGGCAGTACCAGCTGCGGCTGTCTGTTGAGACGTCTCAAGAATCCGGGCCAGTACCAGCTGTGGCGGCTGTCTGTTGGAAGCGGTGCCGATGCGTGCTGATGCGGTGCCGGTGCAGTGTCCTTTGCTGGTCGTCTCGTGGTGAGTGTACTCATTGCTAGAATGCCAGTCCGAGTGTAAGGAAAATGATGCAGAAGCAGCAGCGTTGGTGAATATCCTGAGGGATCCGAGTCAGTACCAGCTGCGGCTATCCATTGGGAATGGTGCTGACGTATCCTCTTTCGCTGGTCGTCTCGTGGTAAGTGAAAAAAATACTTATCTCTTTCGAGAAATCCCTCTGTATTCAGCCACTTTCTTGTTTCCAGGTGCCTCAAAGCTGTTTATTCTGCGAAACTTCTTTTGTCAACACCTTGCTCTTCCAAAATGCTCTCTTTCAATTCTCCCATTCCCTTCCCTCCTCTTTCTCTCCCCCACCTCTCCCCTCCCCCCCTCTTTCTCATCTTGTCCTCCTTCCCTAGTCCGTACCTATCGATCTGGCTCGAAGCATCCCCTTCCTTGGATCGCTGATTCCTGAACCTCCTCGGTTTCCTTCCCAGCCCAGTCTTGGTAAGGGCATATTGTTTGTTTTGCGCTGTGGGTTCATTTCTGTGTTTGCTGTATCATCTATCCTTATCAGTCTTCCCTCTTTTGTTTTCTTCTTTTTTTCTACCCCTCCTTTTTCATGCATCCCCAATCTTACTGGTAATCCTTTTTCCCTTCCACCAATCCCCACTCTGCCTGACCCAGGCATCCCCAACCCCCAGTCCCTTTTCTCAGGCATCCCTGACCCCCAGTCCCTCCTCTCACTTGCGACTGCCATTCGTGAAAGCATCGCATCACTCCCACAAGCTGCTTGTAAGTTAGGTGTGCCTTAACCTTTTGGTTTCTTTTTTTACGTAACATATCTTCTACTTACACTATTATGATTGGTACTGTGCAGTGGGATCAGTGAACGTTCCATGGCTCTCCGGCTTTGCCGATGCTCTCGTTGAAGCCGCAGGGAGCAATCCTGTGACCAGTTTTCTTCCTTGAGTGTGATAATTTTGATGTTCATGTCTTATACAATTAGCACCTGGCTGTGGGTGTCGCATGTACAGTCATTATATTGAAATATTTGTAGTATCACACCTTCGCGAGCTATGTTTTGTAACCCCACTTCAAACTTCGTACACGACTACCTACCAACTGCCTACCTGTGAGGTAATGCCTGTCACACGTGGTAAATTTCACCGACCATATGACTATGGTGTGATTGGTTGTGAGATTCCACGGGATACAGAAAGATGAGGTTCGGAACGAAAGCTTCGAGGTGATAAGAACCACGTGTCCATACCTGAAATGCTGGGACCTTTGGTTCCTCAGGAGGTTGTTTTCACCCACTTCCTCCACTCATTGCGACTGCTTATCACTTCCCCAATAAGGTGTGGTGCAGATGTCCGCAACTGTTGACTTTTCGACCTTTCGGAAGTCGTGCCATGTGGGCTGCGGCGCAATCGAAAACAAGCCCCACAGCCGCCACACGTTGGAAGTGGTTCACAACTCACCAGCACCGAGCCTAAGGTGTACCAATCATGTGCCGTATTACTAAAATTTGCAACCAATACGAGAGTCCGTTGAGGTAGATATCGAGTCAGCGCATCCATTGACGTGTTGCGGATCTTTTTTGCCTCCGTTGCCCTTCTCAGTCGCGCTGTGCTTCTTTCTTTGTCGCATCTGGCTGCGAGTGTCGTGTGGTCTCCACTTTTTTGTTTCCGCCAGCGAGCTTCGTTCGTTGCACTGATGACGGCCACTGCTTTCGGTTCAGAGAGCTCACCCTCCTTTAGCCACGCAGTGATCACCGCGCAGCGCAATGTTGTCACTGTCCGCGTCTCGAAAGCGCCTATCGATTGGTCAATTTCTCATAGGGCAGCATCATGGGCAACTGAAAGGAAGAAATGAGGGGCAAGAACACATGGCTCAAAGGCTGAGACACTAGGCAGGAAAGCTGGTAAGGTTCGTAGAGTATACTTATTGGTACAATACGGTTCGAATGAATCAACACGTTGACAGTGCGATACTACGGCGTATCGACTTCAAGAAGCCATTCCACCATCCTACCTCCCTCCCACGCACGCACTTCTCCCTTGAGCAGCCCACACTTCATGAGAGGAGAGGATGTGCTTGCTGTTACATATCCAGCACTGACCACCACAAGATTCAGAGACAGCTGTCCGTCTTCTTTGAGGATTTTTTGTGTAGTCACTTTCTGTCACTTAGCTTGTGGGTGAAGCGGAGTGAAATTTCTGTCCTGCGTGCGGCCGTACGCGGAGTATATTCAGCTGAAAACCAGCTTGAAAATCATCTTTCTTGATTTAACAACTATGGCTTCTCCTCCACCAGTACCGCACCTCGCAACCGTCGCAACAACCGACAGTGGCAGCGCACTCAACTCCCGAGCAAACGCGTCGACCTTGGGAATACCGGCAGGATCCCCTTCGACGACAACCTCTTTCTCTCCGCTCACTTTCGTCGCGGCCGTTGCTGCATGCATCCTCGTCACCGCCGTCATCTCGCTACTCGTTTACCTCATGCGACGGATGAAATGCCATGAACCAATCGGCGGCGACCTTCCGAGTCCACAGCGGCCGCATCGCGTGTGGGTTCGCATCGGCGGTGGTAACAGCAACTCGACGAAATCTGTCGGTCTCGACGCGTCGCTGATTCGCTCTTTCCCAGTGATGATTTTCAGCTCGGAAAAAGCCGAGCTTTCCGCGGCGGGACTCACAGAAAAGCTCGTGTCGCGAAAATCGCAAGATCAACACGCCGACCAGGCAACGAAAAGTGGGAATTCTACCGATCACGGCGTGACTGTAGCGTCTCAGCTCAAAGCTCCTGATGCCGCCTCAGAATTCTCCAGACTGGCTGCTGAGGCCGACAAATGTGCCGCCAATTCCGCCGCCAATCCCGCTCCTGATCACGTGGTTGTTACCCTAGACGAGGAAAACGCGTGTTTACGCGAGTGCGCGGTTTGCTTGGGTGACTATGACGAAGGGGAACGGATAAAGCTGCTTCCGCCGTGCGGCCACCGCTTTCACGCGGACTGTATTGATCTGTGGCTGTCGTCGAAAAGCACGTGCCCGATCTGTCGCAAAGACCTTCGTCCGGCTGCGGTAACGGCCGGCGAAACGTGCGAAAAGGGTTCACGAACCCCGCGAAGAGTGAGCGAATCTGCCGAGTCTGGAGAGCGAATCGTCACGATCGTCGTGCGCGAAGAGAGCGGGGTTGTTCCTGACGGTGATAACGATAGGTCGCCGGCTCAATTAGAAGCTGTGATTTTGCGAAGAGACGGCGACATTGGCGTTGAAGTAACTGCGGTCGTGGCAGCTGTCGCATAGCCTATGCTGAGTATCTGCCAGTTCGGGTCGGGGTTCGTGGTTACTAGTGGTAGTTTTTTTAGAACGTTCGTCCTCGAGCTTCGCGCTCTGGCTGTCGACCACTGATAGTCTAGTCAGACGTTTTTTCGGCGCGTAAGAAGTCTCGAAGCGCGTGGAGCCCAGGAATAAGTGCTGCATGGTAGTGCAGTAGTACGTTCTCTCTCAGCTTCAACGCTCGTTGGTAGGTAGTACTCTCAGATTGAAGGAGAGCTGAATTTGGCTCTGCGCTCATGGGTTGATGGCATGACCTCGGGGGGTGTGTTGTGTTTCAACAATTTTCCCCACCACCCCCCACAATTTTGACTCGCGTGTTTGTACATGTATGGCATTAATGATATCAAGATTGTGTTATCTCATCCATGTGTGGGCTGGGTTTGGAGGGACACATGGTGGGCGGGACGAGGTGGGCAAGCGTGAGCATGGATAAGTGAGTATTTACGGATGTGATGGTTGTGATGTGGTGGGACATGGACGGAGAGGGGAGTGAGGGATGCAAGCAGGGGAGGACATAAAGATGATAACCATGAAAGGAGGGACGCAAGCACAGAGAAAAGGGGGGCTGTGCTGTGCAGTGGCGCACTGGGCCTTGAGTTGGAGCTCCAAAGGGGAACATGGTGTAATAGAGTTCAAAAGTTGCTTAGTCTGCACGATTATTGTTGCAGCCAAAAAGGCGCTTACATACCATGCGTCGTCCTCCGGAAGCTTCCATTTACTCAAGTCACAGCACACAGTACAACTATTGGATGGCGGTTTGCTACACAATTGCAGCGTTCTAAGTTGAGGTTACTTTCTTGCAGGTATTGCATGTTGACTTGACAGATACGGTACCGGTAGCTACAGACTAGGGGATGGGGGAATGTACTTTGCAGCCATGCACACACCCATGCCATCAGAAGCTTCACTACTGGTATGGTATATCCGTCTCCAGATTCTTACAATATCAGAAGAGATGAATGAGAACCTGTTTTCAGCAGCATTTGCAAGCAAAATACACCATGGGCATCCCAGTCAGAGCCCCATCAAAGAGCAGAGGACCTTCAACCCAAAGCAGCAACGCCAGTGCCCAGACCAGGCAGGCCCTGCCTGTGCCTGCAATAGCCGCTGTGGCAATTATGACCATAGACCAGCCTAAGCAGTGACGTTGGTACTGCTGCACCCTCATCCAAATTCACTGCTCTCTGCACGCTCACAAGCAGCAGCAACAGCAGCAGCAGCAGCAGCTACGTTACCCACTAGCCTGCAACCCCATGCATCTCTCTGCATGCGAAAATCTCCTCACTGCCCATTGTACCGTCAACAGCATCTGCCCATCCAGCAGCAGCAACTCACATCCCAGTAACAGACCCCTACAAGCAACAGACAGCCTATGCAGCAGCCTGTGACTTCTGAGGCACCTCGAAGAAGAAAATGCAGGTAGAGAGACGAGTTTTGAGGCGCCTCAAAAGTCTCCTCATTGCGCACTATACCGTCAACAGCAGCTGCACGCCCAGCAGCAACAACGCACATACCAGTAACAGTTTCCTGCAAGCAACAGCCTATGCAGCAGCAGCAACAGCCCCTGTGCTTCAATGCAGCTTCTTCAACCTCTCTTCATGGAAATACATCCGCACCACTCTCCGCACCTTCAAAAACACCTTATCCCCTCCATATGTGAAGCAATACACTAACCAGTAGCTATTGCTGCTGTGCTCCCATGCAGCTTCTTCAAGCTCTCTTCATGCAGAAACCTCCGCACCGCTCTCTGCACCTTCAGAAGCACCTTATCCAGCTCCTCCATATTCACCGCCGTCACCGAATGATCTCTCGCACACAGAAAACACCCCCTCACGTTCCGACACTCCTTCTCCTCCAGATTCTCCCACCCGCCCTTAGCTAAGCAATCGTCGGTGTAGGAGGAAGCTTCCGGGTGGGTGTTCTCCCACATGAAGTAGTTGATTCCGTTGCGCAGGGCGAGGTTCTTGTATGCATCGGAGTGGAACTTGAAAGGGAAGAGCTCGAGCACGGTGCTGCCTGGGGGGAGGAAGATGAGGTTGCTGAGGGAGGCGCCATGCATGCTGATGAACAGCGCCGTGTGCTGCGGATAGTGGAAGGTGGGAGGGGGAAAAAGGGAAGGGGAGGCGGGAGGGGGGAGTGGGGAGGGGGTAAATCGAAAGTCAAGGGCAGGAAGGAAAGCTTCTGGGTGTGTGCTTTGCCTTTTGAGTCGACTCAAAAGTGTTCTCCCACATAAAGTAGTTGATTCGGTTGCGCAGGCCGAGGTTCTTGTATGCATCGAAGTGGAACTTGAGAGGGAAGAGCTCGAGCACGGTGCTGCCTGGCGGGAGGAAGATGAGGTTGCTGAGGGAGGCGCCGTGCATGCTGATGAACAGCGCCGTGTGCTGTGAGAGGGGAAGGGGCAGGGGGAAGGAGGGGAGAAGAAAAGGGGGAGGGTGGAAGTTGGAAGGGAAGGGCAGGATATGAGTCAGGGAGGCGCCATGCATGCTGATGACAGCGCTGTGTGCTGTGAGAGGGGAAGGGGCAGGGCGTGAGAGATGGAGGGAGAAGTGGGGGGTGTGATGGGATGGGTTGAGGTACGCCAAAGATGTGGTTGCTGAGGGAGGCGCCGTGCATTTTGATAAACAGTGCCGTGCATTTTGGTAAACAGTGCCGTGCATTTTGATAAACAGTGCCGTGCATTTTGATAAACAGTGCCGTGCATTTTGATAAAAAGTGCCGTGCATTTTGATAAACAGTGCCGTGCATGCTGATAAACAGTGCCGTGCATTTTGATAAACAGTGCCGTGCATTTTGATAAACAGTGCCGTGCATGCTGATAAACAGTGCCTTGCATGCTGATAAACAGTGCTGTGTGCTGCAGGGGGGGGGGGGGTGAGGGGTTGTGGACGAACGGGGGAGGGGGGAGAGGGAAAGGGGGAGGGCGGTGGGGGGGGGGGGGGGAGTTAGGTGGGAAGGACAGGAAGGAAGCTTCTGGGTGCGTGTTTTCCCACATGAAGTAGTTGATTCCGTTGCGCAAGGCGAGGTTCCACCAGAAGATTTCACCTGAAACGGCACCTGAGAACCCACCTGAAACAGTGCCATCTGCTCAAGCAGGGGCGAGTCGGCAAGGTGGTGGTACTGGATGGTGACGTGGCGGGGAAAGAGGTCCTTCACATGCCACGCCACCTCCCCCATGTTGCACACTGTGCGCTGCTCCTCCCTCTTCACTACCATCAACCCCACCTTCCCCGTCTGAAACAGTGACTCGCAGTGACCCTCCTACCTGAAACAGCACCTGATATCGCAGCAGGATCGCACCTGAAAGAGCAGAAACCCTGGAAAAAAACACCTGAAAACTCACCTGATACGGCACCTGAGAACCCACCTGAAACAGAGCCATCTGCTCGAGCAACACTGTGCGCTGCTCCTCCCTCTCCACCACCGTCACCTCTTTTTGCCCACATGAAACAGTGACCTTCCTACCTGAACCCGCACCTGATACAGAAGCAGAAAACCCCCTGAAGGAGCAATCCAACTGGAAAAAAAAAAACCTGATACAGCACCTGAAGACCACCTGACAAAGCAGAGCACCTGAGAACCCACCTGAAACAGTGCCATCTGCTCGAGCAGTGGTGAGTCAGCAAGGTGGTACTGGTTGGTGACGTGGCGGGGAAAGAGGTCCTTCACATGCCACGCCACCTCCCCCATGTTGCTCACTGTGCGCTGCTCCTCCCTCTCCACCACCGTCACTTCCAGCTTTCTCTCAAAGTCGTGCCCCCTTAAAGCCGCGTTCAAAACCTCGTCTCCCTGCCGTATCACCACACGTGCGAGTGCGTGCGTTCTCTCTCGCTGAATCGCCTCCTCCCGAAACCTCTTCTCACTCTCCTCTCGGCTCTCCTTGGTTTTACTCGCCGAACCGGCTTCGTCTCTCCTCCTCTGCTTCTCCTGCTCCTCCTCCCCCATCTCCATCTCCTCCTCAACCTCGAAATCCCCGTTCCCATCCCCTGTCACCCCGTTCTCCTCCCTCCGCTGAAACACCTTAGCAGCCACCTCTGCCAGACCCCAAGCGTCCTCCTTAAACCCCTGTGTGGACGAGTTTAAATGCCGAGCATTCAGCACAAACGCCACCTGATCAAAGCACACAGGCCGCCCCTCCCTGTGCCCGGCTAAAACCTCCGAAGCTGGCCCAAAAAGCATCTGAGCGATTCCAGCCGTCCATTTGCTCCTGATCGTCTTCTCACTAGGGAAGAACAGCGAGAGCTCCGCTCCCTCCTTCTCCCTCCTCCTCCACCGCTGCCGCCTCCTAGACCTCTCCTTCTCACTCCACTTCTCCCCCAATGCCCTAGGCCCTCCCACCTTGGCATCCCCCCACTCAGCCTCCTCGTCCTCCCCCAATGGCCCCTCCCTTGGAAAATGCCGGGACACTTCCCACATGGCGACAGCTGATTCGCCGAAATGCCCGATGTGCGTGTCGTACCTCCCGACTATCCCCACCCGCCGCCGAAAATCGTTCGGGTTGTTCTTCCGCAGCTTTTTCCGGGCAGTCGAGCTGCTCTCCGAGATGAACTGCCCGAGCGCGGGGTGCCCCAAAAATCTCCCGTACGTTTTATTCTGCCGGAGCTTCAGGATTGGGAGATCGTGGGAATCGGAGAAAAGGGGAGTGGTATCAAGGTCTTTCCCAGGCTTGAAAACAGAGCACATGCTCTTGCCTAGATCTAGCTTAGACAGGTCCCGGTAGTGGCCTGTATTCATGAACCCTCCGGCTCCTGCCTTCCCCTCTTTGAGCCCAGCAAAACGGCTGAACCAGCCACCTCCGCTGCTTCTTCCTTCTCCTGCTGCTCTTCCTAGCAGCCTCCTCCTCCTCTGCCTGCTTGCACCGTGATCTAAACCCTCACTCAGAAACTCGCTTGCATGCACTTCTCCCTGCCCCGCTTCCCCTTCCTCCCCCTCTTCCCCTCCCTCCCCCTCTCCCCCAACCTTCTGCTCACTCTGCCGTTCCTGCTCCTCCTGCTCCTCAGGCGAATATGGCCCCACTAGCTCTGACCCTCCGCCACTACTTAATAGCCTCCTTCTGCTGCTTCCCTTGGTCGCTCCCCTTGGCTTCTTCCAGTCAGGCGAGTATGGCCCCACTAACTCCGAGCTATTCTCACTCATAGCCTCCCTCACAAACCACACACCTGTGTACGCGTTATGGTATGCCCCTTTACCCGCCATAAACAGGTAGCACAGGTCCTGCACCAGTAACACGCATGAGTAGTCGTGCTTCTGCTGTAACAGGTACGCGCCGTGCACGCGCGGTAAAGGGGTTACGTGCCACTTGGCGCTCATCCGTTCGTAAAAAGGCTTGGGGGTTCGGGTTTTCGGGCCTGTTTGTTGCTGCTGGGCGGCAACGGTTTGCTGCTCCTGGGCGGCAGTCTTTTCCTTTTGGGCGGCTGCTTCCTTCTGCTTGGTGGCAGCCTCCTTTTGCTGGGCGGCAGCTTGTCTCTGTTGGGCAGCAGCTTCCTGGGCGGCTGCTTCCTTCTGCTGGGCGGCAGCTTGTCTCTGTTGGGCGGCAGCCTTTTGCTGCTGGGCGGCAGCTTCTCGGGCGGCAGCTTGTCTCTGTTGGGCGGCAGCCTTTTGCTGCTGGGCGGCAGATTCTTGGGCGGCTGCTTCCTTCTGCCGGGCGGCTGCTTCCCTCTGCTGCTGTTGAAGACGAGCCTGTTTCTCTTGGGCGGCAGTCTGTTTGGCTGGAATGATGGTGGGAGGAGGGGAGGAGGAAGGAAAGGGGAGTACCGGAGATGTGGAGAGAAGTTGCACGGGGGGTGGTGAGGGAGGAGAGGGGGGATTCTGGTCCTGGTGGTCGATGGTAGGATGGGAAGGTGAAGAGGTGTGGGAAGCGGCGGATGCAGTATCATCACTGTCACTGCTGCTGTCGCTGTTGCTCCTCCTGTTATCACTGCTGTCTACCCCGGTGCTGCTCCTGCTGCTGCTCGTGCTTCTGTCACCAGTGCTGCTACTGCCAGACTCACCACTGCTTGAAGTTTCTTGCTCTTGACCAGCCTCAACAGAACGAGAATCAGAACCAGCACCAGCATCAGCAGCACCATCAGCAGCAGCATTAGCATCAGCAGCACCAGCACCAGCAGCACCATCGGTATCACCACCAGCACCAGCATTCTCTGCAGAGCCAGCGGCAGCAGCATCACCTGTGCTGATCCTGGCGGTAGAAGCAGGGGTGCTGGTAGCTACTGTGGGTGTGCTTGTAGTGCTTGTGGGAGTGACAGTAACGGGTGATGGTGTGACAGTAACTGTAGTTGGGATGTTACTATCAGTGTTCCTGGGAGTCCTATTGGCAGTGGAAGCAGGTTGAGTGATTGTTTTGGGGGTGCTGCTGGTGGCTGCAGCAGAAGCAGCGTTCCCCTTGCTTGTCCGAACTGTGGGGGTGTCAACAGGTGTGCTAACAGTAGGTGTGGTAACAGCGGGCGTGGTAACAGCAGCTGAAGGAACAGTACGTGTGGCAACAGTACGTGTGGTAACAGCAGGTGAGGGAAGAACGGCTTTTGTAACAACAGGCCTCGGTGTGGTGACGGCTCGGTTTGAGTGAAATGGGGAGGGGGTGACACGAGAGTGGGAGGAGACACTAGAAGGGTTGGGGGAGACACGAGAGCGGGAGGAAGCAACACGACCGGAGCTTGATTTACGGCCAGTGGTAGAGAGGTGTGCAGCGGCAGCATCGAGATGAGCAAAGAAGCTGAACCGCGAGTCAGATGACACGGAAGATGAAACCTCCGGCGTTTCATCTGGAGTTTCATCTGATGACGAGGAGGAGCGAGAGAAGGAAGACCCGGACCCTGATGAGCTACTAGATCTGCCTTTCAACGCGTGGCGTGCCTCTCCTGCTGCGCCTCTTGCTCCTCTCACACCTTCTCTGGCCTTAGCATTGCCCATTCTCCCTCCCTCTCCTCCCTCTCTTCCCTCTGCTCCGCCCCTCCTTCCTTTTCCCACATTCCCTCCTTTCCCTAACCTCCCCTGCTTTCCTTCACTCCCTTGCTTGCCCCCTCTCCCCGCCTGCCCTCCCCTCCCTCGTGCTTGAGACGAGGAGGAGGAGGAGGAGGAGGAGGAGGAGGAGGAGGAGGAGGAGGAGGAGGAGGAGGAGGAGGAGGAGGAGGAGGAGGAGGAGGAGGAGGAGGAGGAGAGGGAGGGCAATTCTATGTCCACGACAGACCCGTCGTCCACGTCAGCTTCTATGTCCAGGTCATTGTCCACATCAGCGTCGTCCGAGAGGAACTGGGCCTTGCGTGACGACAGCTGGCGGGTGGAATGGCTGACGAGAGCGAATACAGGGGAGGGGTTTTGAAAGGGAGAGGAGGAGAGGAGGAGAGGGGGAGAGGGTGGGGGAATATAGGGGGGGCGGGAGTGGGTTTGAGATTCCCTATTGGTCCAAAGAGTGGTAAGTCACAAATGAGAAGTTAATCTCACTCTACATGTCAGAAAAAAGTTTAAATTCACACGAGATGAATCATCAACCCACGTAACGTGTGATAAGTCACCAGCTCACATGTGATAAGTCATCAACTCGCATGTCACATGTGATCAGTCAACTCACATGTCATAATTCTTCAGCTGCGCATCAGCTTCGGTCACATGCAAGTGGCAGTTACCCCCGGGGCACGACCTCGCACCGTTGATAATCAGCTCCAGTAGAATCACAGACAGAATCCCATTCACTAAAGTCACACCCCCCACCAGCAGCATACACCGTCGGTACCGCCCTAATTTCCCACTGAATCCGCGCATCCAAGTCTCCGACCCTCCTCCGCCTCCGCCGCCGCCTCCCCCTCCTCGTCCCCCTCCCCAGGGCGCAAGCGGGCTACCGGATCTGGCCCGCGGGAAGGGGAAACTCCCCTTTCCCCCGCCGCTCTTCGAGGCATTCTGTTGCGCGTTCTTAGCCGCGCGGGATTTGGCAGGAGCTGAGTCGTCGAGAACGTAGCTATTCGGCTCGGGGGGTTGCAGGAACCACAGAGTGCCGCCTCGATTGACAGTGGTGCTGCTACTGCTGCTGCTGCTTTCCATGTTGACGTGTGCTTGATGTTACTATGTTGTCGCGAACGTCATCTCCACTACAGAAAGCGGGAACTTACTGCGTGTGGTAAGTGGAGCGCCAGAGATTGCCGCGAACACTTAGGGTTTGAGGAGGTGAATTCCCAAGACAATCTAGGAGTGTTTTGATAAGTTACAGCCCAACGCTTCGCTGCGCAAGAAATTGTCGTGTTGACACTCGGTAAATCGCACTGTGAATGAACAGAGCTCCCTATGGCGACCTCATAAGCAGATGCTTGCCAGACAGCTAATCCTTACACCCCTGGATGCTTGCCTTATTGCATCGCAACGGCAGCTCATGTTGTCGGCCAGGAGTCGCCTAACTAGCGGCGACAAGGAATACATCTGATTCGAACGACCTGTTTGAGAACTTAGTGGTGCTTCTCAGGTCCTATTGTGCGACTATGGAGGCTTCGAATATTGGCGGGACAGAACAGGAGTAGTTTCATAGGCTGGCAGAATAGCCTCCCAACCTAGGCCTTTCCTCTTGTCTAGTAACTTGCACGACGGAACTGGTTGCTCGTCAATGGAACTTCGTCGTCAGCCATTGCTCCTACTGATTCCTACCTTGGTGATAGTGATGAATCGGTGATGGTGGTGGGTCGATCGCTCGCTATTCTCAAGCTGTTTTGTTGGTTGGTGGTGCTGCCGTTTCTTGGGAATGCCGGGGTGGAGTTTGATGCCATCGGTCGGTGGCAGAATCCGACTGGAACTTCGCCCCACGAGTTTCGTTCACAAGAAATTGTTACAGCTATGCAACTTGATCTGAACAAAGTACTGGTCCTCAGCAAGTTCTGAATTTACGATTTTACTTAATGGCCTTTACCAGCTCTGAATGATTAGGGTTATATAATTTCAAGTTATTTTTTCACATACGTTTTTTTTCATGGAATAAATAAGCTTGTCCTTTTTGGTGAGCTAAGTATTATATTCAATAATAGCATTTGATTTTACTGTAAGTCTGTATAACAAACTAGTACAGCTCCAATCGCTTACACGAGTGTGCAATAGAGTGTTTGTTGAGTGTCTAGCATTGCCTCGTTGGCGCTGTCATTTCTCAGCACGTGGACGAGTCCGAGATTCTCGATCTGCTGCTGTGGCAGTCCCAACCTCACCTTCTCCAATCGTGCTGCCCTCCTCGATCCCCACGCCCAGTCAAACTCCATCAAGTTCCCCAAATCTCTGGCCGCTGACTCAGCTCCAGCATTTATGAATGTCCCCAGAACCGTGCTGCCTGAATTTTCTGCAGCTGGACATTCCTACAGATTCAGGGAACCTGCTTCTAGATTCCTGATTCCTATAACTGGCCCACATTCCCTCCATTTCGCGTATTGAAATAGAATTCCAGCGTTAGTACGAGGATCCTGGGCTAATTCCCCTGCCGTCCCCCCCGGCTTCTCCTCCTTCACTCGCTGCAGTCGGTAGTTCCAATGGCTTCGCTCGCCATGTCGTCTGTTTCCACGGTTCGTCTTCCTCTGCTTCCTTCGATTTCCGTTCTCTATATTCGTGAAATTAATTTGCCTACTCGTCAAACGTCTTGGCTCGATTTCCCGGTCAGTGCAGAGCTCACAGTCTCTCCCTCATTTTCCTCACTTCACCTCCCCCGCTTTCCCGCCCCCCTTTCCCCCGAACCCCACCTCCTCCCCGTTCGTATCTACGTTCGCCATCTAATCCCTCCCCTCTTCCCCCATTCGCCCGCTTTCCCACCCTCATCAGGCTGCGCTTCTCTCTTCCGCGGAGTCGTCTTCCTTCGTGCAGGGCAAGGCCCTTGCTGGTAAGCTCATAACGGGGATGGGGTGGGTTGCTCAAATGCGAAGATGCGTGCGTGAGGATGATGAAGATTCTTAATCTGCTGCAAGAACACCAGTCAGAGTGGATGGAATGAGCTGGTTGATGGTTCACGCATCGCTTCTCTGCTCGCACTCGCAACCTTTCAGGCATTTTATTTTTTTTTCGGTACCGCACGTTCTTGACCTGTCACACCATGGGTCTGCATGTCAATACTCGTCAATGCCCTCGCACGTCATTCTCATCCCATGTGTTTGTATACGTCCCTTCGCGTGCCATCCCGTGCCACACCATACCATCTGCACACAGGCACTGCCAAGACTGCAGCACTCAAGTCCTTCCAGGTACCGCTTCAGAAAGAGCTCCGCAAGAATCATTTCCAAATTAACTATACTTCGAACTGCGAAAGTGGCCATACGATATTTAGCTATCGATGAACCCCATAAGCCTTGACGCGAAGGCGAAGCACGTTGCGCGAAAGTGGCCATATGCATTGTTAAAGGAGCTTCTCTCTTCTCCCGCCCTGTCGCTTCACTACCGCAACTCTCTCCTTCCCTGCCGCACGCTTCTGTTCCCTGGCTTTCCGCCCCCGTACCCCTCTATATCCCTGTGTACACCGCAACATCCCGCTACATCCCTCTGCATCCCTCTCCGTCGTTTTACTTCTCGCAGCGTGCAGCAGTTCGCTGCCAGGCGTCCTCCTCCGACGCGTCGTCCTCCTCCGACTCCTCCTCTGCTCCCGTCATCCCCCGGCGCCAAGCGATGCTCACTGCACTCACCGCTGCCTCCGTGAGTACATTCTCGCCGCACGCCGTCTCGTCGTCTGTGCTCGCAGATTTGATTTCTATGCTCGCCGCCTTGTGGTTTATGCTCGCCTTGTGATGTATGCTCTTTAAGTGCTCGATGCGTGCAGCATCCCCTTCCCTCCCCTCCCCTCCCCTCTTCCTCCCCTCCCCTCCCCTCCCCTCCCCTCCCCTCCCCTCCCCTCCCCTCCTCTCCCCTTCCTCCCCTCCTCTCCCTCCCCTCCGCTCCCTCTGCTTATTTCCGCTTGCCACTCTCCCTTCCGCTGCTTCTCTTCGCATTTCTCTTGTCTATCGTCATTACCCTCCTTTCGTCACTACCCCCTTACCTTCACCCCCGCTCTGGAGGGAAACGGCCTCTAACGATCGCCTGGTGTCCCTTCCATTGCCCGCCCTACCCTCCCTCCTTTCCGCCTCTCATTCCAGAGCCCGCTGTGGGTGCCTCTGCTGACGTCCTCGGACCCCGCTCTTGCAGCCAACATCGTGCAGCGCGGCCAGCGAGCAGCGTACCTGAGTGAGTGCAGCGAATTAATGCTGTGGGTCACACTGCGTGTGAGCAGCCTACCTGAGTGAGGGCTGTAGGCAGGCAGCACGGACTGACTTTTGAGTCGACTCAGTAGTCACCGCGCTTGCAGCCAACATCGTGTAGCGCGGCCAGCGAGCAGCGTACCTGAGTGAGTGCCGCGAATTGGTGCTCTAGGCCGCACGGCCTCACTCGCACGGAGTGTTGCTGTGCTGTGAGCATTGCGTCCGGCGAGCCTTGCACTTGCCGTGGCGCAACCAGCAAATCAATGGTCCAGGCAGCACGGGATTCGTTGTTTAGTTTTTGCAAATGCACAAAAACCAACCGAGCAGAGTACCTGAGTGAAGTCAGCAAGCCTTGCACCTGCCACAGCGCAACCAGCGAACAGCTTTCCTGAGTGAATGCAACGAATCAATGCTGTAGACCCACGGACTGAACTGTTTCTGAGCAGCTATCTCAGTGACCACTCAGTATATGTGTGTCCTCCCTTTGCATCCCCTTTTGTGGCATGTAACGAATGTGACACTACCAGAGGGCCTGAAGGAGGATCTCTTCAACACCATCAGTGTAGGTTACTTCCTCTACCTCTCATCCCTTCCTGCTTGATTGATTCCCTCTGCTCCGCTTCTCCGATCGTCCCTATGCTTCCCTTTCGTCCCATTATTTCGTATGTAACCTACGGAATGGAGGTAATCTGTTTCTTTTCTCTTTTTTTTCGTATATTTTATCTCCCTCCCTCTTCGTTTCTCCCCTCTCCCCCCCCCCTCCCCCCCCCACCCCTCTTCCACGTGGCAGGCCAATAAGGAGCTTGTGCCCGATATCCTGCGATTGGCCCTCAACGATGCGGCCACTTATGATAAGGTCAGTGCCACGTATAATGCTGTTACTACTCAAGCGCGTGTCCCTGGATGCATCAGCCACGGATGCAATGTAGACACGTCTCTTGCCTGTGGCTGTGCCTTCTAACTCCGGATGCACCTTAACTCCGGTTGGCACTTCGCTGTATGTCCATCCCTTTCTTTTTTTAACCTCTCCTTTCACTCCCCCTCCCTATGGTCAGTTCCTTTATCTTCTCTTTATCTACCTGATGTAACAGGAGACTAGGACAGGAGGAGCGAACGGGTCCATCCGTTTCAGGTACCGCCATATGCCATTTCTTCCATGCCATGCTATGTCAGGCCACGCTATTCCATGCCATGCCAAATTGCATAGGTCACCGTGTCATGGCCTATCACTCTTGGTTAACTAGTACTATTCAATCTCCACCACTCCTCTTCTTCCCTCTCTTCCACTCACTCATACCCGTTTATCGCTGTCACTCCCCCTTCCCTAAGAAATATAGTTATATTTTCTAGGCGCCTCAGAAATAGCCTCCTTTGGCTGAGTGCTTCTCTTATCCGGACAGCAAGGGTCGGACAGTGGCTCTCGGAATTACCCCTAATGCCCAGAGAACAAGGGCTTCACAGCATCCCAGTAGCTGCTTGACCCTCTACGCAATCAAATGGCAAGACACCATCGGCCACCCCCCTGCCCTATGCGTCATGCCTCCTCTCCTCCTCCCAGCGAGGAGCGACGTGAAGTGAGGGTGTTTTTGAGACGTCTCGAAAACACCCTCACTTCATGAGACGTCTCAAAAACACCCTCACTTCATGAGACGTCTCGAAAACACCCTCACTTCATGAGACGTCTCGAAAACACCCTCACTTCATGAGACGTCTCGAAAACACCCTCACTTCATGAGACGTCTCAAAAACACCCTCACTTCATGAGACGTCTCGAAAACACCCTCACTTCATGAGACGTCTCGAAAACACCCTCACTTCATGAGACGTCTCGAAAACACCCTCACTTCATGAGACGTCTCAAAAACACCCTCACTTCATGAGACGTCTCGAAAACACCCTCACTTCATGAGACGTCTCGAAAACACCCTCACTTCATGAGACGTCTCAAAAACACCCTCACTTCATGAGACGTCTCGAAAACACCCTCACTTCATGAGACGTCTCGAAAACACCCTCACTTCATGAGACGTCTCGAAAACACCCTCACTTCATGAGACGTCTCAAAAACACCCTCACTTCATGAGACGTCTCGAAAACACCCTCACTTCATGAGACGTCTCGAAAACACCCTCACTTCATGAGACGTCTCGAAAACACCCTCACTTCATGAGACGTCTCGAAAACACCCTCACTTCATGAGACGTCTCGAAAACACCCTCACTTCATGAGACGTCTCAAAAACACCCTCACTTCATGAGACGTCTCGAAAACACCCTCACTTCATGAGACGTCTCGAAAACACCCTCACTTCATGAGACGTCTCGAAAACACCCTCACTTCATGAGACGTCTCGAAAACACCCTCACTTCATGAGACGTCTCGAAAACACCCTCACTTCATGAGACGTCTCAAAAACACCCTCACTTCATGAGACGTCTCGAAAACACCCTCACTTCATGAGACGTCTCGAAAACACCCTCACTTCATGAGACGTCTCGAAAACACCCTCACTTCATGAGACGTCTCGAAAACACCCTCACTTCATGAGACGTCTCGAAAACACCCTCACTTCATGAGACGTCTCGAAAACACCCTCACTTCATGAGACGTCTCAAAAACACCCTCACTTCATGAGACGTCTCGAAAACACCCTCACTTCATGAGACGTCTCGAAAACACCCTCACTTCATGAGACGTCTCGAAAACACCCTCACTTCATGAGACGTCTCAAAAACACCCTCACTTCATGAGACGTCTCGAAAACACCCTCACTTCATGAGACGTCTCGAAAACACCCTCACTTCATGAGACGTCTCGAAAACACCCTCACTTCATGAGACGTCTCAAAAACACCCTCACTTCATGAGACGTCTCGAAAACACCCTCACTTCATGAGACGTCTCGAAAACACCCTCACTTCATGAGACGTCTCGAAAACACCCTCACTTCATGAGACGTCTCGAAAACACCCTCACTTCATGAGACGTCTCGAAAACACCCTCACTTCATGAGACGTCTCGAAAACACCCTCACTTCATGAGACGTCTCAAAAACACCCTCACTTCATGAGACGTCTCGAAAACACCCTCACTTCATGAGACGTCTCGAAAACACCCTCACTTCATGAGACGTCTCGAAAACACCCTCACTTCATGAGACGTCTCGAAAACACCCTCACTTCATGAGACGTCTCAAAAACACCCTCACTTCATGAGACGTCTCGAAAACACCCTCACTTCATGAGACGTCTCGAAAACACCCTCACTTCATGAGACGTCTCGAAAACACCCTCACTTCATGAGACGTCTCAAAAACACCCTCACTTCATGAGACGTCTCGAAAACACCCTCACTTCATGAGACGTCTCGAAAACACCCTCACTTCATGAGACGTCTCAAAAACACCCTCACTTCATGAGACGTCTCGAAAACACCCTCACTTCATGAGACGTCTCGAAAACACCCTCACTTCATGAGACGTCTCGAAAACACCCTCACTTCATGAGACGTCTCAAAAACACCCTCACTTCATGAGACGTCTCGAAAACACCCTCACTTCATGAGACGTCTCGAAAACACCCTCACTTCATGAGACGTCTCAAAAACACCCTCACTTCATGAGACGTCTCGAAAACACCCTCACTTCATGAGACGTCTCGAAAACACCCTCACTTCATGAGACGTCTCGAAAACACCCTCACTTCATGAGACGTCTCGAAAACACCCTCACTTCATGAGACGTCTCAAAAACACCCTCACTTCATGAGACGTCTCGAAAACACCCTCACTTCATGAGACGTCTCGAAAACACCCTCACTTCATGAGACGTCTCGAAAACACCCTCACTTCATGAGACGTCTCAAAAACACCCTCACTTCATGAGACGTCTCGAAAACACCCTCACTTCATGAGACGTCTCGAAAACACCCTCACTTCATGAGACGTCTCAAAAACACCCTCACTTCATGAGACGTCTCGAAAACACCCTCACTTCATGAGACGTCTCGAAAACACCCTCACTTCATGAGACGTCTCAAAAACACCCTCACTTCATGAGACGTCTCGAAAACACCCTCACTTCATGAGACGTCTCAAAAACACCCTCACTTCATGAGACGTCTCGAAAACACCCTCACTTCATGAGACGTCTCAAAAACACCCTCACTTCATGAGACGTCTCGAAAACACCCTCACTTCATGAGACGTCTCGAAAACACCCTCACTTCATGAGACGTCTCGAAAACACCCTCACTTCATGAGACGTCTCAAAAACACCCTCACTTCATGAGACGTCTCGAAAACACCCTCACTTCATGAGACGTCTCGAAAACACCCTCACTTCATGAGACGTCTCAAAAACACCCTCACTTCATGAGACGTCTCGAAAACACCCTCACTTCATGAGACGTCTCGAAAACACCCTCACTTCATGAGACGTCTCGAAAACACCCTCACTTCATGAGACGTCTCAAAAACACCCTCACTTCATGAGACGTCTCGAAAACACCCTCACTTCATGAGACGTCTCGAAAACACCCTCACTTCATGAGACGTCTCGAAAACACCCTCACTTCATGAGACGTCTCAAAAACACCCTCACTTCATGAGACGTCTCGAAAACACCCTCACTTCATGAGACGTCTCGAAAACACCCTCACTTCATGAGACGTCTCAAAAACACCCTCACTTCATGAGACGTCTCGAAAACACCCTCACTTCATGAGACGTCTCGAAAACACCCTCACTTCATGAGACGTCTCGAAAACACCCTCACTTCATGAGACGTCTCAAAAACACCCTCACTTCATGAGACGTCTCGAAAACACCCTCACTTCATGAGACGTCTCGAAAACACCCTCACTTCATGAGACGTCTCGAAAACACCCTCACTTCATGAGACGTCTCAAAAACACCCTCACTTCATGAGACGTCTCGAAAACACCCTCACTTCATGAGACGTCTCGAAAACACCCTCACTTCATGAGACGTCTCGAAAACACCCTCACTTCATGAGACGTCTCAAAAACACCCTCACTTCATGAGACGTCTCGAAAACACCCTCACTTCATGAGACGTCTCAAAAACACCCTCACTTCATGAGACGTCTCGAAAACACCCTCACTTCATGAGACGTCTCGAAAACACCCTCACTTCATGAGACGTCTCGAAAACACCCTCACTTCATGAGACGTCTCAAAAACACCCTCACTTCATGAGACGTCTCGAAAACACCCTCACTTCATGAGACGTCTCGAAAACACCCTCACTTCATGAGACGTCTCAAAAACACCCTCACTTCATGAGACGTCTCGAAAACACCCTCACTTCATGAGACGTCTCGAAAACACCCTCACTTCATGAGACGTCTCGAAAACACCCTCACTTCATGAGACGTCTCAAAAACACCCTCACTTCATGAGACGTCTCGAAAACACCCTCACTTCATGAGACGTCTCGAAAACACCCTCACTTCATGAGACGTCTCGAAAACACCCTCACTTCATGAGACGTCTCAAAAACACCCTCACTTCATGAGACGTCTCGAAAACACCCTCACTTCATGAGACGTCTCGAAAACACCCTCACTTCATGAGACGTCTCGAAAACACCCTCACTTCATGAGACGTCTCAAAAACACCCTCACTTCATGAGACGTCTCGAAAACACCCTCACTTCATGAGACGTCTCGAAAACACCCTCACTTCATGAGACGTCTCAAAAACACCCTCACTTCATGAGACGTCTCGAAAACACCCTCACTTCATGAGACGTCTCGAAAACACCCTCACTTCATGAGACGTCTCGAAAACACCCTCACTTCATGAGACGTCTCGAAAACACCCTCACTTCATGAGACGTCTCAAAAACACCCTCACTTCATGAGACGTCTCGAAAACACCCTCACTTCATGAGACGTCTCGAAAACACCCTCACTTCATGAGACGTCTCGAAAACACCCTCACTTCATGAGACGTCTCAAAAACACCCTCACTTCATGAGACGTCTCGAAAACACCCTCACTTCATGAGACGTCTCGAAAACACCCTCACTTCATGAGACGTCTCAAAAACACCCTCACTTCATGAGACGTCTCGAAAACACCCTCACTTCATGAGACGTCTCGAAAACACCCTCACTTCATGAGACGTCTCAAAACACCCTCACTTCATGAGACGTCTCGAAAACACCCTCACTTCATGAGACGTCTCGAAAACACCCTCACTTCATGAGACGTCTCAAAAACACCCTCACTTCATGAGACGTCTCGAAAACACCCTCACTTCATGAGACGTCTCAAAAACACCCTCACTTCATGAGACGTCTCGAAAACACCCTCACTTCATGAGACGTCTCGAAAACACCCTCACTTCATGAGACGTCTCGAAAACACCCTCACTTCATGAGACGTCTCAAAAACACCCTCACTTCATGAGACGTCTCGAAAACACCCTCACTTCATGAGACGTCTCGAAAACACCCTCACTTCATGAGACGTCTCAAAAACACCCTCACTTCATGAGACGTCTCGAAAACACCCTCACTTCATGAGACGTCTCGAAAACACCCTCACTTCATGAGACGTCTCAAAAACACCCTCACTTCATGAGACGTCTCGAAAACACCCTCACTTCATGAGACGTCTCAAAAACACCCTCACTTCATGAGACGTCTCGAAAACACCCTCACTTCATGAGACGTCTCAAAAACACCCTCACTTCATGAGACGTCTCGAAAACACCCTCACTTCATGAGACGTCTCGAAAACACCCTCACTTCATGAGACGTCTCGAAAACACCCTCACTTCATGAGACGTCTCAAAAACACCCTCACTTCATGAGACGTCTCGAAAACACCCTCACTTCATGAGACGTCTCAAAAACACCCTCACTTCATGAGACGTCTCGAAAACACCCTCACTTCATGAGACGTCTCGAAAACACCCTCACTTCATGAGACGTCTCGAAAACACCCTCACTTCATGAGACGTCTCAAAAACACCCTCACTTCATGAGACGTCTCGAAAACACCCTCACTTCATGAGACGTCTCGAAAACACCCTCACTTCATGAGACGTCTCGAAAACACCCTCACTTCATGAGACGTCTCAAAAACACCCTCACTTCATGAGACGTCTCGAAAACACCCTCACTTCATGAGACGTCTCGAAAACACCCTCACTTCATGAGACGTCTCAAAAACACCCTCACTTCATGAGACGTCTCGAAAACACCCTCACTTCATGAGACGTCTCGAAAACACCCTCACTTCATGAGACGTCTCGAAAACACCCTCACTTCATGAGACGTCTCGAAAACACCCTCACTTCATGAGACGTCTCAAAAACACCCTCACTTCATGAGACGTCTCGAAAACACCCTCACTTCATGAGACGTCTCGAAAACACCCTCACTTCATGAGACGTCTCGAAAACACCCTCACTTCATGAGACGTCTCAAAAACACCCTCACTTCATGAGACGTCTCGAAAACACCCTCACTTCATGAGACGTCTCGAAAACACCCTCACTTCATGAGACGTCTCAAAAACACCCTCACTTCATGAGACGTCTCGAAAACACCCTCACTTCATGAGACGTCTCGAAAACACCCTCACTTCATGAGACGTCTCAAAAACACCCTCACTTCATGAGACGTCTCGAAAACACCCTCACTTCATGAGACGTCTCAAAAACACCCTCACTTCATGAGACGTCTCGAAAACACCCTCACTTCATGAGACGTCTCAAAAACACCCTCACTTCATGAGACGTCTCGAAAACACCCTCACTTCATGAGACGTCTCGAAAACACCCTCACTTCATGAGACGTCTCGAAAACACCCTCACTTCATGAGACGTCTCAAAAACACCCTCACTTCATGAGACGTCTCGAAAACACCCTCACTTCATGAGACGTCTCGAAAACACCCTCACTTCATGAGACGTCTCAAAAACACCCTCACTTCATGAGACGTCTCGAAAACACCCTCACTTCATGAGACGTCTCGAAAACACCCTCACTTCATGAGACGTCTCAAAAACACCCTCACTTCATGAGACGTCTCGAAAACACCCTCACTTCATGAGACGTCTCAAAAACACCCTCACTTCATGAGACGTCTCGAAAACACCCTCACTTCATGAGACGTCTCAAAAACACCCTCACTTCATGAGACGTCTCGAAAACACCCTCACTTCATGAGACGTCTCGAAAACACCCTCACTTCATGAGACGTCTCGAAAACACCCTCACTTCATGAGACGTCTCAAAAACACCCTCACTTCATGAGACGTCTCGAAAACACCCTCACTTCATGAGACGTCTCAAAAACACCCTCACTTCATGAGACGTCTCGAAAACACCCTCACTTCATGAGACGTCTCGAAAACACCCTCACTTCATGAGACGTCTCGAAAACACCCTCACTTCATGAGACGTCTCAAAAACACCCTCACTTCATGAGACGTCTCGAAAACACCCTCACTTCATGAGACGTCTCGAAAACACCCTCACTTCATGAGACGTCTCGAAAACACCCTCACTTCATGAGACGTCTCAAAAACACCCTCACTTCATGAGACGTCTCGAAAACACCCTCACTTCATGAGACGTCTCGAAAACACCCTCACTTCATGAGACGTCTCAAAAACACCCTCACTTCATGAGACGTCTCGAAAACACCCTCACTTCATGAGACGTCTCGAAAACACCCTCACTTCATGAGACGTCTCGAAAACACCCTCACTTCATGAGACGTCTCGAAAACACCCTCACTTCATGAGACGTCTCAAAAACACCCTCACTTCATGAGACGTCTCGAAAACACCCTCACTTCATGAGACGTCTCGAAAACACCCTCACTTCATGAGACGTCTCGAAAACACCCTCACTTCATGAGACGTCTCAAAAACACCCTCACTTCATGAGACGTCTCGAAAACACCCTCACTTCATGAGACGTCTCGAAAACACCCTCACTTCATGAGACGTCTCAAAAACACCCTCACTTCATGAGACGTCTCGAAAACACCCTCACTTCATGAGACATCTCGAAAACACCCTCACTTCATGAGACGTCTCAAAAACATCCTCACTTCATGAGACGTCTCGAAAACACCCTCACTTCATGAGACGTCTCAAAAACACCCTCACTTCATGAGACGTCTCGAAAACACCCTCACTTCATGAGACGTCTCAAAAACACCCTCACTTCATGAGACGTCTCGAAAACACCCTCACTTCATGAGACGTCTCGAAAACACCCTCACTTCATGAGACGTCTCGAAAACACCCTCACTTCATGAGACGTCTCAAAAACACCCTCACTTCATGAGACGTCTCGAAAACACCCTCACTTCATGAGACGTCTCGAAAACACCCTCACTTCATGAGACGTCTCAAAAACACCCTCACTTCATGAGACGTCTCGAAAACACCCTCACTTCATGAGACGTCTCGAAAACACCCTCACTTCATGAGACGTCTCAAAAACACCCTCACTTCATGAGACGTCTCGAAAACACCCTCACTTCATGAGACGTCTCGAAAACACCCTCACTTCATGAGACGTCTCGAAAACACCCTCACTTCATGAGACGTCTCGAAAACACCCTCACTTCATGAGACGTCTCAAAAACACCCTCACTTCATGAGACGTCTCGAAAACACCCTCACTTCATGAGACGTCTCAAAAACACCCTCACTTCATGAGACGTCTCGAAAACACCCTCACTTCATGAGACGTCTCGAAAACACCCTCACTTCATGAGACGTCTCGAAAACACCCTCACTTCATGAGACGTCTCAAAAACACCCTCACTTCATGAGACGTCTCGAAAACACCCTCACTTCATGAGACGTCTCGAAAACACCCTCACTTCATGAAACGTCTCAAAAACACCCTCACTTCATGAGACGTCTCAAAAACACCCTCACTTCATGAGACGTCTCGAAAACACCCTCACTTCATGAGACGTCTCGAAAACACCCTCACTTCATGAGACGTCTCGAAAACACCCTCACTTCATGAGACGTCTCGAAAACACCCTCACTTCATGAGACGTCTCAAAAACACCCTCACTTCATGAGACGTCTCGAAAACACCCTCACTTCATGAGACGTCTCAAAAACACCCTCACTTCATGAGACGTCTCGAAAACACCCTCACTTCATGAGACGTCTCAAAAACACCCTCACTTCATGAGACGTCTCGAAAACACCCTCACTTCATGAGACGTCTCGAAAACACCCTCACTTCATGAGACGTCTCGAAAACACCCTCACTTCATGAGACGTCTCAAAAACACCCTCACTTCATGAGACGTCTCGAAAACACCCTCACTTCATGAGACGTCTCGAAAACACCCTCACTTCATGAGACGTCTCGAAAACACCCTCACTTCATGAGACGTCTCAAAAACACCCTCACTTCATGAGACGTCTCGAAAACACCCTCACTTCATGAGACGTCTCGAAAACACCCTCACTTCATGAGACGTCTCGAAAACACCCTCACTTCATGAGACGTCTCGAAAACACCCTCACTTCATGAGACGTCTCAAAAACACCCTCACTTCATGAGACGTCTCGAAAACACCCTCACTTCATGAGACGTCTCGAAAACACCCTCACTTCATGAGACGTCTCGAAAACACCCTCACTTCATGAGACGTCTCAAAAACACCCTCACTTCATGAGACGTCTCGAAAACACCCTCACTTCATGAGACGTCTCGAAAACACCCTCACTTCATGAGACGTCTCAAAAACACCCTCACTTCATGAGACGTCTCGAAAACACCCTCACTTCATGAGACGTCTCGAAAACACCCTCACTTCATGAGACGTCTCAAAAACACCCTCACTTCATGAGACGTCTCGAAAACACCCTCACTTCATGAGACGTCTCAAAAACACCCTCACTTCATGAGACGTCTCGAAAACACCCTCACTTCATGAGACGTCTCAAAAACACCCTCACTTCATGAGACGTCTCGAAAACACCCTCACTTCATGAGACGTCTCGAAAACACCCTCACTTCATGAGACGTCTCGAAAACACCCTCACTTCATGAGACGTCTCAAAAACACCCTCACTTCATGAGACGTCTCGAAAACACCCTCACTTCATGAGACGTCTCGAAAACACCCTCACTTCATGAGACGTCTCAAAAACACCCTCACTTCATGAGACGTCTTGAAAACACCCTCACTTCATGAGACGTCTCGAAAACACCCTCACTTCATGAGACGTCTCAAAAACACCCTCACTTCATGAGACGTCTCGAAAACACCCTCACTTCATGAGACGTCTCAAAAACACCCTCACTTCATGAGACGTCTCGAAAACACCCTCACTTCATGAGACGTCTCAAAAACACCCTCACTTCATGAGACGTCTCGAAAACACCCTCACTTCATGAGACGTCTCGAAAACACCCTCACTTCATGAGACGTCTCGAAAACACCCTCACTTCATGAGACGTCTCAAAAACACCCTCACTTCATGAGACGTCTCGAAAACACCCTCACTTCATGAGACGTCTCAAAAACACCCTCACTTCATGAGACGTCTCGAAAACACCCTCACTTCATGAGACGTCTCGAAAACACCCTCACTTCATGAGACGTCTCGAAAACACCCTCACTTCATGAGACGTCTCAAAAACACCCTCACTTCATGAGACGTCTCGAAAACACCCTCACTTCATGAGACGTCTCGAAAACACCCTCACTTCATGAGACGTCTCGAAAACACCCTCACTTCATGAGACGTCTCAAAAACACCCTCACTTCATGAGACGTCTCGAAAACACCCTCACTTCATGAGACGTCTCGAAAACACCCTCACTTCATGAGACGTCTCAAAAACACCCTCACTTCATGAGACGTCTCGAAAACACCCTCACTTCATGAGACGTCTCGAAAACACCCTCACTTCATGAGACGTCTCGAAAACACCCTCACTTCATGAGACGTCTCGAAAACACCCTCACTTCATGAGACGTCTCAAAAACACCCTCACTTCATGAGACGTCTCGAAAACACCCTCACTTCATGAGACGTCTCGAAAACACCCTCACTTCATGAGACGTCTCGAAAACACCCTCACTTCATGAGACGTCTCAAAAACACCCTCACTTCATGAGACGTCTCGAAAACACCCTCACTTCATGAGACGTCTCGAAAACACCCTCACTTCATGAGACGTCTCAAAAACACCCTCACTTCATGAGACGTCTCGAAAACACCCTCACTTCATGAGACGTCTCGAAAACACCCTCACTTCATGAGACGTCTCAAAAACACCCTCACTTCATGAGACGTCTCGAAAACACCCTCACTTCATGAGACGTCTCAAAAACACCCTCACTTCATGAGACGTCTCGAAAACACCCTCACTTCATGAGACGTCTCAAAAACACCCTCACTTCATGAGACGTCTCGAAAACACCCTCACTTCATGAGACGTCTCGAAAACACCCTCACTTCATGAGACGTCTCGAAAACACCCTCACTTCATGAGACGTCTCAAAAACACCCTCACTTCATGAGACGTCTCGAAAACACCCTCACTTCATGAGACGTCTCGAAAACACCCTCACTTCATGAGACGTCTCAAAAACACCCTCACTTCATGAGACGTCTCGAAAACACCCTCACTTCATGAGACGTCTCGAAAACACCCTCACTTCATGAGACGTCTCAAAAACACCCTCACTTCATGAGACGTCTCGAAAACACCCTCACTTCATGAGACGTCTCGAAAACACCCTCACTTCATGAGACGTCTCGAAAACACCCTCACTTCATGAGACGTCTCGAAAACACCCTCACTTCATGAGACGTCTCGAAAACACCCTCACTTCATGAGACGTCTCGAAAACACCCTCACTTCATGAGACGTCTCGAAAACACCCTCACTTCATGAGACGTCTCAAAAACACCCTCACTTCATGAGACGTCTCGAAAACACCCTCACTTCATGAGACGTCTCGAAAACACCCTCACTTCATGAAACGTCTCGAAAACACCCTCACTTCATGAGACGTCTCAAAAACACCCTCACTTCATGAGACGTCTCGAAAACACCCTCACTTCATGAGACGTCTCGAAAACACCCTCACTTCATGAGACGTCTCGAAAACACCCTCACTTCATGAGACGTCTCGAAAACACCCTCACTTCATGAGACGTCTCAAAAACACCCTCACTTCATGAGACGTCTCGAAAACACCCTCACTTCATGAGACGTCTCAAAAACACCCTCACTTCATGAGACGTCTCGAAAACACCCTCACTTCATGAGACGTCTCAAAAACACCCTCACTTCATGAGACGTCTCGAAAACACCCTCACTTCATGAGACGTCTCGAAAACACCCTCACTTCATGAGACGTCTCGAAAACACCCTCACTTCATGAGACGTCTCAAAAACACCCTCACTTCATGAGACGTCTCGAAAACACCCTCACTTCATGAGACGTCTCGAAAACACCCTCACTTCATGAGACGTCTCAAAAACACCCTCACTTCATGAGACGTCTCAAAAACACCCTCACTTCATGAGACGTCTCAAAAACACCCTCACTTCATGAGACGTCTCGAAAACACCCTCACTTCATGAGACGTCTCGAAAACACCCTCACTTCATGAGACGTCTCGAAAACACCCTCACTTCATGAGACGTCTCGAAAACACCCTCACTTCATGAGACGTCTCAAAAACACCCTCACTTCATGAGACGTCTCGAAAACACCCTCACTTCATGAGACGTCTCAAAAACACCCTCACTTCATGAGACGTCTCGAAAACACCCTCACTTCATGAGACGTCTTGAAAACACCCTCACTTCATGAGACGTCTCGAAAACACCCTCACTTCATGAGACGTCTCAAAAACACCCTCACTTCATGAGACGTCTCGAAAACACCCTCACTTCATGAGACGTCTCGAAAACACCCTCACTTCATGAGACGTCTCGAAAACACCCTCACTTCATGAGACGTCTCAAAAACACCCTCACTTCATGAGACGTCTCGAAAACACCCTCACTTCATGAGACGTCTCGAAAACACCCTCACTTCATGAGACGTCTCGAAAACACCCTCACTTCATGAGACGTCTCAAAAACACCCTCACTTCATGAGACGTCTCGAAAACACCCTCACTTCATGAGACGTCTCGAAAACACCCTCACTTCATGAGACGTCTCAAAAACACCCTCACTTCATGAGACGTCTCAAAAACACCCTCACTTCATGAGACGTCTCGAAAACACCCTCACTTCATGAGACGTCTCGAAAACACCCTCACTTCATGAGACGTCTCGAAAACACCCTCACTTCATGAGACGTCTCAAAAACACCCTCACTTCATGAGACGTCTCGAAAACACCCTCACTTCATGAGACGTCTCGAAAACACCCTCACTTCATGAGACGTCTCGAAAACACCCTCACTTCATGAGACGTCTCAAAAACACCCTCACTTCATGAGACGTCTCGAAAACACCCTCACTTCATGAGACGTCTCGAAAACACCCTCACTTCATGAGACGTCTCGAAAACACCCTCACTTCATGAGACGTCTCGAAAACACCCTCACTTCATGAGACGTCTCGAAAACACCCTCACTTCATGAGACGTCTCGAAAACACCCTCACTTCATGAGACGTCTCGAAAACACCCTCACTTCATGAGACGTCTCGAAAACACCCTCACTTCATGAGACGTCTCGAAAACACCCTCACTTCATGAGACGTCTCGAAAACACCCTCACTTCATGAGACGTCTCGAAAACACCCTCACTTCATGAGACGTCTCGAAAACACCCTCACTTCATGAGACGGACGTCTCGAAAACACCCTCACTTCATGAGACGTCTCGAAAACACCCTCACTTCATGAGACGTCTCAAAAACACCCTCACTTCATGAGACGTCTCAAAAACACCCTCACTTCATGAGACGTCTCGAAAACACCCTCACTTCATGAGACGTCTCAAAAACACCCTCACTTCATGAGACGTCTCGAAAACACCCTCACTTCATGAGACGTCTCAAAAACACCCTCACTTCATGAGACGTCTCAAAAACACCCTCACTTCATGAGACGTCTCGAAAACACCCTCACTTCATGAGACGTCTCGAAAACACCCTCACTTCATGAGACGTCTCGAAAACACCCTCACTTCATGAGACGTCTCGAAAACACCCTCACTTCATGAGACGTCTCGAAAACACCCTCACTTCATGAGACGTCTCGAAAACACCCTCACTTCATGAGACGTCTCGAAAACACCCTCACTTCATGAGACGTCTCAAAAACACCCTCACTTCATGAGACGTCTCGAAAACACCCTCACTTCATGAGACGTCTCGAAAACACCCTCACTTCATGAGACGTCTCGAAAACACCCTCACTTCATGAGACGTCTCAAAAACACCCTCACTTCATGAGACGTCTCAAAAACACCCTCACTTCATGAGACGTCTCGAAAACACCCTCACTTCATGAGACGTCTCAAAAACACCCTCACTTCATGAGACGTCTCGAAAACACCCTCACTTCATGAGACGTCTCGAAAACACCCTCACTTCATGAGACGTCTCGAAAACACCCTCACTTCATGAGACGTCTCGAAAACACCCTCACTTCATGAGACGTCTCGAAAACACCCTCACTTCATGAGACGTCTCGAAAACACCCTCACTTCATGAGACGTCTCGAAAACACCCTCACTTCATGAGACGTCTCAAAAACACCCTCACTTCATGAGACGTCTCGAAAACACCCTCACTTCATGAGACGTCTCAAAAACACCCTCACTTCATGAGACGTCTCAAAAACACCCTCACTTCATGAGACGTCTCGAAAACACCCTCACTTCATGAGACGTCTCGAAAACACCCTCACTTCATGAGACGTCTCAAAAACACCCTCACTTCATGAGACGTCTCAAAAACACCCTCACTTCATGAGACGTCTCGAAAACACCCTCACTTCATGAGACGTCTCAAAAACACCCTCACTTCATGAGACGTCTCGAAAACACCCTCACTTCATGAGACGTCTCGAAAACACCCTCACTTCATGAGACGTCTTGAAAACACCCTCACTTCATGAGACGTCTCGAAAACACCCTCACTTCATGAGACGTCTCGAAAACACCCTCACTTCATGAGACGTCTCGAAAACACCCTCACTTCATGAGACGTCTCGAAAACACCCTCACTTCATGAGACGTCTCAAAAACACCCTCACTTCATGAGACGTCTCGAAAACACCCTCACTTCATGAGACGTCTCAAAAACACCCTCACTTCATGAGACGTCTCAAAAACACCCTCACTTCATGAGACGTCTCGAAAACACCCTCACTTCATGAGACGTCTCGAAAACACCCTCACTTCATGAGACGTCTCGAAAACACCCTCACTTCATGAGACGTCTCAAAAACACCCTCACTTCATGAGACGTCTCAAAAACACCCTCACTTCATGAGACGTCTCGAAAACACCCTCACTTCATGAGACGTCTCGAAAACACCCTCACTTCATGAGACGTCTCGAAAACACCCTCACTTCATGAGACGTCTCGAAAACACCCTCACTTCATGAGACGTCTCGAAAACACCCTCACTTCATGAGATGTCTCGAAAACACCCTCACTTCATGAGACGTCTCGAAAACACCCTCACTTCATGAGACGTCTCAAAAACACCCTCACTTCATGAGACGTCTCAAAAACACCCTCACTTCATGAGACGTCTCGAAAACACCCTCACTTCATGAGACGTCTCGAAAACACCCTCACTTCATGAGACGTCTCAAAAACACCCTCACTTCATGAGACGTCTCAAAAACACCCTCACTTCATGAGACGTCTCGAAAACACCCTCACTTCATGAGACGTCTCAAAAACACCCTCACTTCATGAGACGTCTCGAAAACACCCTCACTTCATGAGACGTCTCGAAAACACCCTCACTTCATGAGACGTCTCGAAAACACCCTCACTTCATGAGACGTCTCGAAAACACCCTCACTTCATGAGACGTCTCGAAAACACCCTCACTTCATGAGACGTCTCGAAAACACCCTCACTTCATGAGACGTCTCGAAAACACCCTCACTTCATGAGACGTCTCAAAAACACCCTCACTTCATGAGACGTCTCGAAAACACCCTCACTTCATGAGACGTCTCAAAAACACCCTCACTTCATGAGACGTCTCAAAAACACCCTCACTTCATGAGACGTCTCGAAAACACCCTCACTTCATGAGACGTCTCGAAAACACCCTCACTTCATGAGACGTCTCGAAAACACCCTCACTTCATGAGACGTCTCAAAAACACCCTCACTTCATGAGACGTCTCAAAAACACCCTCACTTCATGAGACGTCTCGAAAACACCCTCACTTCATGAGACGTCTCGAAAACACCCTCACTTCATGAGACGTCTCGAAAACACCCTCACTTCATGAGACGTCTCGAAAACACCCTCACTTCATGAGACGTCTCGAAAACACCCTCACTTCATGAGATGTCTCGAAAACACCCTCACTTCATGAGACGTCTCGAAAACACCCTCACTTCATGAGACGTCTCAAAAACACCCTCACTTCATGAGACGTCTCAAAAACACCCTCACTTCATGAGACGTCTCGAAAACACCCTCACTTCATGAGACGTCTCGAAAACACCCTCACTTCATGAGACGTCTCAAAAACACCCTCACTTCATGAGACGTCTCAAAAACACCCTCACTTCATGAGACGTCTCGAAAACACCCTCACTTCATGAGACGTCTCAAAAACACCCTCACTTCATGAGACGTCTCGAAAACACCCTCACTTCATGAGACGTCTCGAAAACACCCTCACTTCATGAGACGTCTCGAAAACACCCTCACTTCATGAGACGTCTCGAAAACACCCTCACTTCATGAGACGTCTCGAAAACACCCTCACTTCATGAGACGTCTCGAAAACACCCTCACTTCATGAGACGTCTCGAAAACACCCTCACTTCATGAGACGTCTCAAAAACACCCTCACTTCATGAGACGTCTCAAAAACACCCTCACTTCATGAGACGTCTCGAAAACACCCTCACTTCATGAGACGTCTCGAAAACACCCTCACTTCATGAGACGTCTCGAAAACACCCTCACTTCATGAGACGTCTCGAAAACACCCTCACTTCATGAGACGTCTCGAAAACACCCTCACTTCATGAGACGTCTCGAAAACACCCTCACTTCATGAGACGTCTCAAAAACACCCTCACTTCATGAGACGTCTCAAAAACACCCTCACTTCATGAGACGTCTCGAAAACACCCTCACTTCATGAGACGTCTCAAAAACACCCTCACTTCATGAGACGTCTCAAAAACACCCTCACTTCATGAGACGTCTCGAAAACACCCTCACTTCATGAGACGTCTCGAAAACACCCTCACTTCATGAGACGTCTCGAAAACACCCTCACTTCATGAGACGTCTCGAAAACACCCTCACTTCATGAGACGTCTCAAAAACACCCTCACTTCATGAGACGTCTCAAAAACACCCTCACTTCATGAGACGTCTCGAAAACACCCTCACTTCATGAGACGTCTCGAAAACACCCTCACTTCATGAGACGTCTCAAAAACACCCTCACTTCATGAGACGTCTCAAAAACACCCTCACTTCATGAGACGTCTCGAAAACACCCTCACTTCATGAGACGTCTCAAAAACACCCTCACTTCATGAGACGTCTCAAAAACACCCTCACTTCATGAGACGTCTCGAAAACACCCTCACTTCATGAGACGTCTCAAAAACACCCTCACTTCATGAGACGTCTCGAAAACACCCTCACTTCATGAGACGTCTCAAAAACACCCTCACTTCATGAGACGTCTCAAAAACACCCTCACTTCATGAGACGTCTCGAAAACACCCTCACTTCATGAGACGTCTCGAAAACACCCTCACTTCATGAGACGTCTCGAAAACACCCTCACTTCATGAGACGTCTCGAAAACACCCTCACTTCATGAGACGTCTCGAAAACACCCTCACTTCATGAGACGTCTCGAAAACACCCTCACTTCATGAGACGTCTCGAAAACACCCTCACTTCATGAGACGTCTCAAAAACACCCTCACTTCATGAGACGTCTCGAAAACACCCTCACTTCATGAGACGTCTCGAAAACACCCTCACTTCATGAGACGTCTCGAAAACACCCTCACTTCATGAGACGTCTCGAAAACACCCTCACTTCATGAGACGTCTCGAAAACACCCTCACTTCATGAGACGTCTCGAAAACACCCTCACTTCATGAGACGTCTCGAAAACACCCTCACTTCATGAGACGTCTCAAAAACACCCTCACTTCATGAGACGTCTCAAAAACACCCTCACTTCATGAGACGTCTCAAAAACACCCTCACTTCATGAGACATCTCGAAAACACCCTCACTTCATGAGACGTCTCAAAAACACCCTCACTTCATGAGACGTCTCGAAAACACCCTCACTTCATGAGACGTCTCAAAAACACCCTCACTTCATGAGACGTCTCAAAAACACCCTCACTTCATGAGACGTCTCGAAAACACCCTCACTTCATGAGACGTCTCAAAAACACCCTCACTTCATGAGACGTCTCGAAAACACCCTCACTTCATGAGACGTCTCAAAAACACCCTCACTTCATGAGACGTCTCGAAAACACCCTCACTTCATGAGACGTCTCAAAAACACCCTCACTTCATGAGACGTCTCGAAAACACCCTCACTTCATGAGACGTCTCGAAAACACCCTCACTTCATGAGACGTCTCGAAAACACCCTCACTTCATGAGACGTCTCGAAAACACCCTCACTTCATGAGACGTCTCGAAAACACCCTCACTTCATGAGACGTCTCGAAAACACCCTCACTTCATGAGACGTCTCAAAAACACCCTCACTTCATGAGACGTCTCAAAAACACCCTCACTTCATGAGACGTCTCGAAAACACCCTCACTTCATGAGACGTCTCGAAAACACCCTCACTTCATGAGACGTCTCGAAAACACCCTCACTTCATGAGACGTCTCGAAAACACCCTCACTTCATGAGACGTCTCGAAAACACCCTCACTTCATGAGACGTCTCGAAAACACCCTCACTTCATGAGACGTCTCGAAAACACCCTCACTTCATGAGACGTCTCGAAAACACCCTCACTTCATGAGACGTCTCAAAAACACCCTCACTTCATGAGACGTCTCGAAAACACCCTCACTTCATGAGACGTCTCGAAAACACCCTCACTTCATGAGACGTCTCAAAAACACCCTCACTTCATGAGACGTCTCGAAAACACCCTCACTTCATGAGACGTCTCGAAAACACCCTCACTTCATGAGACGTCTCGAAAACACCCTCACTTCATGAGACGTCTCGAAAACACCCTCACTTCATGAGACGTCTCAAAAACACCCTCACTTCATGAGACGTCTCAAAAACACCCTCACTTCATGAGACGTCTCAAAAACACCCTCACTTCATGAGACGTCTCGAAAACACCCTCACTTCATGAGACGTCTCAAAAACACCCTCACTTCATGAGACGTCTCGAAAACACCCTCACTTCATGAGACGTCTCGAAAACACCCTCACTTCATGAGACGTCTCGAAAACACCCTCACTTCATGAGACGTCTCAAAAACACCCTCACTTCATGAGACGTCTCGAAAACACCCTCACTTCATGAGACGTCTCAAAAACACCCTCACTTCATGAGACGTCTCAAAAACACCCTCACTTCATGAGACGTCTCGAAAACACCCTCACTTCATGAGACGTCTCAAAAACACCCTCACTTCATGAGACGTCTCGAAAACACCCTCACTTCATGAGACGTCTCGAAAACACCCTCACTTCATGAGACGTCTCAAAAACACCCTCACTTCATGAGACGTCTCAAAAACACCCTCACTTCATGAGACGTCTCGAAAACACCCTCACTTCATGAGACGTCTCAAAAACACCCTCACTTCATGAGACGTCTCAAAAACACCCTCACTTCATGAGACGTCTCGAAAACACCCTCACTTCATGAGACGTCTCAAAAACACCCTCACTTCATGAGACGTCTCGAAAACACCCTCACTTCATGAGACGTCTCGAAAACACCCTCACTTCATGAGACGTCTCAAAAACACCCTCACTTCATGAGACGTCTCGAAAACACCCTCACTTCATGAGACGTCTCGAAAACACCCTCACTTCATGAGACGTCTCGAAAACACCCTCACTTCATGAGACGTCTCGAAAACACCCTCACTTCATGAGACGTCTCGAAAACACCCTCACTTCATGAGACGTCTCGAAAACACCCTCACTTCATGAGACGTCTCGAAAACACCCTCACTTCATGAGACGTCTCGAAAACACCCTCACTTCATGAGACGTCTCAAAAACACCCTCACTTCATGAGACGTCTCGAAAACACCCTCACTTCATGAGACGTCTCAAAAACACCCTCACTTCATGAGACGTCTCAAAAACACCCTCACTTCATGAGACGTCTCGAAAACACCCTCACTTCATGAGACGTCTCGAAAACACCCTCACTTCATGAGACGTCTCAAAAACACCCTCACTTCATGAGACGTCTCAAAAACACCCTCACTTCATGAGACGTCTCGAAAACACCCTCACTTCATGAGACGTCTCGAAAACACCCTCACTTCATGAGACGTCTCGAAAACACCCTCACTTCATGAGACGTCTCGAAAACACCCTCACTTCATGAGACGTCTCGAAAACACCCTCACTTCATGAGACGTCTCGAAAACACCCTCACTTCATGAGACGTCTCAAAAACACCCTCACTTCTCGTCGGCCACCCCCCTGCCCTCTGCGTCGTGCTTCCTCTCCCCCCCCAGCGAGGAGCTCTCTTGCCCGAAGAACAAGGGCCTCACGGCGGCTCTGCAGCTGCCGGAAACGATGCCCAGACCCCTGCATCTAGTACATCAAATCAGAAGGCACCATTCTCCCACCTTCCTGCCCTCTGTACCTTTGTTTCTTCTCTTCTTCCCAGTGAGGAGCTCTCTTGCCCGGAGAACAAGGGCCTCACGGCGGCTCTGCAGCTGCCGGAAACGATGCCCAGACCCCTGCATCTAGTACATCAAATCAGAAGACACCATTCTCCCACCTCCCTGCCCTCTGTACCTTTGTTTCTTCTCTTCTTCCCAGTGAGGAGCTTTCTCGCCCGGAGAACAAGGGCCTCAAGGCGGCCCTGCAGCTGCTGGAGGGAGTGAAGGAGCGTGTGGACAAAGACGCCAAGGGCGGGCCCCTGTCATACGCTGACCTGATTCAGTTCGGAGGTGAGGGTCATTCTTGTATTGTCATTCTCTTATGGAGTTGAGGTATTGAGCATTCTTGTATTTTCGATCATGTGCTCAAGCCTCAAGGCGGCTCTGCAGCTGCTAGACGCAGATCTAAAGGCGGGCCTCTGTCCTACACTGACCTGATTCAGTTTGGAGGTGAGCCGTTGCTTGTGCTACGTGGCCTGTGAACGGTACTTGTGACTCACCAGGCGGCTCTCTGTGGGTACTCTGAAGGTTACTTATCCCACCCAACCTATTCCCCATGTTCAATCCCATGGCCACCATTATCCACCCATGCCCTCCACATCCGAAATCATGCTCCCTTCATCACCCGCCCATGCTCCCTTCATCACCCGCCCATGCTCCCTCCATCACCCACCCATGCTCCCTCCATCACCCACCCATGCTCCCTCCATCACCCACCCATGCTCCCTCCATCACCCACCCATGCTCCCTCCATCACCCACCCATGCTCCCTCCATCACCCACCCATGCTCCCTCCATCACCCACCCATGCTCCCTCCATCACCCACCCATGCTCCCTCCATCACCCACCCATGCTCCCTCCATCACCCACCTATGCTCCCTCCATCACCCACCCATGCTCCCTCCATCACCCACCCATGCTCCCTCCATCACCCACCCATGCTCCCTCCTTCACCCACCCATGCTCCCTCCATCACCCACCCATGCTCCACTGCCTGCTATCCTCTCATCGCCCTCCAAACAACCCAATAGCCAAGAAGACTACCTTCCTGGCAGCAGCCGCTTTTAAGGCAGCCACCGACGCTTGGCACCTCATTAATAGCTTCACCCCTCCTCCTTCCCACCCCTTTCTCCCTCTACCCTGCTGCTCGCACTGTTTTATCCATCCCTCCCACGCAGCCCAATCAGCCGTGAAGACCAACCGCGTGCAAGGCAGGGGACAACGTCGCCACAAACAATGGCCCCCCCACCTCCTCCCCCTACCCTTCTGCCCATACCCTGCTGCTCCCTCCCTCCTCCCTCCCATGCAGCCCAATCGGCTGTAAAGACCACGTTCCTGGCAGCAGCGGTGTGCAAGGCAGGGGGCGATGACACCAAGGGGCTCAACAATAGCTATTTGCGCCCTCCCCCCTCCACTACCCCCCCCACTACCCCCCCCACTACCCCCCCCACTACCCCCCCCACTCCCCCCCCCCCTGTACGTGCAGCCCAAGCGGCCGTGAAGACCACGTTCCTGGCAGCAGCCACGCGCAAGGCAGGGGGGGATTACACCAAGGGGCTCAACCTCTACTTCGCCATTGGCTCCCCCGGACAGGTACTGCTGGGACAGGTACTGCTGGGACAGGTACTGCTGGGACAGGTACTGCTGGGGGGGGTTCTGCTGGGGGGGGGTACTGCTAGGGCGGGTACTGCTGGGACAGGTAATGCTGGGGGGGTTACTGCTAGGGGGGGGGGGTACTGCTAGGGCGGGTACTGCTAGGGCGGGTGCTGCTGGGGCGGGTTCTGCTGGGGTGGGTTCTGCTGGGGCGGGTACTGCTGGGGCAGGTTCTGCTGGGGCGGGTACTGCTGGGGCGGGTACTGCTGGGGCGGGTACTGCTGGGGCGGGTACTGCTGGGGCGGGTACTGCTGGGGCGGGTACTGCTGGGGCGGGTACTGCTGGGGCGGGTACTGCTGGGGCGGGTACTGCTGGGGCGGGTACTGCTGGGGCGGGTACTGCTGGGGCGGGTACTGCTGGGGCGGGTACTGCTGAGGCGGGTACTTCCAGTTGCGTTCCTCTCCCTCTGCCTGTCCCCTCTCCTCTCCCCCCTCTCCTCTCCCCGTTACACCCTTCCAGTGGGGTTTCTTTGACAAGCAGCTGGGCTGACCCGGCGGGAAGAGTCCCTAACTGGGAGCAGCTCAGCGCAGCAGAAATCAAGGACAAATCTGCCGCCCTGGGGCTGAGGTCCCGGCAGGTGGTGACCCTGGCGCTGTTCCTCCAAGCACTTTCTTACACCCCATCTGCTTTCCTTTCCCTCCACCTGCCCCACGTCCATCCCCATTCCTCCCTTGCCAGTGGGGATTCTTTGACAAGCAGCTGGGCCGGGCCGACGCGGAGCAAGCAGACCCGGCAGGGCGAGTCCCAAACTGGGAGCAGCTCAGCGCAGCGGAGATCAAGGAGAAATTCGCCGCCCTGGGGCTGAGGCCCCGCCAGGTGGTGACCCTGGCGCTGTTCCTGGGGCGGGACTTGGAGGCTGTGGAGGCGAAGTTGGAGGGGGATGAGGAGATGAGCAAGTGGGTGGCCAAGTACCGGAAGAGCCGCACCACCGTGTCCCAGACTGACTACGAGGTGAGAATAATATTTCTATGGGGGAAAGAGCATATGGTTCTTTCAGGGGAGCTGGAGGGGAGCTCACGGGGTGGGTGGGAAAGTACCGGAAGAGCTGCACCACCGTGTCGCAGACTGACTACGAGGTGAGATTGCACTTGTGGTGGGATGGGTGTATGCGTTTCTGAGGGAATGGGGGTGGGAGGTGGGGAGCTGGAGGGGAGATGAGCAAGTGGGTGGCCAAGTACCGGAAGAGCCGCACCACCGTGTCCCGGACTGACTACGAGGTGAGTTACTGCTGAGCTTGGACTATTGGGGTGACCACGTGCTGGTTAAGGGGGTCTGAGCGAATAGGTGAAGAGGGGTTCAAGGGGTGGGGTGCCAAGTACCGGAAGAGCCGCACCACCGTGTCCCAGACTGACTATGAGGTGAGCCCCTGCTACACCTTTGAGAAATGACGTGGGATCAAATAGAAGTTCGCCTGCCAAAGGTTGGGTGGTTACAGCCAGGAAGAGAGGGGACACCGTGTCTCAGATCAGACTGACTAAGGTGCATTCCCTGGTGGATGTGGTACGTTTTGTTGCTAGAGAGTATCAAGATCTGATTGTGTGGTGGTGTGCTTGGTTCTGAGAGCATCCGAGATGTTGAATGGTGGCTGTGGTGTGTCTGGTTTATGACAATCATAACGGTGGGATGGCTCCATGCGCAAAGCCTTGGTCTGAATGTTATGCAACACAAGAAAATCCGTGGGGCAGTGCTTGGCTGGATCCGTTCTGTGCGTAACGCTTTTTGCCTGTAATACGGTAGCAAAGCATGCTTATCCTCCCCTTGTAATCAACTGCTCGGTTTCCCCCTACAATTTTCCTGTTTGCATGTATCCCACCACTAGGTTGATCTGATTGGGGCATTTCTGAAGCTGTCTTGTCTTGGGGCACCCATCAATACCGAGGCTTACACCTATGAACCACCCAGGGTGGAGTTCAGGTTGTAGGATTTGTTGTAGTTACTGCTATGTACAAGCATGGATGGTCCCCACTTTTGCTAAGGGGCCATGGTGTGGCGAAGACAATGCATAACAATCTCTGGGATAACCTCCAGGCATTCTTTGTCTTCAGCTCTCACTTCATATGCATTTGATTGTATGTCTCCGTTTAATGTATCCAACGATGTGGATGTCTGGTGGAAAATGACTACTTGTTAGACGGGGCCTCTTTCCAGGGAACATACGTTACAATTCTTACAATTCTTTCCCCGCTTCTCATGTAACAGCCTGGCAGACTTGCATGGAAGAAACCACTACGTAGTCTATCCAAAGCAGTGTTCATGGTATTCTGCTTTGTTAGCCCGTCTGCACATTACATATTAGAGCATCTGGTTCAGACAAACGCATCAGCCAATATTAGAGCTTTCGTCACATTCTGCTGCTGCTGGGTTCACCTGGCAGGAGGGGAGCCAGGGCCACCGCCTCACCTGCTGGACTGGTTGTACGATACAACTGGCACACTGTACATTTGAGGGCTCGCCGCGACTCCGCTGCATCCTCCTCGCCCCCCCTACCCTCCTCCCCTCCTTTCAGCAAGCCCTCTTCCGCTTCCGCAAGTGACACTTCTGCTGCAAGCATCTGTTTCGCTCACACCCCATTGTCGAGAATGGCCGACTTTGTGACAGATGTAGCTGTGAAGGTCGTATACAACATCGGTCCGATGCGACACTTTGCAAGGTTAAGCGTTCAACAACACAGGAGTTTCCGTCCAGTATCGGCTAGTTGAGATGAAGGCTCGAAACTAGGGAACTTGGAGCGCGGGTGTTAGATCCTCGCGATGGAATGGGACCTTGAAATTCTCAGAAGAGAAATCACGAGGCAACAATTGTCTGCCTGGCAATCATCGCCAGCCAGGAACTGGAGAACTCTGGGAATACTCGGAACCTTGGGAACTCAGAACCGTGGGGCAGAATTCCGAGAACTCCATTCCAGCAGTGCTTCTGTCAGCGGAAACACAAGACCAGCCGCACAGCAAGGCAGATTCACATCCTCCCTTGCTGGCTTGGGATCATCCGGCTGGGATGACTTGTCACCGCAACTCGGGAACAAAATTTCATGGCCCAGGCCTGCGCATCGTGGCCAGACACGTCCTTACGAGCCTGACTGAGTCTGGGCAACGTCGTAGTGGGGCGCGGCGCGGTGCATGCAGCTATTGCTACTAGGTATAGCAAAAGTTTTTTTCTTGCAGTGAAAGCGGGCAAGCAAGCAGCGGGCAGCTAGCAGCTAGTCGTCGTGCGCGTTGCCTTGGACGGAGCATAATTTCCCCCTATTTTCCTTCATGTACTCCTTTTTTAAGCTTAGATTTTACTGAGGGGACAATTTTTACCAAGAGGAAACTGTCACCGAGAGACATTGTCACCAGTCGTTACCCGTGACGCGGCCTGTGCGCCTTATCGCTCAACGCTCGCGTGACGTTGAGGTCGACTTTTAAGTCCTGACATATCACGGCGAGCAATTCTTGCGTCGCCTAAAATTTAGTCTCCTCCAGGAACCGTCCCAGTAGTCGTTACGTTTACCCCTTCACTCTTCTTCTGTAATCTGAGCATGGATTCGCCAAGCAAGAACTCGTTAAGCGCAGATCCGTTACTGGAGTCCGCGGTTCCGGACTGGCCAGACGTCGACCGCCTTCCGCCGATCCACAGCCTACCCGACGAGCTTCTCGCGCGTATTCTCCTCCTCTCTCTCCACCCGCCATGCCCCTCCCCCCTCCGCTCCTCCCTCCCCCTTCCTCAAAGCTTGCTCCCAGCGCACTCCACTCCCGATGCAGTCCCTTCCGCGTATCGCCCCCCTGACTTCGCCTCGTCCTCCGCCCGCTTTCCCCCTGCTTCCGCCTCCCCTTCCCATCCCGCCGCGTATTCTCCTTCCCCGCCCGCGCTGGTCTGCAAGCGCTGGCGCAAGCTCTCTCCCGCCTTCTCCGCTCCGCGCGCCATGTCTTCCGCGCAGATCCTCCGCGCGATTTCCCGCCTGCCGTACCTCACGTTTCTGGACCTTCCGCGGGGCGCCGTCGTTGACTCCGTTGACTGCATCGACGCCGTTGACTCCGATGACTCCGTTGACTCCGCCGAATCGCTGTTCCGCGGATTTACCGCTGCTTGCCCGCAGATCCGCTCCCTGCGCGTTGCGGAACAGCCTTCACTCCGCACGGCGGAAGAGCAGATCGCCGAGTTGTCTTCCGGGGAGCTCCCCGCGCTGCCAGTGATTTCCGCAGACCTATTGTATGCGCTCTCTCGCTGCCGCGCGCTCACCCATCTCCGCCTGATCAATTCCGCCTCCCGTACTTGCGCCGATACCGCCGCTTCCGCCGTTGCGGATGCCGCCGCAGTAGCATATTCCACTCCGCGCGCCAGTAATGCGGAGGGGAGTCGTTTGCGCGGAAGTTCTGTTGCGCTTCTTCCGCGTTCCACTATCCTTCCGCGCTCCATGCTTCCGCATTACAGCAATTCTCCGCCCGCCTTAGATGTCCTCCACGTGTCAGGCCCTGATCACCTCAGTTACCTCTCCCCCACGCTTCCCCGATTAACCTGCTTACGTCAGCTCCACGTCAGCAACGTCTCTAGCCTCCCCGAAGCGCTCAGTACCCTGCGCCAGCTCAGCATCTTAGAGATCAACGCGAAACGCGACTTCCGCAGCCTTCCCGACGCGCTGTTTTCCAACCTACCTGTTCTCGAGAGCTTTAACATGCGTGGTGCTTCGGAGTTAGTCTCCCTTCCGGAGAGCCTAGGCGAACTTACCTCGTTAAAACACCTCTTGATACAGTCCTGTGGGGTCGAATCTCTACCCACCAGCCTGGGAAACCTGGGCAGACTGACGTCCCTCGTTTTAGTCACATGCAAGCAGCTGCTGCAGCTGCTGCCCGAGTCTATCAGCGGGCTGCGCTCGTTACAGCGACTCAGAGTCTCCGAATGCCCCCGCCTTGCGCCTCTCCCGGACTGCTTTCAGCAGATGGTGACTCTACGGGATGTGACTGTATCGGGGTGTGACAGGATCGCATCGCTGCCATCCTCGTTATTGCGCCTGTCTTGTATCGAGTCACTGGATGTTGAGTTTGATCACGGGCATATGTTTGCTGGGCTGCCGCAGAATCCAGAGGCTGCTAGGAGGGACGGCCAGGGTGGAAGAACCACCACCAGCCGTGGGGATGTTAGTGGCAGCAGCAGCAGCAGCAGTGTTAGTAGCAGTGGCATCGGCAGCGGCAGTAGCGGTGGAAGTGGCGGCAGTGGAAGTGGTAGTGGTGAAATTAGCAGCAGCGACAGCAGCAGAGGTAGTGGGAGTGGGAGCGGCAGTGCCAGCGGCTGCAGCAGCAGCGGCAGCAGCAGCAGTGGTGGTGGTGGCAGCAGCAGCAGCGGCAGAGGCAATGGGAGTGGGAGCAGCAGTGGCAACAGCAGCAGAAGCATCAGCGGCAGTAGCAGCAGTGGTGGTGGTGGCAGCAGCAGCAGCAGCAGCGATGCAGATTACAACACAGACGACCCTATCAGCAAGCCCTTAACTCTACTGAAATACCTCAAGCTCAGCAGTACACGCACCTCACTCCCTCCCTGGTTGGGTTATTTACCCTCGCTTCAACACATTACCCTCGCCTCCTGTTGGAGCCTCCAGCATCTACCACCCTCTCTGCCCCTCCTGTCTCCCTCCCTCCAAACCCTCCACATACACCAGTGTAATTCTCTCACATCCCTTCCCGAAGATTTCGGGCAGCTCACTTCACTCCAACACCTGGAGATTCGAAACTGCCCGGCGTTATCCCAGCTACCCAACTCATTCCCTAACCTCTCCTCCCTCCATTCCTTGGACCTGTCATCATGCGGAAATTTGACATCTCTGCCCAGAGATTTCGGGCAGCTGACAGCTCTCAAGCTTCTAAGGCTTGCCTGTCTCTGCAAACTCGTCGAACTGTCCGTCGGGCAGTTGTCACATCTTCAGTCCTTTGAAATTCAGGGGTGTCCGAAAATCACCACTCTTCCACCTCTCTCTCAGTGCATATCCTTAAACCACCTCCACATTGCAAATTGCAAGTCCCTCTCCTCTCTCCCCTCCGACCTCCCCTCCCTCCTATCCCTCCGCTCCCTCTACCTCCTCTCCTGCCCAGCCCTCCACTCCCTGCCGGAAACTCTCGGGCAGCTGCCCGAACTCTCATACCTCGAAATCCGCAGCTGCAGGTCACTCGTGTCGCTGCCCGCATCCCTCTCCCTCCTCTCAACCCTCTCGTCACTCAAAATCGCCTGGTGCTGCAAACTCACCTCTCTCCCACCCAGATTAGATCACCTCACTTCCCTAACCTCTCTCTCCCTCATCGGTCTCCCCAGCCTTCGCACTCCTTCCCCTTCTCCCTCGGCTTCTCCGGGCAGGTTTTTCCGGCGGCAGCTGCCCGGATGCTTTCCGCAGCTGCCCAAGAGCTGCGTGCGGATTGAGATTCAGGGGGTGGGCAGGGAGTGGGGCAGGGGCAGGGGCAGGGTGGTCGTGGTAGGGAGTGCGGTGGAGAGGAGTGGAGATTTGAATGCTGGGAGGAGGAGGTCTGGTCTTCTGGCCTTCTTTTCTCCAATTCATCACCAGCAGCAGCAGCAGCAGCAGCAGCAGCAATTGCACCACCGATCACAACAGCACGAGCAGCAGCAGGAGCAGGAGGCAAGGTATATTCGTTTGTGGAAGAAGCCAGTTGCATGTCTTCGGTCCATCCGACGGTTCCTGTCGAATGTTCATCATCACTCACCCACTGCTGCGCCTCTTGACCCACGGCTTCCAAACTGATACTCGGAAGTGTGGGGACAAGTCTG